AATCTCCATGATCTAACCATTTTCATGACAGTTTTAGGATGTTCGTAAGTTAATGGTATACGAGCCTGTATCAAGCTATGGTCGGACAAAATCCCACATGGAAAAATGTTTAAATCTGATACAAAAAATCTTCTGAACAAACAATCAGATCAAGTATACCTCCCCGTTCGTGAGTTGATTGATTGATTAAGTTTTTCAACTGAAACATGTCAAACAATTCTAACAAATTTAAAGTATGACGATCATTCAGCTTTTCTATATGAATGTTAAAGTCGCCCAAAATTATTAAATTTGAACTAAAAGAAGCAATATTTTCTAGTAAACATAAAAGTTCTTCAAAAAATAAATTAGTAACTGGTGCCGATCCAGGTCTATAGATGGCTAATAAAATAAAATCTGTTCTTCTAATAAATAACTTTAGAGCAAGTGCTTCGAACGATCCAAACATAGGTAAGACAATTTTTTTAAATTTAAATTCATTTCTGAAGTATATAATTAAACCACCATGGTAAGGATCATTTATTCTTAAAAAATCAACGTAGTTATATCCAGGAGGAACTGAAGATCTAACAGAAATATTATTCGACGATCCGTGCCAGGTCTCAACCAAAACAAAAATGTCTAACCCGTTGTGAATTAAATCGTAGACAGCATCAAATTTTGAATTTATCGATCTGTATCGATATGTATGTATGTATGTATGTAGTATGTATGTACGTATGTATGTATGCATGTACGTATGTATGTATGTGTGTGTGTGTATGTATGTATGTATGTATGTATGTATGTATGTATGTATGTATGTATGTATGTATGTATGTATGTATGTATGTATGTACGTACGTAAGTGTAGTGTGTGTGTGTCTTTGTGTGTGTGTGTGTGTGTGTCCGTGTGTGTGTGTGCGCGCAAACTATAATAGATGGAAATACAGATGATGATGTATAACGCATATAACATTTAAATGATAAGAAAGGTACTAAATGAAATAAAAAAAGATACCAAATAAAAAGAAAGGTGCCAAATGAAATTACTAAAGATAGCAAACAATAAGGTACTACTGACGACAGACACGGGGGGTAGAAGGTGTTCGTGGAGTAGGGCCTTGTAGTGCGTCTCGTCCAATATGACGGAATATTTACCTGGTGGGGAGGATAATTGATTTAATAATTGAAAGATTTCATTTATCATCTGAATATATCTTAAAAATGAACTCTTCATCAAGGTATTACATTTTATCAGTGAAATGGAAAATGAGGAAGAAAAATAAATTCATGCGGATTCACAGAACAGAAGGTAACGATGAGTATGAAGAAGAAACTATGATAAACAACCAACATCACCAACAACAAATATATAACCTCAGCAACACATTTGCAACAACATAGCATCAACAGCATCAACAATATCAGTTAACATCATCACCAACAACATCGACAACAACAACAACATCATCAACAACAACATCAACAATAACAACAATATCGACAACGATGACAGCTGCTACAACAACAGACCCTGTGTTTCCCTGCACAATTTCTGGCAGACATGCATGCCGGCGGACATTCCAATGATTGAACATCTGATGGTGTGGACTTTCAATTGCTGTCAGGATGAATTAAGTTGTGCTACTGAATACTAACCATCAGTACTAACAATGTGAATCAAACAAATCAATAAATGCTACAAAAGATTATCTCAACATAACAAATTGCATTCTTGTTTGTGTAACGTGGGCAAGTTTAGTACAACTAACTCTCTGCTAGTAATGTTTTTCATACATTCAATGTAATGGTTAAACCAAATACATATGTATCATAGAAGCATCCAAAAATACTCATCTCTGTGTTAAAACTGATTAGAAATTTGAATGCTGTCATGGAGCGTTAAGTATGAAATCGTCAGTTTTTTCAACTGGAGAATATGAGAGTATAGAATAAACTTCATTTCAAAAGTATTCACGACATCAGTTGATATGTAAAATAAATTTTTTCACCAAAATTGTAAAAAATTATAAATCCAGATATAGCTTTTTTGCCCAGTAGCTAATGCTGGAGGTATTCAAAATGAAAATAGTTGCATGGCGCATTGGTGGCACCTGTTTGTCACTATTGCAGATAATAGCGCATCACTACACACATCTTGAAAAACACTATCTTTAGAATATAAATTTAAAAATTCTCAAAATTTTTAACACTTTTCAGAGTCAGATGAAAAATATCCGACTCCGACTCCTCTAAAAATTCTGACTTCTGCAAAAACCTCGGACTTCAACTTACGAAAATTGGGCAGGGAGCAGCATAGAAAAGAAGAAAAAAGATTGAAAAGGCTTTCCATCAGCAGCAGCAACAGCAGGAAGACCAGCATAAACTCACCTCGATGATGCAGGACAAGTCGACAGGATCAACTGTTGACAGACTACCAAAGAGGATGAGAACTTCTCGACTGACGTGGCTCGGAAGGTATCTGCAATGTTTAGATGGGTGTTTATATAATCAATAAATCAATCAATCAATCAATCATAACAAGAAGGCATACTTAGGTGATTCAAATGAATGATTATTTGATTGGGATATAATATAATTTTTCAAGAAAAAATCAAATCATCCTTCAAAGAAAAGGATTTGATTGGATGACAATGCTGGATGTCGTCATTAGGTGATATCGTTATATTTGATTATCATTAGCATTCAACTGTTGATGTTGTTCCGCTAATGTACAAGTGCAAATAAATGTAACTACAAACTTGAGAACTTTTAACGCTTGGTCCAGTGCATTGTACAGAGAGGCCTCTCCTTCACAATTCACTTTCCTCAAACTATTCAAGCACGACAACAACTTTTTGCTGTTACCTTGATAGAGTTGAGGAAATGGAATTTTTTTTAAATTATAAAAAATAAATAATTAGAGATATTATTTATGTTGAGATAATAAACTTAGAGCCTGAGCCATACGAGAATAAGCAAACCTGTGAGGTTGTGGATTCTTTCACACCTCCTCTTTTTCATTGCCAACAACCCAACCTGGCTGATCGGATTCTGATCAAAAAACTCCTCAATGAAAGATTCCAACAGCTGTCAAGGTGTCACAAAAAATAAAATAAAGCTCAGAAATAACTTAAAATCATTGTCATGAAATTTATAATTTATAACTTTTCACATTTTTAACATTCAGTAAACAGTCAAGCAATTTTAACAAACACCACAGTAAATGAGTTAACATATGATGATCATAGAACCTTGTTACTTAACATAAAAAAAACCTTTAGAGTGGAGAAGAGACGATTTGGCTTCAAGTCTTGATCCAGCATTGCCATAGTCATGTCAATGACGATTAACAAGTGTCGCATCTGTTGGTAATGTTCACAACATGAATTTCAAAATATAGCATGCAATAGAAGATTAACAAAATGATATATGAAATATTTAATTTTAATAAATTGTTTTATTTCTAAAAATTCCACTGGCAAAATCTTTCTTTCTAAGGAAGTTTAATAAAAACATTCACAAAAAAGCAGAAAATTTACTCAACCATGCCAATCTTGACGTTTCCCACCCTGGACATCATCTGCCTCCTCTTGGCCTTCTGTATGATGTCAGCCACTGCTGACTGTAGGGAGCCTGCCTCATCTTCTTGCAGAACCTCCCTGCCACACAAATTTTATTGAACATTCAACTTTTTCATAGTTTCAATTAAGTTATCTGTTATTGGTTTAAAGTTTAAACTAATTGTTACTCTAACAATTAATTTCTTGTTTTTTAATACTTAAGATTGTTTTTAAAACTTTAATTAATTATTAAAAAGATTTATGATTACGATTATCTAGTTTTTTCAAACAAAACTGAATTAGCTACTATGGCAAAAGTATTTTAAAGCGTAGCATTCAAGTGCCAAGCTGGTTAGTTTTAAGATTTTTAAGCAGCTTTTGAAACACTCTGTCACGTCGTAAATAAACATAAAAAAGTAATATTGAGTGGGAGTTGCAGTAATTAAAAATTGAATATTCAACAGCAATTCTAAAAAATAAAAAAACAAAAAAAAGGCAACCCACCATGTTTTTTCATATTCAGCTTCCCAGGCATAACCTACATTTCCTTCATCCATAGTTGAGATCAAAATAATAACAATTTAACAAATAATTTTACAGAACGACCAGAAGTGAAATAATTTGAATCAAAAGCCACCGTGCTGTTTTCGAAACCACTTTTAAACAATAGATAAAACAGTTTAGTTTATTTTCTATTATACATATGGTAACGTGTAAATCATATTCATATTACTTATATTCATTTATTCTAATTATATGATATTACTACATTAAAAAAGTTTGTATTTTCGCTACATATATATCATGTAAATGTCCCATGATAATTATGGAATGTTTGACTGCATAAGTTTTATTTATTTCTGTAGTTTTTTTATTTATTTCTATACGTTTTTCAAGTCTTATTATGATGTATTATTATATACTTTTCATGTGTACATACATTTTAATTAACGTTAATATAATTTCAAAATTTATATTCTATAGATAACCATTTGAGTACAACGTGAATAAAATTAATGTTTTAATGCTTGTTAATCTATGCTATTCATAATTAAAGTTTTGAATTATTACGTATCATTGACTGCTCAATGTTATAAATTAATTTTTTATATACTTATGTATATTTTATATACATAAGCGCCAACTTTGGGGGCAAAGCCCTTTTTGACTCCCCCACTTCCCAATAAATTTGATAAAATGTAATTTTGGTCAATTCAACATTTACATTTATTTGCCATTGGAAATTAGCTGAATTTATTTTACATTACAATTTAAAGCGCGCTAATAATCAGTTTTGGAGCCGTAATATAATTTTTTTAAATTTTACATATATATGCAAAATTTTTTTGATTTTAATGACAAAGTATTTCGCCACGTTTCCATAGCATTGATGACCAGCCAAAAAAGTAGCAGTTTTTTGCTCTCTTTAATATAGTTATTATTTTTTTATTTTATTATTAATAGTTATTATTCACTTTTTTTTGCTTTAAGAAAACTTTTTTTATTATTCTTTAAAAATCAGGACATGACAGACGCAGAAACTGTTACAGCATGCAAGACAGTAGTATAATATTAAACGAATAAGTAACTAAATAAAAAAACGGAGAAAGAAAAATGTTTAGACATGAAAAGTAAAATAAAATAGAATAAAGTTAATAATAAATAATAATAAAGTAAATAAAAGAAACTAAAATAAATTGACAGCAAAATGAAGTAATGACACATAGAAAGGCAAATTAATTGACTAGATGACTAGATGAGGTGATCGATAAATAAAAACTAGATGAGTGAATGATAAAGTTTTTTTGGTTGTGTATATGTATGAGGTGTCTTGTGATGAAGGTCTTTTCCTGATATATAGATTGGATGACAACTTGATAGTTATGCTTGCGCTGACGAAGGCTGTGTGTTGTAGTTTTGATTGGTTATTATTTTCTACTTCTTTGAACAGTGTGAGTGACGGTAGGATATGATGCAAGTAGATAGTTGAAACGAATCAGCTTTTTGATGAGAGATTGTAGTTACTGAAGTTGTTGTTGTGTAGCAAAACCAGACCAGGAGGAAGCTGCATATTTGATGCGTGAAGTTATAAGTGATTCAGTGATGCCGAATAATTTGATGCCTCTGAGACCATGTGAGCGGAGTGTTTTGAATGCGTGAAATGTTTGAAAGCCTTTAGTGAAGATGCTATTGGTATGAGGTGCTATATTAAGTGTGGAGGTGAATGTGACGCCAAATATATTCAATTGACTTGTGCGAGTGTTCTGGAGGTGATGTTATTTTTTACGGCTATTGTGAATGATGAGTTGGAATGATTCATTGAGATTAAGTGACAGATTGCATCTTTTTTACCATGTAGCTAATGAGTCGAGTTCTGATTGGATGTGTTTGAGTTAGATGATGGGATGATAAGGTAGGCGTCGTCAGTGTATTTGATGATTTGATTAGAGCTATGAAAAGTTTTGAGAGTAGAAGCGTCGATAAAAAAGGTAAATGGTCCAAAGACAGAACCTTGAACTATGAATTAATAGGTAGAGTAGATGAAAGAGTAGCCTAAAGCTAAAGAAAGTAGAATGACTCCTATTAGATAAAAATTTTCGTTAATGTTGTCAGGTAGAGGAAGAGAGGCTAACTTATTTGAAAGTGAGAAGTGATTGAGAGTGTCAAAAGCTTTAGAAAAGTCGAGAGCAATACGATGAACATAATTATTATTTTTAAGGAGATATGTTATTGTGGAAGTAAGAGAGATGATGGCCGATGTAGATGAACCTGTAGGGCGAAATCAAACGGATCTTGTGATAGTGGTTTGATGAATGGATGGATGAAACATGGATAAATGAATGACCTAAAGATAAATTTTTCCAGAATACGTGAAAGTATGGGGGTGATAGATATTGGGCGATAATCTATTTGTGATGATGGGTGTTTTGTTTTAGGAATTGGATGAATTGTGCTGAATTTCCATTGTGATGGGATGAATGAATGCATTAAACAATGATTGTAGAGTGAATTTAAGGTGCTGGAAATGAATAGAGCGATGATTTGTAGAAACCATGCTGGTAGACTGTCTGAACCTTTACCGGATAGACAGGCCTTCGTTAGCATGTGCAAGACGGAGTATGGGGTAAATTATTGATGACGACTATTGATTGTTGTTGCTTTTGTTGGTGGAGGGTTGACATAGAAGCAAAGTGGGTGTTGAGTGTGTTGGCATCAATTTGCTGTGAGGTTGACGTGTTGAATGATTTGTGTAGAATGAATGAATGACGACGATGATGAAAATTTGTTGAATACATAATAAATTGTAAAACGAACTGTAATACAGCAACGAAATCTTTCACAAATTTTGAAAACATTGTCAGAAAAAATTAATTATTGTTTTATTGAAGGAAAAACTTTAGTTTTTCAACGGAAACATTTAGTGATTGAAAATCCACAACACAATGTCATGTAAACCATAGACATCGCAAACCAAAGATAAATAAACCTACTAGAGGTGAGCGGAAATGGAAATTTGTTCCTAACACCTTCCAGAATTCACATTCATGACAACGTTTCCTAAAATTCCCAATCTCTATTTTTTTTAACTCATTCTCACGTTTTCTCCCTCATTCCCACTTTTTCACATTTTTCAAAAATTTGAAAGTTAACAAATTTTTAATTTAAAAAAAAACAAAAATTAAAAATGTCTTTAGTAACAAACAAAATAAAATTCCAAAAGCTCTAAAATGTATCAAAACAACAATAAAAAATTATAATTTTATACAAGCTTATAAATATTCATACTATGTGAATTTCTATTGACCACTAGTAGTGTGCGCGTGTGTATGTGTCGACCACATGCTTGCGTGTATATGTTTTAAATGAAATTTTTTCATAGTCCCGTTGATCACACAAAGTTATTTTTTTTATTAACCCGCGCACGTGTCCGTATGTGTACCCTACTGTGTATGTCTCGACTCGATCACGTGTACGTGTGTATCATGGAAGTCTCGATATTAAGCTATCAAGAAGTTCTTGAAGTGTATGTATAATTTTTAAACAAACGTGATGTGAGATATACAATCTTCTGCTTCATAAAATATTTAACTCCTGCAAAAACAAAGTTTCGTTAGCAAAGATTGTTAAGAAGATTGTTATTCTTTGTCATAGCATCCTGCCAGTTGTAAAATCCATTCTGTCTTTTACAACATTTCTTTGCATTCATATGTGTATATATATTTTACAAGATTGCTCATGAACTTAAATGTGTAATTATTTTCTGATTCATAAATATTTAAAAAATGGATATTTTCAAAACGGAAATTTCAGATTTGTACCTCACGAAATTTATGGAGAAAATGAAAGAGGCCAGATTAGCTACGTACTACAACGCCCTGAAGAATTCCAGAATCAAGCACAACTTGCTCCCAGCAGACATCGCGGAATTGTCTGATTTCCTAATAACATGGTTTAATCAGGACGAATTTTCAGAATGGTCGAAAAAGATTCGCTTGTTAGACAAACAGCAACAATATGAATTATTAAAAGAGACAGAGGAGGCTTATTTTGAAAAACTCACAAAAAAAAGTTTTATTAAAATTTTGCCACACATGTATGGGAATCTGGTGACCGGAACATTATACCATCGGGACTCTTTTTTTCAATCTTTAAAAACTAAAAGAGTATATTTGGTACCATATTTTAAAGAAATAGCTATGAATGACAGTTGTACAATATGCTTGGATAATTTTGAGGAAGGCCATATTGAGTGCGAGTTGCAGTGTGGTCACGTGTATCACCCTCATTGCATTAGCGACTGGTTAAAAAAAAATTATTTCTGTCCTTTGTGCAGGAGGCCATTCTGTTTCCAAATACGAAATATAAGATCCTTCGACGTTGTACGTCGAGGCGACAAGAAACATTTGATAATTCGAATGGTAACCAAATCAAATGTTTAATTTTATGGCTACAAAAATATTATTTTATAACTTTCCAGATACATTTTACTTCCTTTTTTTAAACTTTCATTCGCTCGGTTATTTAATTAAAAATTATTGATTGGAATACTAAAAAATCATTTAACAGTAGGAATGGATCTAAACAACAAATTTGACGGGGCCTAATTTGTAAAAATGTTGAATTTTTTTTAATTTGACAGTGGACCAAATAACAGCCATCACACTTATCAACATGGATATATCCATGCTTACTAATGTCAGTTATTTGTTTTTCTTATTGATCTTTATCTTTTATTTATTTGTTATCATTCCAGTTTTAGAAATTTTACCATGGTGCATGGTTTAGATTTGTAAGAATTCTGGTAGATTCTTTAGAAATGGATATTTAAAATTGATTAAATTATAACTAAAATTTCCTTCATCCTTAGTGGAGATCTTAATAATAATAATTTAACAGAACGATCTGAAGAAATAATTTGAATCAAAAACCACCTTAAATCTTTATCCGTGATGTTTTCGAAACCCGTGGAGCTAGTACGGAAGAATAAAATCAATTTTTATTAAACCCGGAATTGATTCGTGGTGTTTTATTTATTTTTGAAGATTGTTAGGATTAGTCGTTAGGATTTCAATCCGACACTACCGAAATTGCTCTTGGGAAAATTGAGATATTCAACATTAAATCGGTTGATGTTTTCAATGTAATAAAAGGTCTGGACATCCCACTTTATTTTGGCATGCAATAAGCAGCGACCCGGCTTTAGCATTTTTGGCAGGTCAGGCAAAACTTGACGACGTGATTTTATTTATGTGTTATTGATATTACCAATGGAATGTAGTTAGCTTGATATTAACGAACGAGTACAAGCAAAAATTTTAAAGGTATGCTAGAGGTTTTTAATCTAAGTGTAAAGTGATAACAAATTCTTCTAGTTAAATCAGCGAAACATTGATTAAAGTTATTAAAAGATAACTCTTCTAGCTTTTTTGTCAGCAAAATTTTTTATCAGGCTTGAAAAATCTAAGTTTTTTGCTATTTCTTGCTCGGTTAATTGCCCAAAGAGTTACGTTGGTTTTGCGACATGGTGTTTTTCAAATATGTTTCAATTAGCTTCACTTGAAAAAAGCTACATTCCCATTTGCAACAGTTACATGATGAAGAATGCGCAGAAAAATCCATGAATTTGGATTTAACTCTCAAGGAAAATTTTTTAATATATATATATATATATATATATATATATATATATATTATATATATATATATATATATTTCAAAAATTCAACACTACTTTCAACATTGTTCAACTTTTTTATATTTCTTTTTAATTTATTAATGTCAGAAAAATTAGACATTTTATTGTTTTAAAAAATTTTATTAAATAAATTTGCAGATAGCAATTTTGAGTTATAGATAACTCATCTTCAGTGCATTATTTATAATGTATGTAAGATATTTGATAAGAAGGAACAAGTAATTATTAATTTATATAAATTATTTAATTAAAACAGAAAACGAATAAAATAAATTTAATAACATTAAACAATATAAAACGCGATTTTCAAAATTTGAACGGCAAGATTGTTTATATTATGGTTGTTAAGGTAAATATCAACGCTTAGCCGAGAAGAAGCGCGGATTAATTTATTTAATTAACTACATATTATTAATATTATTTTTACAATATTTAAAAACGTTATTATTATTATTATTGTTAACGTTATTATTGTTATTATTATTATCATCGCTGTAGTCCTTCTTGCTTCTTGTGATGATGTTCTATTTGCAAGTGACATTTGCGCTGGGGGTTGTGGCGTTGGTATCTACAGTGTTGGCACTGTTGTTGTTGTTGTTTTTGTTGATGCTGTTGTTGTTGATGTTGTTGTTGGTGTTGTTGATGTTGTTAACAACATCAACAATCTTATCAACAACATCAAAATCGTTAACAACATAAATTGTTAATAGTAATAAACACAAAAACCAAGTGAATTAAACTTTAATACTTGACTTGAACATTGACCAGGAAGCGTTTGCGTCATATTGTTTTCTAGCCTCTGCAGGTCGCCCATTATTTATTTGCAAATTAGATGTATCCTATAAGACGTTATAAGATCCGTGTGAGGTCAACGCCGCTTTAATTTCAACAGAGTTTATAATGAAAAAAAGTTTGATTACACTGCAGAGCCTCTGTCCAAAAATCCATGTGCAAGTAGTTGGTGTTAAACATTATTTGACACGATCAGTTTGTATAACATCCGTGACAGGTGCGTTTCAGATTACTGAGGACTCAACAATTATCATTTAGAAATGATGAAAGTTTCGTCATTTAGCATATTGATTCAACAGACCAGGTATATAAAGTTTTTATAAGACTTTAATTGAGAACATAAATTTCAACGTTTATTTGATTTCAAACAAAAAAAAGTGAAAAATGACAAAGGAATGCAATTCTAGAACAACAATTACCGCACAAAAATCAAGCGGCATGGAAAAATTATGGCGTGATCAACGTCTTAAATTGTGATTTGAAACATATTATAATTTCTAGTGAATGCATTTTAAATTGAAAGCTCAAATAATAAATAAAATGTCATCACATTACTATTCAATAAATGTAATTTTATAATCATGATTTGTTTTAAAAACAAATGATTCAAAACTATAAGAAACACTCATCATTAGTTAGAAATGTAAATTTTAAACCTTTTTAAACAATTGAATGATTTCATTTGATTTTAATTACAAATTAATAGCATAAAAAATAGCAAGCACGAATGGATGGGACATGAATATACTCTGAATAAAAATAAATAAACATTTCAACAATCATGTAAAGAAATGTATATAAACATAAATGATTATTTTAATACTTAGAATTAATATCAACTATCAAATATTTGAATTGACCTCAATAAAAAAGTAAATCCTTCAACCAAAAAACAAAAACACAGAGCATTAAAGACAGTCCATTTCAAAACTAGTTTTAAACATTGCCAACTTTTGTATAAAGATTATATAATTATAACAGTAAATAATTACGAACAAATTTACGATTATTATTTTAGTTATTATTACGTAGTTGAAGTAGTAGCGGCATTACAACTTCCAGGCCTGCCTCATCATGTAGTCAAAGTACACATCCTCATCGATAGATGCACTGACACCAGCGTAATAATTTGTGAACTCATCTCTGGTCACCTACAGCAAATAGCGTGAAGTTTAAATTTTTAATTTTAAAAACGATTTTTTCATAACAAAAAAAGATTGTCTTGTAGTATTACTTAATCTAAATAAGAATAGTTATATTTAGAGTAATGTAATGTAACTAACTATATCATCCATTTTTGACCCAGCCTGAAAATTGTCTAAAAACTCCTTCAATATCTGATCTTTAGTCATCTCACCCGTTTTGAACTTTGGATGTTGAGTGACGTCATAGTTCTTTTTCAAATCATCAACTGTCAATTGTCCATCACCTGATTTGTCCATCTTGTTGAAAGCTTTGTTTATCAGATCAACACGAGATGCAGACATTGGTGGCTGGATAGGAGGGAATCATTGAAATGTCGTTAATAAGACTGAAAAAACTTGTCAGTGTTGAGTCGATGTGGGTTTACCGTGGAGCACATAAAAGATTAAAATAGACTTTGTGCTAATTAACTTCAGGTTACGATAGTGACCTCAAAGAACGTATTTGGTGGTAAAAAGATATTTTTCAAATAGGATAAATAGATGTCTATAAAAACTATTTTTAAATAAAAGTCAAGCAATTGAGAGGATTTTTTTTATTTATTTTGGTGGATTTGACAAGTGAATGACCTACCCTTAAAGCAATGAGAAACTCATCAAAGTTTATAGAACCACTGTTGTCCTTATCTAAATAATTGAACAGTTGATCCACTTCTGACTTGGACATGCTCATTCCAAATTCTTGTAACCCACTGGCTAACTCTTCCTTATCTAACTTCTTGTTTCCATTGTCATCAAAAGTCTTGAAAACCCTGTAGGAAGATTAAAAAATTTTGTATGAGGATAAAGCACATCCAATTTTAGATGGATTATTATATTAATTTAATATTTTAATAATAATAATAACTTATAATTATGAAATTCAATAAATATATAATTTACTGATTATAAATATATAATATATATATACGTTTTGTATATATAATTTACAGATTACTATTATAAGTATTAATTATTAATGTAAGTAACTAATTACTAGTTAAATTTAAACTTATAGGCTGAATTTCAGATTAATTTATTAAAAAATTCTCAAAAAAAAAAAATTAGTCCACTGAACCTGCCAATCATTCTTATCCCACTTGCCCCTCTCTCCAAACATCTTGCTCTCAATTTCTCGATGGGAGTTGTCATTTTTTATTTTAGAAAGTTAATTTTATATTAGTTTAATATTTAATTTTATTTATCTAATTTAAATATTTAATTTTAATACTAACTAATATTATTTATTTATAATATTTATTATTATAATTTTTATTATATATTATTAACTTTTTTTTAACAAGCAAGCAGACTTTTTTGGTGTTATTCACAATTTTCTCTGAAAAGAATTCAAAGTAGATAGCTAGAAAAAAAAATAATATCATAAAATATATTAAAATAAATAATTGTGGAACAATAAATAACTAAATAAATTATAATATTGAAGTGAATAATCGATACCCCACCAGAACAGAGCAAGCAGCATCAGACAACAGCCTGCAGTCACCAGTGTACACGCTCTGCAACCATGTACATCGTTTAAGTGATGCACCGACAAGATATATTCAATGTAGTCAACGTATTCAATTTTATTCTATATATATTTTTTTTTAGTCTGAATACATACATATGTATGTATATATTCATGTATATATGTATGTATTCAATGCGTATTCGATGTACATTTTTATAAGCACGGTACAACACTGTTTTTTTATAAGAATTAATATTATTTTTCATGATGATTTAGGGGAGCGTTCCTAAAACGCACTCCACTCCCAAAACGCACCCCCAGTGAAATTCAAATAACGCGTACCATAAATTTTGAATTTTTATTTCCATTCGCTTTTGGTCTATCGGAAGTAAACTTTTAACATCGAAAGCGCGTTTGTTTTGAATACGAGCCTGCTTCACGAACAAAAGTAAGTTTTGTTACCATTTTCGATAATTTTATCAATTCTTAAAATTGGTCTGTAGTCATTCAGAATTATTATCTCTTAATGTATATTATCTTAAAATGTTGCTAATCCTGTAGTGAATAAATGCTATTTAAAATAATATCAATATTTTGTACGGTATTTTCGAGATGGTCGTCTACGTGAGTTCTGTGAGTTTTCCCAAAATGCACCATCCATTGATTCCCAAAACGCACCATGAGGTGCGTCTTGGGAAAATATCAGCAATTTTTTAATAAAATTAAAGAACATTTTATAAAATTAAATTATTAAAATATAATGATTATATTTTCAATTATTATGCCATAATAATTAAAAGTTAAAACCATAATAATTAAGGGTTTAACTTTTAAGGTAGTTTTATGTTACAAATTATAATGACCACATTGTTATTATATTACAATCACAATGTTGTCATTATAATTTGTAACACAAAATTGCCTTAAAAAACCATAATTATGACATAATTATATACTTGCCTTTTACAAATACTATGGATATGCAATGCTAGGGTACCAGTTTGCTTACTTAATGCCTACTAATTTTGTTATTAACTTATTTATTATGTACTAAAACAATCATTTTCCTATCATTTACAGATGGGTCGTTACTACATAAAAAAAGCACAAGAGGAAATTATAGCTCAGAAAATTTGAAGAAAGCTTTGGAGGATTTACGTGAAGGTCAATGATATCACAGTGTTTCAAAAAAGTATACTATACCACGTCGAACACTTCAAAGACATATGAAAGGCACTATCCGACAACCAGGATGTATAAAGCTTGGTAGATTCCGACTGATTTTATCGGATGAAATGGAGACAGAAATTGTCCATCATGCAATTGACATGCAACAATGATTTTATGGCCTCACACCAATGGACATTCGGAAACTTGCCTTCCAGTTGGTGGAAATGAAGAAGTTGCCTCATCCATTTAATTCTACTAAACAAATGGCAGGGAATAAATGGTTGCTGGGATTTATTGAACGTCACCCAGAGTTGTCAGTTCGTGAACCGGAGGCCACTAGCATGTCTCGTGCAGTTGCATTCAATCGTCCTCAAGTTTCAAGATTTTTTAATCTGGTTTTGGTCTAAATTTTTTTTTTCATATTCATTTTCAGCATAAAAAACTCTATTAGAATCACTTATAAAGTCTCAAGAAAAAAAACCTTGTAAATCAGTGTTGTTGTTATAACCTATTTTTTACTTTATTTTGATAGATCGCAATTATAAAGCACCTAATATGCTTGCTGTACCAATTTTACTTGGATGTCCCAAAATGCACCTGGGGGTGCGTTTTGGGAAAACCTTTCCCAAAATGCACCCTCTCAACCAAATATTTTTTTGACCTGCTGTCGTTTTTATTTGAAATATTGAGGGCCAATTTCTTTCCTTTCACACTTGTTACATGCCATTTCATTTGATGTTAAGGAACAGCTACAAGCCAAAATTCCTTAAAGGGTGCGTTTTAGGAACACTCCCCTAATGTTGACAGAACCTAACCTGCTCACCCTATACTCACCCTCAAACGTACCTATGTAGATTTTTCGAGAGCTTTAGAAAAAATCCAGCTTCACCCTGGTCTGGTGTCTTTTTTTTGATTCCTTGAACAGTTATTATCATGGAATTCAATGGTTATTATTCATCCAAATTTAAAAATTTTCTTTTTTGATAGTTTATTAATAATTTTTGTCTACTTCTTTAATATTTTTTTTACCTTGAATATTTTTTTTACCTTGAATATTTTTTAATTTCATGGATTTGCATAATATTTTAGCCAATTCACTTTTTTTCATTCTGGTGTCAAAAAACTTGCAACTATCAGTGGTTATTATCATTTGCATACCTCTGGTAATGGTGAGCGACATGTATTTTTACAAAATGTTTCAAAATAAAGAAAATGTACTCGGATAATTCTGAACTTTACCATGATGATCGACTTATGATATATCCATGGATATAACACATTTTGAAAAATTTCTTTGAAAACCCTTTTATATATTAAAATATTTTATTTACTACTAAAATTTATTACGAATGCTTCAAATTTTTTATTCACTAGTTGCTAATTATTTTAAGAACCAAAATTTTAGTCCTCAAAAAAATCAACCTCAATCTGTTTTGGGAATTAACACCATGGAATTATATAATTATATATATAATTCAATGATTAACACTAACATAAAATAATTCCGCTACTGAAGAGCGCTAACGTGATCCAAACACATTTTTGTGATTTTTATCAAAGTTAACTTTTAAGTTTATTTATACTCTCACTCAACACTTATCTCGCGAATATTGATAGTTGGTAGGGAAAAAAGTTTTGAGAGTAAGTAAAGGTGCGCTTCTAACTTTTGTAATATGGAAATGTTTTTGGCGAAATCGAAAGTAGGCTCTTTTTGAGCATTGTGTTGCTGCCTTAGTTCTTTGAGCTAAGAGAAGAGGCTATGCATCACTTCTATTTAGCTTTTTATTAGTTAAGTTTTAACTTTTAATTTAAAAGTTATTAATCAATTAATTTATTAATAATGTTAATTAAACTTCTTTTAAAATTTAAATTAAAGAATGTTAAATAAAAGTTCTCATTTATCTTTCTTCTTGCATTTCAATTTATTACTAAATTTTTATTTATTAATTAATTAATTAATTATTTATTTATTTATTACTACAGTTTTTAAATTTCTGAACATAGAAATAGAAACAAAATTTATTTGCAATGGTATTTTATTGGGCATCTAACTAAACTAAAACTAGAGAGGATTGCCTAGCACACATTACCAATTTGCAACTTTAACCATTCTGCACTGCCTCCATCCTCATTGTTGGTGCAATGTAATCATTGTAATCTTAATGTAGTTTTATAATGTTATTAAATTAATCAATGTAATATTATATAATTTTTTTTATTATAATATAATCATATATATAAATGAATGTGTATTTTGTATATCTCTATATAATACTGTTTATATTTTTATGGGCATTAAGAACCAGATTAATTTTCATTCTTCCTTGCCCTATTTCTAATTCTTGACCCTCACTGCCTTCTGAGTGATGTTGGATCATCAAAGGCTAGGCCCACCGCTTATAACTGTGGTTGCGTAAGGAAGGGCGTCCTGCATAAAAATTAGCCAAATAAATTACTTATGATGGAATGGCGTCGAGGGGTATTTCGGTCTCATCATAGGTAGCCAAACGGCAACCCTCGATCTCGGGGAAAATGTCATCTAAACGTGTGTTGTTGTTGTTGTATTTGTATGCCATGTATGGAGTGATGAAATTTTATTGTTCATTCTATTATATGTATTGCTACTTAAGAACTTATCTGTTTAATAAAAAGTTTAAGATGAATGTGTCTGTCATTGTATGGTTGTGGGGCTGCAGTGAAAGTCTTTTTGTAGAATGCTTGACAATCTCAAACAAAATATTAATTTCAGCTCTGGTTCAATAAATAATGATTAAGTTATAATAAAAGACATAACTTTTTAAATTTAAAAAATATTAATTTCAGATTCTTATTTAAATTCAAGGAGGAAATAGAAAAAAAATCAATAATAGATAAAACAAAAATAAAATAAATAGTATAATAAATAAAAATAAAAACAAAATTTATGGAATAAATTTCAAACCAAAGTATTCCTGCTATCTGTATATATTGTATGGTAATATATTTTCATTCACACGTTACAAAATGAAAAAAGTAATCAGTTTGATATCGACACTCGCTTGGCTTGCCACAACGTTGTTATACAGCAGTGCCTCCAACGGGGATCTCTCTCAGGTCTTCTTGAGCTGCAGAGATGAATGCTACTCACGCAACTGCTCAACTCCAGGTCAAACAAGTGTATTTCTTCTTTATGATTATTATTCTTTAAATATGTGAATGCAAATAAGCACTTGGCATTCATTATTATCATAGTGAATTCATGAGATGTAATTTTTTCTAATATTCTCTTTTGTATCAAACAAATTAATTAGCTTAAATGTAGTTAATTCTGTGCTCAAATTCAACTCTTTAATATACAATTTTTAAACAATTACTCAAGTTTTTATAAAAATTCATAGAAATTTTCATTTTTTGACAATTTCTCTGTCTTAATCTGAAACAACATTACATTTCCAACAGAAAAGCAAAAAAAGTTTTATAATAAGCATCCACTTATTTTGAAGTTAACGATGTGGGATTGTCTTGATGAGTGTGAGCACCAGTGCATCTGGCCCACTGTTGATGTCTTCAGAGAGGAACATGACATTGTGCCAAAATTTTATGGAAAGGTTGTGTTATTTCTTATGTCTTTTTTACTTCCAGGGTTGTCCCCCTTTTTTTTAGACTAGCAGGACATTGTCATTGCATAATTTATTCTGTATTATTTATCAATAAAAATTTAATTAGGTAAATAAATAAATTAATTAGTTTGCCAATAAATAAATAAATAATTTTATTTAAAAAGTGGCCTTTTATAAGGATTCTTGGATCGCAAGAGATTGCCTCCTCCATAGCATCACTGCTGAACTTGTGCTCACACATCTACATGATTAGAATATTCAGGAAACAAGTCAGATCGAGCTCAGCAATGTACTACCTATGGAATGTTACAACTCTTGTATGCCTATTATATTTTGAAATTTTTCTTCTTTATTCTTAAATATTTTTAAATATTTATATTACATTTATATATTATTACAATATATTTTATTTAGATTAATTATATTTATCTAAAAGTACCTAATGTTCTATATCATTGAACTGGTAGATGTGTAATAAAACTGTTTTAATATTGGAATGTGTAAATTGTAAACAGGTAGGCATAAACACATGGTTCTGGTCCTTCCTCTTCCACATGCGAGATACACCATTCACTGAGGTTTAGTCGTTCATATCCTGCTACTCCTACCCTCTGTCCACAACTTTTCATATCATTGTACTTATACCAGCCACCTTTCTGATATTTCAAAATTATTTGTATAAAGATTACTAATTTTTGTTACAATAATAGCTATAATGCTGCTGTTGTTAACTGGTTGTTGTTTTTGTTTGAGTAATTATTTTGTAGTTCTTTGTAATTTATATTATGTTTAGATTTCTGATTTTCGAGGCGAGCAAAGTTTTTATATTCTACCAATTCACATATGGTTGATTAGATGTCTTTTGCTATCTTTTTTTGTTGATTAGTAAATGAGCAAGTTCCAGTTTATTTTTTGTTTTTATTTTTCAATCAGTTGAAATTTCGTTGAAAAATTTATCATCATCATAAGTTATATTCATTTCAGAAAATGGATTATTTTTGTGCTGTCAGTGCAGTCATGTACAACCTCTACATATTCATCCACAGGTCTACTTCCCAGTCTAGGGCTGGATACTCAGTTCAATTTTTGATGATGGCTTATTTTTGTCTTTTTTGATAATATTTTTCAGTTATATATTTTTACGTTTAGCAAACTGCATATTGAATATGCTCTGCTATTCATAAGTGGAAAATAAATGGTCATTTTAGAGAATTTTTCTTAAATAGAATTTCCATATTTTCGTTTTTCCATGATTTTAAATATTTTGATTTTTTAACTTGAAGGGTCTGATGAAATAATATTTTCAGAACGACACTGGGCAACAGGGCACTCCATCTGTCAGTTGGCTCCACCATGCTCCTCTTCTTCACATATCATGTTTACTATCTATCGTTCGTCAGGTTTGACTACGGTTACAACATGAGAGTCAATGTTGCCATAGGCCAGTCCCGTCATCTTCTTAATCATAAAATTATCTAATGCATTTCATTTTTGCTCATTTCTTGCTTGATTTCATTTATTTCTGTTTTTGCTTCCAAACAATATTTACATTTTTTAAAATGTCAGACATTGCCACAATGAAAATATTTATAAAAATTGCGTATATATATTTACAATTATTCAATTTTTTGCTTGCCAGGTCTAGCAAATGCCTTAGGATGGATAACATGGAGCCTAAAAGTTCGCAGACAGCAGCCGTATGCAACAAGATGTGCGATCAGTATCGTCATCACCCTTCTCTTCATGCTCCTGGAAATTTGGGATTTTCCACCTATACTTGGAATTTTTGATGCACATTCTTTGTGGCACTTCGGCACCGCTCCTATCGCTTTGCTCTGGTACAGGTATGCCCCAGTTACACTATTTTTTTTTTTTTTGTAGTTTTTGCTGCAATTATTTCAGCTATCTAGTCCATTCCGTTTTTTTTTACTTATTTGCGAGACATATTCATAATTCACTGAAGTAGTTGCTTATACAATTTTAAAGGTTTGGCATAGAAGATTGCCTGTATCTTAAAAAAATGCAATTCTACAAAACGTAAAATCAACTAATATCTGCATAACCACCGGTCAGCTGTGGAGAATGTTTGCTTCCAAATCACTTATTTTTGCTTAACGAGCATCTGCATACTATTATTGATCTTTTAAAAGTAGCAATGAATTAAATTATTTCGCTTTCTGCTGATATATGTTCTAACACCAAATGCTGATAACATTTAAGTTTTCAATTTCATTCTCAACTTCTGTCTGTACTATTTTTTTAACATATTTTCATTTTTGTTAACCAACCTCAATTCCAGTTGTTTTAAAAATTATTTTTGTTAATTTTTTTTACACCGATTTCTAAGCACCGTTTAGTAGTTAATTAATGTCTGTTTCTACTGGAACGTATTATATTAGAAAACCTACACGCGTCTTTCGTAACGGGATGAACTCATGTACCATTGATCAGGTGTATCATTTCAATAAATTAACGAGTTAGTTTAATCCTGTAAATTCTTATCGATCGATTGTTAGTTATTTTATTTGCAATGTTTATTTAAGTCGCAAAACTATCATGACGTTAGGCATCCTTGTTTCTGTTTGGGTATGAAAGCGCATCAGTTGCATGTTGAGTGTCCAATATTATATTAGGCTACCTTACCACTGAGAAGTTTCTCGGTAAATAAGGCTCATTATGATATACCTATTATGTTGTATTTCTCGATTATTTTACACTTCTAATGCCGTTTACTTTATTAATTAATTAATTAATGAAATGTTCAGTTGATGTTTTGAAATGCAAATAAGACAAGAAAGAACAGACAGCCAGGCTGTTGTAGTATGTTTCTGTTTTCTAATTCTTTAAAGCTAGTTAAAGTGTCATTTTATATCACTTAACTATTTATTTGAGAATGTATTTAGTTTAATATATGCATGTTTGCGTAATATACATGCACACACTCACGTACACAATTATCAATCTTGATTTGTTAAAAAATAATAATACAATGGTAGTAAAGTTAAGTTTAAAAAATCAAATGTATGGAAAGCCATTTCTATTTAGTTGTCTTTCTGGCAATAACATGGGGGATGTTTCAGAAAAGAGAACAGCGTTAGCATCCGCCCATTCAAATGATCCCTGTGTAAATGTGAAGCATCTGATCAACGCTAGTGCATCGTCTTCAGCTCTGTGCGAATCTTCTGGAAGTTTGCCAGTCACTCGCCTATGGATCTCGGTCAACTTGTAACTCGTTTTCACGCCATTAATGCACGGCGTCTCGCCATTCGAGCAGTTTATTGAGCCGACAGTACGTGTTTCTGGTCGTGTTGCTGTTGTTATCGGACTGTCGCGTGGAGGTGTCGGACTGGGAGGCTGTGTGAACGTTGGAGAGGTGGTCTTACAGAACATGGAGAGAGGATAAGGTGAGGACATGCTGTGAGGAATCTTACCGTTGCTTTTGCCGTTCGTTGTCACGACTTCATCTTCGTCGTCTCCTTCATATTTAGGGTGGCCGGCATCATCGTCGTCGGTCAAATCAGAGGAGAGGTTGTCCTCTTCTTCTGAGACACCCCACCAATCGGTTCGTTGCTGAGGTTTGCATGACTTTTTGTTTCGCGGAGGAGTTGAAACTGTCAAGCTGTGAATGTCCATAGGAGTTGTTGAAGGTGGCTGCTCGATGAATTCCTCGCTGTTTGATGACGGAGTAGGTGCAGCGCAAATTGCTGTACGGTTTTTGCCTTTGTCTTCAACATCAGGGATGTGCCACCAATCGGTTCGATGCTCCTCCTCCATGCCATTTTCTCGAGTCTGATTCCTTCGTCCATCTCTTTGAAAATGATGAAAATTGGATTTGAGTTAATTAAGTTCATGAACTGCTACTAAAAGATTACACATGTACTCAATAGTCACAAAAATTTCGTTTATAGCATAGATTTGTTTCAACTCAAAGAAATTAATAAAATTATTCATTATGATAATGTTATAATCATAAAGTTGTCTAGAATAATAATGATTTACTTTATATTATTCCCTGATTCATTAGGACAGGCCTCATTTTTGTGTCCATTAACAGTGATTGGTGATGGGTTGCTATAAATAGCATTCCTTCTTATGGTCTCATCGAGCGACCTGAAGAGTATCAACGAATCAATGCACAGCAAATCGCTGGGCAGGTCTCCAAGTCTCTTCACGGATTTCAGCTCTGCTTGAAGAAGTGGGAAATCAAACCTGAAGCCACTGTGAGCCACGAGACAGGTCGGTGGTTCCAATCTTGAAATGAACCTCACCAACATTTCAACCAGGTCATCATCAAAGTTCTTCTGATGACTCAATTCCATGTTTGACAGACCTGAAACAATATCGAAATTAAACAACTAATGTAATTTAAAATCTGAGAAGTCATTAAAATAATTATACTACGAGAGAAATGAGACTGTTATATATTCAGTTGAAGTAATTACCAAATAATCCTTATAAATTTTATAATTTATGTTCTGAAATAATTTTTGTGAAAAATTGTGTTCCCATTTCATTTTGCGCTTTGCATGACATAAAATGTTGCAAACCTGTCATATCAGAAGCAGTTTGTTCGATAGTCTTTAGAGGGGAAACACAGAGTGTCAGTTTGTTCACGACTCGGGGCAAGTAACTGCTACGACTTTCAAAAGAGACAGGCATCTGTCTGGCAGTTTCCATTGACAGTCTGTTCACAGCTACTAAACTGACTTCAGTTATCCTGGGTTGTGTTAGTCCTGTTGCTTCCAGATCAACAAAAACAAAAGTGTTAATTTTGCTGTCAGCACGATTATGATGCTTCTGATTGGTTATATATGCTGCCTTTTTTTGCCCTGAATATTTAGTTGTGTTGTAAACATTATGCGATGCTATGTTGTTGCGGTTGTTTGTTGTTTTGATTGATTCCTGTGATCTGTTGAACATGCCGTTGTGACCATTGATGTGGCCGGTACTCGTCGTGTCGTGGTCATCATTATCCATCTCCTCATTGCTTATTCTATCCAGTGAGGAACCTGGAGAGAAAAGTCATTCAACAAAATAAAAAATTATTAACAATTTGATAATTAAAATGAGTATTTCATCAGGTTACATTCATGTATACATACATACTAATAATACATACATACACATACATATATAAAATAAGGGTTAAGCTTTGATCAGTTACTGGTTCAATTTTTCAATATGTTTCGTATTTTTATCATCAAACAATGATACAGTGATATTTCTTAACAATATATATTTTGGTCTTTTACCAGCGCATATATATATATATATATATATATATATATATACAATATTCTAGAAATTCTACCGAATGTTTGGCGTTAATATGTTTGTAGTTTTTTGGTTATTGAAAAAACGAACTACAAACATATTAAGGCCAAACATTCGGTAGAATTTATAGAATATTGTAAAAATTATGGTCTATTACCAACACACACACACACACACACACACACACACACACACACACACACACACACACACACACATATGTGTGTATATATATATATATATATATATATGATTAAGACTTTTTCTTTTTTTATATAGGATTAAGACTGTCAGAAATGCAATTATTGATGAAAATCACAGCATGTTCGGGGTTAGTTAACTACCAATTTAATTTAACTTCCAATTTAACTTTTCAATTTTTCTAACGGTTGATCGTAAATCTGTTTGACTAAAGAAACTTGAAAATGATTTGCGATCAACCATTAGAAAAATCGAAAAGTTAAATTGGAAGTTAACTATATATATATATATATATATAATATAATATATATAGTTTGATGAAATCTACCGAATTTTGAGCTGTTGATAATAGGTTACTACATTTAACATATGCTACTACGAAACGTGGTTATCAGATGCCAAAAATTTGCTAGATCCCATCAAAGTATAAATTAAAGTCTCCTTCCATATATACATATCTATTGATTGATAATTCAAAATAAATGACTCAACATTCAAAGAGAGCAGTTGCTAACTAGATGATGCAGACATGTTCTCCTTTATTTTGTATTTGTTCTTCCTTATAGTTTTCCGAATTTCAGTCAGAATAGCCTCATCATCTTCAAACTTATCCACATCGATGTTTTGAATTTTCAAGATGGCCACAACATTTGAATCTCTGAGCTTGTGAGATTTTCTACATTTGTTGGCACCGTAACTGCATGTGCCGATGACGAAATGGCTGCAGAGATGAAGATGAGGACAGGAAACTGAGTAAGGACAACCCATCTTTTCAAAATTGTATGAGTTACAAACAATAAGATCAGGTATTTTCTTCATTAGCAATTGCTGCCTCAATGATAGGTGCTGAAGAGTGCTGTAATTATTTAATAAGTTGCTGCTGCTGTTGTTGATGTTATGCAAATTTTGAATAGCAGCAAGGGATGAAGTCTTGTTCTGTGGCTTGTTGTTGCGATACACATCAATTTCATTAACGTCGTCAACATCTTGTGAGCGGAGTTCATCCTGCAAAGCTTGCCTCATGAACGAACAGTTTCTCTCATCTATGATGTACCCCAGGTTGGAGAATATGAAGGAAGGTTGAGAAGCAGTAAGGTCGTGATTGAGGCAACATGATGCCGATGAACATCTCTGCTCCATTATGTAGTTCATGCATATGTGCAGTGCCATGCAGTTTGTACCATCTAAATTTAGTTTAATTAAATTAATTAATTAATTAATTTAATTAGTCTAAATTAAGTTTTTAATGTCATATAATTAAGGATCAAATTAATTTAATACATTTGCAAAATTACAAAATTTTAAAAAGACAAATAAAATAATGCATGATTTGTTAAAGAATTTGCTAAAAAATGATTGAAACAAACTGACCAACTCCATACTTGCAGCCTGCCTCACCGTTGTAGAACTTGCAGATTCTCGGGTACTCCTGTCGCAAAAGGTTCCTCAAGTCATAAATGCTGAACTGGTTGTACAAGTTGCCGTAGCAATCGTATACTGTGTCCTCAAAATAGTTGGGTCGCATCACCAACATGTAGCTATTTTTTTATCATATGAAATTTCATACATTAAACTAAATAAAGATAACTAACTAAATAGAACAATAAAACAAAATTTAAATATGAACAGACAATATAAAAAATAACATGGAATGAAAAAATTTTTTTAATAAATTTGCCAACAAACCTTTCAAGAACCTTCTGGTTCCTGGATGAGGAGAGGTCATGTCCGTAGCAGCAGCTGTTTGGAAACTTGCAGACATCATAGAGGAAAAACTTGCAACAATGAAGTTTCATGCATCTGTCGTTGTGGCAACCACCTTTGCTCAAATGGTCCTGTTATGTTGTCAGGTGCAATAAATACTGGGTCACTGCTCTCCATGGACAGTTAATAACAATGATATTAACAAGTTTCACAAATATAACAAATGATAAACTCAATGCATTATAATCGCTGATTTATGTTAGCAAACATTTTTTGTTATTGAATGTAACTTCTTACACCAGTGCTTTATAAATTAAAAACGGGAATGAAAAAAATTTGAAAATGGAAAAAATGATACACTTCAATAGTTATAACGTTAAGTTAGATAAAATGCAGTAACTCATAGAAGCAAATAAAAGCCCTTATCTTTATAACCTGCAGAAAACTCAATTACACTCACATTTAAAAATTCTATTTATCAATTAATTTTAACAAATCATTTTTTTGTTTAGTTTGTTCATAAGTTATTTGTTTAATTCATTTATTCATTCATATCCCTGTTAATTAGAAGTTAACAATGTACACTCTTCTTCCTTTTCATTTGCACATCATTCATTCATTTCATTTATCATACACCGATCAAATTGCTTGTTCTTATTTTTGTTGATTTATATGCAAACATTTCATTTTTACTCTACTCACAATGACTTTACAAATGAAACTGTGTGCCGGACTGACATGAATAAGTGTTTTCCGAGAAAAAACAAGCACTTATTTCATGATAGATTATTAATAATGAATCATAAATTAAATAAGATACATAGTAAAAATAATCATTGGTGTCACTGCTCAAACAAACCTTGCAGAGAGTTAGCTGTATGTTGCTCTTGATGGAGAACACCTCTCCGTACTTACATTTACGCATCTTGTATGAGAATATGTTCGGGTATCTATCGTGCATTTATAATCATTACAATGTATTATAACTAAATTGGTGATTAAAATATTAAGCGATGATGTCTTGAATCATAATGATAAAAAATTAGGAAAATAGATTTAAAATCTCGAAAATAACTCATGACATTCAACTAGTGTGGAAATGTGCTCAACAGCAGGTATCAATCATACAAATACAAAGTCACATTTTGAAAATTTTATAAACACACAAACATTTCTTCTGATCATTTGAAGTTCACAATGAACAAAAATTTAAAAACTTATTTTTTTACATGTCAGCTGCTATAATCACAAGATTTAAGTTCTTTTGTGAAATATACTGCCCTATTTATCAATCATTGCAATGATCATGTATTTGTGTTCCGATTTGTCATATAAATATATACAATGTAGTTAAAATGGATAGGGTGTAAACAAATTTTCCTCCTTGAAAATGAGCCACTGACTAACCAGTTAAGTTTTGTGCAAGAATCAGGTTTCTAAGAGTGTGTGCAAGATTAGGAAGGCTTTTAATATGCATTTTCATGTTCTGATACATCACAATAATCATAATCACTATTATTATTATTCTTATAAATGTAAATACAACCATTTGTCAAACAAAATCCAAACATACACAATTTCATACATATTAATTAATTTAGTTATTTATTCATACAATCATGAAACATGAGAGAGAGAGAAAGAGAGAAATCACTGAAAATTAGGAACCTATTGAGGTAGGGAATGAGAGAATATGGTGGCGGGCTCCTGCCATTGACATAAAAATACATGTCTTCCCACTGCTTCTCATCTATTATACACTCACCATTCCTAAAATAAAAATGCATGGTAAATATTGTCAAATTAAAGTATATTACTACAAAATATAAATTATCATATGAATTACTGATTATTTTACACGATTAAAATTTAGTTACTGAATAAATAAATGTATATACATAAATTATTTTGTTGTTTCAAAATCAGTAATTCTTGATTTTGAAATAACAATATAATATATTGTTTTTTTTTAATTATAATTTGAAAAAAAAAAACCAACTCATTTTTTAGTATCTGGTGAAGAATATATATGCCGACATTCCTGTCGTCAGTTTCACCATCAATCCCCCAATGACAATCCTGGTAGCTAATCATTTTGTTGTTTGTATGTTGCGGGTTATTTGTTGGTGGTGGGGAAGGCGTATCAATCACCCAATCTAATGCCTCTCTCCCTTTCACTTTGTTTTTCTGTGATGAAAAATGGTTTCTATTTAATTTTCTAACGTTTCTTTGAATAAAAAACAAACAAAAATGAATTCACAAAAAATACGGATGAATAATAAAAAAATGCCAACCGAAAATGCTATTGACGTTTCATCAGCAGGACTCAACCAACCAAGCCAACGATGCTCAATATATCACAAATTCAAATCTAAACTATCAAAAATTGACCGACCAAGCGTTCGAATGACGGCCGCAGCTTCTAAAACATTTACTTCCAAAGTAATCACTTCCAAAATAATTGAATAATTAATTTAGTTAAAACTTCACACAACAGGTAAGGAAGGTAAGCGAGTGTAAGTGAGGTGAGTGTGTAGTGTAAACTACATTATTTCCGCAAAATGTTCACGTTTCGAATGAGATTATAAAATCAGCACTAACTATGAATAAGTGATAATTAGTAAAATAATTTCTACTTTAATTTTTTTATTCCAGAATTCGACGATTTAGTACTCAACTCAACAAATTCTCATTTTTTGTTTGTTATTGTTTATTTTATTAGCACTCTCCGCTATTTATACTCAGTCCGTCATTGTTTTCCAAAAATCTCAAAAGAATTAAATAAGATAAGGTATCTTCCTCTTATTCACACGGATATATTATATATATTAAATATATATATATATATATATATATAATATATTCATGGTTATTCATTTCGTAGTTTGGTTAATATTACGAAGGAATGGCCGTATACTAAAAAAATGGCGATGGTGACCTCGATGTTTTCTATATTTTATTTTTTATCTTCCGGACCTAGGCACTAGTACGTTTAACTTTAAACAAGCGGCTGAGCCCGGATATAAAAAATAAAATTAGAATTATTAATAATAATAAATAATGAGATCAAACTATAAGTTAGTATGTGATTATATTATCTACAATCACAGTTTCATGAGTTTTAACGAAACGAATAATTGAGATATTAAGAAGAGGATAATGCCCTCAAAATGATCTGCATTGCAATTACGGAACGGACCTCTCTGCATATTCAGTGGCGAACTTCATGGACTTCCGTTATAAGCAGTAATTGAATTAAAACTCAGTAAAACTTAGTATTAATAATGTTACTTCTAACTCCTTTACTTTTACTTTTGAGATCTATCATTGGCCCTCTTCGTTTTATACTTTTGAACTACCTCGTATTATTAAAACTTTTTCTTTTATGCTGATGATTTTTATATTTTTATTTCTTTCCCTCCACCTAATCTCAATAGTGTTTTTCGTAATTTTTCTCTACGTCTCTCTATCTTCCATTATAGCATGGTCTGACTCTATGTATCTTAAACTTAATCCTTCTAAGTTTGAATTACCATGTTTTAATAAATCTAAACTCTCTATTACTATTTTTTCTATTATCTTACCTGATTCTAAAATTCTTGATGTTTCTCATAAGCCTAATAGTCTAGGGCGTTATCTTTTATTTTAGCATGTCTTTTTTTTCTCAGAAACTTTTGCCTTTTCTTGACGATCCTACTTTCTTTTACTTGTTTCTTCATTAGTCTTATCTAGGATTGATTATTGTAACATGCTCTACTATGGTCTTTCTGATTCTACACTATCCTTTAAGTAAAGCTTTTAACTCTGCAGCTCGTCTATAGTTGCTCGTGCAACTATCTTTTCTCATATATCTCCATATTTTGTTCTCTTTCACTGGCTACCTATAAAATATAGAATTTGTTTTAAATGTGCACATCAGTGTACAAGTCTCAATCTAAATTATTCCCTATTATAAGATATATTAATTAAATCTAAACGCCACAGATCGCGATTGTATTCTCGTTCTCACTTCTTAATTCGCGTTTGCTTTTTCTGACCTTTTTTTTGGAAGTCTGTACCTTCTTTTTTTCTCACTACATCTCTATCACTTACGATACGAAGTTCAGAGCGGATCTCATACCCATCTTTTTGCAAAATTCCTTGATGAGCGATGTATGAATTAGAAGATCATTTTAGAAGTTGCGGGATCATCGTCAGCAGGGAGAGGAAAAAATCGATATGCACACGACGTGACAGCACATGCTGCAAAATTTGCAACCCATGCACAACAACAATATCCAGCATGCAGGGGTGTGGGTCGTAGAAGACCTTGGAGGACATCTCGTTACACCCCTTACTAAAAAAAATGTAGTCTTGGTCATTATTTACACCACCCATACTGTGAAAATAATGAAACCTTTCTGCGAATTACATGACATTTTCTTCTTCAATCCTAACAGTGATGGACGCTAACTAAATTTTTTAAATTAAACTTTAACTTATTTTTAACTAATTAGTTAAATTTTCAGTTGCAACTAATTAAAAAAAAGTTGCAGCCAAACTTTTAAATTGAAGTTAAACTTTCTCTAACTTTTTTCCAACTTTTTTTTAAATGATCGATTTTAATTCAAAGTGTTCTAAATAAAATCTTGAAAAAGTGTAAAATAAGAAAACAAGTTGAAAGTTATTAGATTAGAATTTTACAAAAGTTATGAAAGTTTTAAAAAATATCTATAAGATTGTCTGTTTTCAGTTGAGACTGTCGGATTGAAATCCTAATGACTAAAAGACTAACAATCGTCAATAATAAATGAAACGTCACTAGCTAACGAAATGATTTGTGCGGCTACATAAGAAACTGCGATAATTACTCTGTTAGGTATTCGGGCTGCTGACGAAGCCCTGGTATGGACGAAACACGTGTTCAGACTTTAAAATGAATACTATTCTTTTCTTCTCCCGCTTACTGCTCTTCCTGGTTCGGTGTTTTCTCAAACACAAACGCAACAAGACCGAAGAAAAATCATCATATTTATTGTTTTATCTGCCATCCTACATCTGTGAGCAGTCAATACTTGTAAATTTTTGTTTGGAAATTTAAAAATTTACCTCACCCTGGTCGTCAAAAAGTTTGTTGAAAATTTCTGCCACCCCATCAAAATTGTCCAGATCCGCCACTGTACAGTATACACAAATGTTTGTGAACGTTTAGTGGACGTATGTCATTACTAAAGTTCAATTGCCACTACAGATGGAATTACATGTGTAAGCAGTTTTTACAAAAAGCAAGAAAAGGATCGAGAATAATAAATTGATTGAAAACGAATTTCATTAACTAAATTGGCACAACACTGAAAATTTAAATTACTTATTTAATATTTTGCGTTTTTCTATTATAGTAAATACTTTCATCGGTTGGAGTATTAAGATCATCAGCCCAATTTTCAGTTTTTACAACTTTATTATTGTCGTTTATGATTTCGCTTTTTGAGTTGCATTTTCATTGTTCAAATTGTTCGGCACTTTGATACTTGGTTTATTTTTGCCGCAAAATCTTTATCACGTTGTGACAGCAATGGATTCTATCATTTTTACCTGTTGTTTATTCAACACCTCGCTAATATATTTTCTAACTTTTTCAAAGTTTATTTTCAAAAAGTTGTTTAATTTAAAATTTTTTGCCATATTCATGCTTACAAATTGAAATTATTTCTACAAATTTTTCTTTTTTCGGAACACTCCGCTAAACTCCTTTTTTCATATTTTTCACATTTTAAACTGTCATAACCATTTTTCAACTGTTTTAAGGCAGAATCATTATTGTCGTTATTGTATTGTTTACAAAACAATCATTTTCTAACGTATTTAAATTATTTACGAGAAAATATAAAAGTTCATTAACAGCGTAAGAACTTGCCGCCATATAGATAGCTTTAGATTCAATTATTGAATGAATAATTTAAAGCTGTTACGGTCACGTTACTACTGTATCCTGACTCAATGCACACACGTGCATCACGGCATATTGTTATTATTATTTTTATTTTTATAGCAAAGACAACAATGGAGTCAATTCTCTACCTTCAGTTATTAATTAAACAAAATTAAATCTGTTTTTCCAATTCATATTAGAAATTAATTTTATTAATTTATGATGAAAAGAACAAATAAAAATATTTTATTTAAAATCAATTGAATCATGTCATTAAAAATTAAGTTAATTTTTGTCTCTACACTACATAATAACGCAAACAAAGAACTGACTTAACAGGAATCACATTGCATCTAAGTATAATTAACATCCAAAGTGAAAATTGTGATGCAAACTGATAGTTGGCATTCAAAGTTATAATTGGCATGCAAAATAAAAGTTGAGACAAAAGGATTAGTTTATTAATTAACATTAAAAGTCTAAATAAAAAGGAAGAATTTAATGGGCGTGTATGTTCTTTGTTAGACGAGGGGTATCGAGAACCTAAATAAGTGAATACAATTTTTCTTACCTTCATAACACCTTCAATTGCTTCAAGAACCTACGCCAACATTCACAACAATCTGCTGTTGATTATTTCAGCTCTTATAAAAAGCTCTTATATTTACGTTGCGAAATAAGATTTATAACAAGTTTTATTTTATTTAGTAAAAATCTTTTCAACACTCACTTCGTTTTCTACTGCTGGTAACATGTAGGTCTAACAATGTCAACTAACATTGAAGTCAAGAGCAATAAGTTTAACAGTCAATCGACTTTAAGTTCATTCGGTGATGTGCAATTGCAACGAACAAAACTCAATGATCTCATGCACTTTTTAGAACATGAAATTAGAGACAAAAAAGTTGAAAAACTCAATGATGAAAATAGAGAAGATAAAGAATTAGAAGAAATGAAAAAATGGATGCTAGAAACGAAAGAGGAAACAGAGCAAAAGCAAAAAATTAAAAATGAAGAAAACAAACCATTGAACGCTGTGACGTGTAGTCTGGTTACAACAACTGCAACGTCAACCGCAGTCATCGCTGCTTCAACAAAAGTGTCTGCGCCAAAAGTTGAAGTCATCGCTTCAACTACAGCCGACAAGTCGACAATCGAGACAAAGTCGATCTGGGTTGGAAACGTCGACTACGGTGCCAGCGTTTATGAATTGGAAGATCATTATAGAAGTTGCGGGGTCATCGTCAGAGCCACAATTCTGCACGATAAGTACAGCGGTAAACCGAAGGGATTCGCTTACGTTGAGTTTGTGAACGCTGGCTCCGTGGAGCTCGCGCTGACACTCAACGATACAATCCTGCATGGGAGAGAGATTAAAATAAATGCGAAGAGTCAACATACACGGACTGACGACGACAAACGGGAGATGCAAAGGAGTAGAAGAGGAGGACTTGCAGCAGGGAGAGGAAGAAGTCGATATGCACAGCCCAAGCAGCGGGATTTGCAACCCATGCACAACAACAATATCCAGCATGCAGGGGTGTGGGTCGTGGAAGACCATGGAAGACATCTCGTCACACCTCTTAATAAGGAAATGTGGTCTTGGAGTTATTGACACCACCCACACTGTGTAAATAATGAACCCTGTCTGTGAATTACATGACTTTCTTTTCTTCATTCTCAACAGCAACCAATGATGGGCACTAAATTTTTTATGTTAAACTTTAACATATTTTAAATTAATTATTTGATTAATTAAATTAACTAATTAATTAACTAATTAAAAAAAGTTGCCTAAGTTGAACTTTTTCTAACATTTTTTTAACTTCATTTTTCAAATGATTGGTTTTAATTCAAAGTGTTCTAAATAAAATCTTGAAAAATGTGTATAATAAGAAACAAGCAGAAAGTTATTAAATTATAATTTTATAAAAGTTATAAAAATTAGAAAAAAATATCTATAGGATTGTCTATTGTCAGTTGAGACCGAAGAAAAATCATCATATGAATTGTTGCATCTGCCATCCTGCATCTGTGAGCAGTCAATACTTGTACTGCCGCACTAAAAAACCTTTCAACAGCTGCAGAACTTGGTAAATAATTTTACTAAAACTTTTTAGTTAGTAACTAAAAAAAGTAGTTAAACTGCTGTTTTAACTAAACTTTTTTTGTTAAGTTAAACTTTGCATTTAACTAAAAAAATAGTTTAACTAAAACTTAATAACTTTTTAATTAAATTTGTAACTTTTTAGTTAAATTTTGCCCACCACTGACAGCAACATTACTTTGATATTTTTCAACATGTGTTGAGCTTTTCATAAATTATTAGGTTCAAAGCAACATTTTTTAATTTTTTAAAATTCACTTCACATCGTATTAATGCGGAATTAAAATTGTAATCGATTTGAGGCTTACTACAAAAGTCTACAAATGCAAGTATGCAAAGGTGCCTAGGGTTAACGACGTCCTTAAAACGGCCCTGGTTGTAGTCGAAGTAGTATCGTTAAAATTCGAATTAATATGGCTTTTTGATTATTATGTTATTAATTAATGTATTAATTTAAATATGATAATTTAATTTGATCAGTTGGAATCATTATAAAAGTTTAAACTCGTTTGCTTTGCAGTACAAATATATTTATGTTCATATAAATAATGTGAATGAATGAATTATTATTATTATTCAGATTTTAATTATTAGACTAAAAACTGATTTAAATATGTTTTCCCAACTCACATTGCTAATTTCATCAAAAAATCCAAAAAGTTAAATATTAAATCACTTTTTTCACATTTTTTAGTAACTCATTCGTTGAATGGCTGTGTACTGTCAACCAGCGCTTTGGGTGGGGCAACGATCAAATAAAACAGAAACAGTTATCTAAAATAACATGAAAAAATGTAAAAATAAATTCCAATTCAGGAAAAGAACGGCAACAAAATAATATCTATAAAAATTTTCGTTTTAGGATCATGTTAGATAAATTATGCATTAGGCATTTTTATTGTTTGAAAACTGCGTGTATAGTATTTATCAACATTGAGTGTTTGTTTTTTACATTTTAATGTTCCAAATTTGTCAAGACATTTCAGTGTTGGGAAGAGCTTACAAGGTGAAAGTTGTTTCTTCTACTCGTCCCTGACATCTACTTCTTAGATTGTTATACAGCGAACTATCGAAAGTTGTTATTCAATTAGTCTGTCAAAGAAGCAATTCGTGAATCAAGTGAAAAGCCTACTTCAGAATTGTAGCATCATCGCGGCTGGACTTGAAAAAATAGCGAAAGATCTGTCGACATGGAAGAGGATTTGTAAAGCTGGTTTCACAAATTTTATGTTGGAATGGACAAATGCTTCTCACAGGCGTCGTGCAGCATCATCAACAGAATTGAAACCAACTGGTCATCGATGCCCCATTATGGTAAAGTATGCAATGCACCTCAGATTTTAAATTAAGAAGTCATCTACGACCTCATAGAAGGCCGAATGTCACGTAAGAGCGACGCCACGTCCTCGCCGCTTCGGTGTACAAAAACAACCGCAGCATATATTAACGCATGTGTGTATGTTTAATAGGTTATGCTGGTTTTATTTGTATTAAGTTTTATATCTTTTAGTTGACATGTGCTGTACAAATTTAAATTTTTTCTTGACACTAGTTACCCTACGTACGTATAGTTTGGTTGCCTCGCATTTTTAATATTTTGGTTATTTTATAAAACCAATCTGCTACCTTATTTTTTATATGTATATGCACAATTGTACTGTACATGTTTATTTATCTGCAGTTTATATAAGTATGTATGTATTTTGTGTGTGTGTGCGTGTGCGCGCGCACGTGTGTGTTTGTGCTGATGGCTTATTTCTAACTTTCCAACAACAAAATTTTTCTATTTTTGTTTTCCTTAGTTTGTTCATTTGTTTGTTCGTTTGAAGTTGAACCAAAACAAAACAAACTCGATCAAACTCCAAAAAATCATGTGAAATTCATCTCAAATGATACTTTCCCTCTTTAAAAACTGTCCACAACCGACTACCAATAGGAAGAGTTCGTTCGGATGAAACCACGCCCACCTTCCACAGGGCGGAGCTTCCAACATGTGGTGTGATGCACTCATGTTTGCACTTTTTCAGGTCTTTTAAAATTACTTTAATAAAATGTGAGATATAAAATATGGAAATTTTTTCAACTAAATAAATTTTTGGAATTGAATCGAATAAAATACATTAATGTAACGATATAGCCTACGGTACAGCAAGCATGTAGGTAGGTAGATAGGTCTCATTCTTACTTTCACATGTGCTTTTTTTCAACTTTTAGTTCAAATGTAAATTTGTTTAAAATACATAAATAAACAAACAAATAAATCAATAAATGAATTAACTAAAGTGCGTATGTGTGTGTGAATGTATGTGTGTGTGTGTGTAAAATGAAAGATGCAAATGTGTTTATGCATATACTATACATGTACATAAACATAACCTGTATATATATATATATATATATATATATATATATATATATATATATATATATATATTATATACAATTTAATTTTGTTTATAAATATAAGAACTGCGTGCGAGCGTTTCAATGTTAATAAAAGTTATTGAAAAAGTTGTTTTCTATAATAAGCCGAGTTGAATAACGAAAGTATATTTAAATTTTATTGCTACAACTTTCGAATCAAACTTTAAATAATCATCGCAAGAGCCAAAATATTTCAATCGAGGAAAATAATAAAATAATATTGGTGGTCGGTAATTGTAAAATTAATTCTTCGTTACATATCGTCTGCGCTGCAAAGTGGGAACATCCATCCACTCTGATAACTATTGAGGTACAATAAAATTCATCTAGCATTTCGTCTGGCAGACCTGATGTGGACTCCAAACCTTTTGTCCTTGCCCAACAAACCAACTTTTGCTATTTCAATTTTACTCTTCATCCTCTCTACCAACCCCATCAACAACGCAAATCCTGTGGTGAGAGTTGTTGTTGGTGGTGGTGGTTATGCTAGCAAGCAGGTTGGTTCATTCCAACTTAGAAATAATCTCCACCCGCCAGATGTAACTGATGCGTTTGAAATGAACATAAACATTGTTGGGCATGAAGATGCCGATGATATTGAACAACCACAACATCAACAAAGACAACAACCACAACAGCAACAAGGACGACAACCACAACAGCAACAAAGACAACCACAACAACAAATCACCCAACATATTATCAACAGCAACATACTTAACGATCAAAGTTACGATAATAAAATTAGCAATGACGACAAAAACACAGACACTTTTAGGATGGGCAACAACATGAACGAGGATGTCAACATGGAAAAAACAGAATTACAAAAAGTGAACTTAAGATCTAAAAGATCCATCCATTCCGTTCAAGTGGTCCACGAACTGAACAGACAGGCGGATTGCATTAAGAAAGGCTTTTCAAAGTGTCCGAGTAACAAGAAAATGAAAAACCAGCGAGAAGTATTAGCATGACGTCATCAAGTATCTTAAAATATCCAGAAGTATCTTAACGATATTCTAAACATCTATCCTCACCACCATCTTCGTTACTCATTTCACCATTATTAACAATAACTGTGAAACGTCAACGCCACTTCATTACAAGAAATCAAACCACCATCATCACAACTTGAATTATAATCATTCATAATCATGGGTTTTGTAAAAATACATTTTCGACTATTTTCTACTTAATTAATTAAATTGTTCAATTAATTTTGTAAAATTTTTGAAATTCAAAATGCTGTAAATATTTTTGTTTTCAAAAAATCCGTGCCGTAAATTAATCGAACCAAATCAGAAGCTACCTATCTTTTAAAATGTGACATCGCTATTTTAATTTAATATAGTTCTTTTTCATCATTTTGCCGAAATTAATTCGATATTTATTCATCAATATCAGATTGCAATCAATATTATAGCCTAACATGCAGACGTGCTTTGGTTCAAGACACTTTTTGTCAGTAAGAAAGACAAAATATTTTCACGTCCCAAGTATTTTAAATCGAATAAATTATAGAAAAATATTGTGCTAAATTCATGGATATATATATATGTATATATATATATATATATATATATATATATATATCCGGGAATAAAACTTTAAAGATTGAAAACGCGCCTAGTCCTATGAACAACGCAAAACTGTTCAAACCTTGTGATGAGAGTTGTCATAAATTTATGGTTAAAAAAGAATTGGTTGTTGTTTTGGATGATGTAAGTTTTTAGGAGCAAAAATCTTTCACCTATGGCGGATTCCAACTTAATTAGCGCCGTTGTCTACTTTGCCAACATGCATCGGTTCTAGGTGAAAAGGTCGCCAGCAAAAGACCGCCGGACGTTAAGTCGCCAAGCATTAAGACCGCCTGACATTAAGATCAGCTGACAATAAAGTCATTATAAGGTAGAAAAGTTAAAAATGTCGCCATTACTCTAAGGATTAAAATTCTACGCACATACTGAGCTTTTTAATTTTTAAGATTATCATGTTGACAATAAAAATAAGTGATCGCAGTCTGTACAACATTTACATGAATATTTTTACACGAACACACGAGGGGTTCCATAATTTCTAAACATTTAAATTCAAACTACGTTCAATACCACGTAAATAATCGATATTATTAATCATGGTATAGTTGCCAACAGCTGCCGCGATTCTGGCCGAAAGATCTTTATAGATTTTATTGCTGGCGGGCGTTTGTCGACCTTGAATGAGGTGTTCGATAGCTTACTGAGCAGAAGTTCAGTTCTCAAGTTATCAATTAATCTCCATATGTGCCAACCCTCCACTGCGTTGTCCGTGCCGGGTAGATTCCCAGCAACTGCATCGAAGAAATTTGTAATACTCTAAACTGTAATGCGTGGATTGACTTTTCAGAGTCAGTAATAAAGTTGAAGGTCAGTAGTAAAATGCGACGATATTTTATGGGTCGATTATTATTATTATATTATCGATATAATATATATTATATATATGATATATTATATATATGATATATTATCGATTATTATGTATGCGGTCTCATTGCTTTGAGACCTTTGTGTTATGCGATCTTATTGTTCGGCGACCTTACGCTGACGGTCTTGTGTCAGGCGGTCTTTTCACCGACACACATGCATCGAACCTAAATATTAATTGAACCTAAACGCCCCGGTTTACGATCGTCTTCTTCTTCTCGCTTTTTCTTAACTCGTGTTAAACACTCTTTTGCCAAATCTGCTTTTGCTTTTTCTGGTCCTTTTCTCTGGAACTCTCTACCTACTTCTCTAACTATTTCTCCATCACTTGCGAAGTTCAGAGCGGATCTCAAGACCCATCTGTTTTCAAAATTCATTGAGGAGCGCTGTTGAACATCGCGGAAATAGCGCTTTATAAGCTAATTGATTGATTGATTGATTGATTGATCGACGTGTCCGAAAGTGTGTTTGAATGCTTCGTAAAACGTCGACCGAAATTATTAAAAAAACAATTCAAATATACGTCTCAGGCTTGTATCTCGTTGGATAACCTTCATGTAGCTATAAATTTAAATCTCGAACTGTAATAAGACACTTCACTTTATCACTTTATTGTCCCCCGTTGTGAACGTTACGAGTGTTAAAAGTCAGTAAAAGTCGTTTTTTTAACGAAAATAGTTGTGTTTTTGAATGAAAAATTGAAGGAAAATTGACATTTTAAATCGATGTTAAGTAAGATGTTAAGTAAAATTTTATTTACATAACCGTAAAAGTTGGATACTCTCATCAAAAACCCTGATGAAAATTAAAGTATTTTTCAAAAAATTTTAAAAATCCTCCCTCCAGTAATTTATGTTTGGTAGAAATTATCCTCCCCCCGGTCGTAAACAAATTTTTGTTTGGAAATTTATAAATTCACCTCTCCCTTGTCGTCAAACAGTTTGTTGAAAATCTCTGCCACCCCATCAAAGTTGTCCAGATCCGCCACTGTACAGTATACACAAATGTTTGTGAACGTTCAGTGGACGTATGTAATTACTAAAGTTCAATTGCCACTACAGATGGAATTAAATAGAACAAAAAAAGTATAGAACAAAACTATATTTTTTTATATGTTGCTTCTGATTAACCTTTTTTTTATTTTTCTTTTGATATTATTGCAGTATTCACCCAGCAATTTTTAATGCTATTGAACTCATTTTACCATGATTACCATGGTCAATTGTTATTATTATTAATCATTAATTTTATTAATGTCATTGCTATTGAACTCATACTACCATGGTCAATTATTAATTTCTTAGTTCCGAGGGTGCCTCAGTCGCTTTCATTGGCGCTTCATAAATGATATTTATTATTATTATTATTAAAAGGATCGAGAAAGATTCGATTGAAAACGTATTTCATTAACTAAATTGGCACATCACTGAAATTTTAAATAACTTAGTTTCTATGACAACAGGGCACTTGCTTCACTCTTTTCACCAGAACGTTGAAAGGGGTTCGTTTATAATCTATAATAAATAAATAATTAGTCTAATAATACTTTTTGAACCGTTAAATTAAGCCATCAAACCTTTCTCTGGCTACTTCTCCATCACTTACGAAGTTCAGAGTGGATCTCAAGACCCATCTGTTTGCTAAAAAAAACTCATTGAGGAGCACTGTTGTTTTCGCGCAAACTGCGTTTTATGAACTAATTGATTAATTGATTGATTAAATCTGTTATCAAGCAAAAAATACCTACAAAAATACAATTTTTTTAAAAATTTACCTTAATTAAAAAAAAATTTGTTCTCAGATTTTATTTTAATAATAAATAATAAAATTTTTAATTTAATAGTCCAACGAAAGTTAAAAAAATAAAAATGTGAATAAATAAAAAATATTCTATATACAATAAATGCAATAAATTAGTTGAATTGAAACAAGTATGTTTCCATCATCATCTTCATCATTAAAAAGTGGGCACAGAAGCAATTGGACACCTACTGCCAACAAACATCAAAATGAAAACGTTAGTTAAATCACAAACATAATGTTTTCAATTAAAATTTATTAACAACAAACTAATATTATTATTGTTGATTTTTTTAATTTTTATTATTTTGTTTTTTTTTAATAATTAGTTTGAAATATATATTTAACATTTTTTAAAATATCCATTTCTCAGTATTATCAAGAAAGAATTGGTTTGATTTTGAACTGGGTAAGTAAGTTGTATTTGATGTACTTGTATTGTAATTGTATTTGTATACATCAAAGATGTATTTGATAATAAAAGTATTGAAAATAAAACTAAATTTTTTTTGCTCAGTTCGATATGTGGAGTCACAATCAGAAATGCAAATTTTTTGAAACTTTCATAAAAAAGTGCAGCAAGAAACAAATCGAACACATTCAAAGCGTGCTCACCGATAGAATTCCGATAGAACGAATTGACTTTGTGACCATCTTTCCTAGATATCTTTCATTGTATATTTTTTCATTTCTTGACCCAAAATCACTTTGTAGATGTTCTCAGGTTTCTTGGAACTGGAAAACTTTATCTGAAAATGTAAGCTTGATTTTTTTAATTTTCTATTGTAATATAAGGTTTTTGCTTCCTTCAAATTGAAATATTTAAGATGAGAAAGTGAATAATTCTTATAATGTATTGTGTGAAAGATTTTGTGAATTTAGCTTTATTTTTACTTCTTGGATGAACTATGAATGTTTGGTCATTCAACTTTCTCTCTCCTACACTCAGATCATAGATAAACAGAGATAATCATATTGTTATTATTATTATTACCATCATAATTTCTTCATTAATAATATAATTATTATAATCTAGAGTACTGAAAAAAATGTTTGCCACTTAATCAGGAAAGAATCTGGCAAATGAAGTGCCTGCAACACGCCTGGTACCTGCCGACTCTCAACACCCCACAACAACAACAGAGCCACACACTGAGCACCACATGTGCACACAAACTTCATTACATCGCATGTGCTAGAACTCTAGATTTCAACATCAGCATGCAAATCGAACACACAAGCCAGGGGTCTAAAGTTGGGCATGATATGTTCATGTTATTTTTAACACTACTGCTACTACTGCTACTACTACTACTACTGCTACCACTACTTCTGTTCTTACTACTCTTACTACTACCACTACAACTACTACTATTACTACTACTACTACTACTACTACTACAACAACAACTACTACTACTACTACTACTACAATAACAACTACTACTACTACTGCTACTACTACTACAACTGTTACTACTACTACTGCTACTACTACTGCTACTGTTACTAAATAATAATAATAATAATAATTTGACAATTTAATAATGATTTTATAATTGTGTCCGTTATCAGCTATTAATTAATATTTATTGTTGTGATTATAAATAAATAAATAAATAAAACCTTGTGATTTATTTTCGACGTTGTGAATGGATGAAAAAGCTGCAAGAGAGTAGGAGGTTGGAGGAGATGGAAGAGATGCACTCGCAGGAGAAGCGAAAGTTATGGCAAGCCGTCAACAAACACGTCCGAGGTTGTTTGTTGCTCATTTGCTTATTTCATTTGCCGGACTGACAAGTGAATTAATGATAATAAATGGACAATAACATTTGTGTGTTGTTGTTATTGTTGAAATTTGTAATTTTGTTATGAATTTGTATAATTTTCTATAATTGTGTAATTAACTGTTGCTACTACAGAAAGAATGATATCGGCCAGGAAGCCCTGGACCCCATCCAACACACATCCGACTGACCTCCAGAAACAAAAACAACAACTCAGTAACGACAACAGAGACAACAAAAAGAGATGGCTAAGCCTGATTGCCAGTGTTAACTTCGATGGAAAAAATAAAACATCAGGTGTAGTATTGAATGGACGAATGGATAAGTGAGTGAGTGAATGAATAAGTGAATGAGTGGATGAATGAATGAACAAACGGACGGACGGACGGACGAACAAACGAACGAACGAACGAACGAACGAATGAATGAATGAATGAATGAATGAATGAATGAATGAATGAATGAATGAATGAAATAGCAAATGATTATTTTATCATCAATCTCAACGATTGATTGTCTGATCGACTGAATAAATAATTGTATTTATTCATTCAATAATAAATAGATTGATGGATTTTATTGGGGATACTCTGTTGATTCCTTGGTTGATTGACCGACTGACTCACCGACCAACTGACTGACTGACCAACTGACCAACCGACCAAGTAACTGTCTGATTGATTCCAGGTAAAGAGAAAATGAACTGGTTGAGTGTTATTCATGAGCTGACTAACGACAAAGTGAGAAGAATAAATTATTCATGATGATAATGACAATAATGATAAGGGCAGTAATAATATTCATAACAAAAAAAAACAATAATAATACAAATTTCATTAGCGTGAGTGATAACGATGACGATGATGATTAATTTTCATTATACATTCGATCGTGTCCCTGTGATAACGATAGACGGGATGGCCAAACTTGATTCCCAACTCATTCCAGGACATTTCTTCCAACAGCAAATCATCCGCAACAAACACTAAACCAGCAGCCACATTAAACGAATGTTTGAAGGTTGAAAACCCGAAGGAGCGGCGCATCACTGAATTGAAAAGTTTCCAAAATGAACATCCCATGTTTTGGCATGCGTCTAACGTCATTCAGAGGTTGTTCTTCATTTCGCTACTTATTTCCAATCTTATTATTTTGGTTTTTATTTTTTATTGTTTTTACTGTTTATGACGGAGTTTTTTACGTGGATGTTCTTGATAGTGGTATTCTTGTTGCTGCAACTGTTGCGAATGAAATTGATGTTGCAGTTCGAGTTTATGATTCAAACACTTTTTCAGTTCGTCGTTGCCGGTAGACCTGTTCAGCAGCTGCTGCAATGACAATTTCAGTAACGTTTACAACAGTGACAACTTTTTCCTCAATAACATCAACTACAACAACATCAGCAATTGTTATCACATCAACACAAACATCAACAAACACACGTCAACACCACCAATAGCTAATCTTACACCAACCAAAATTCTCTTCATATCTTCTAAAGTACCAGCTAAAGAGGTTGCTGATAATGATGACGGTGATGGTTAGGATGATGGTATTGATAATTGTGACGATGATGATGGTGACGACGACGACGATGATGATAACAATAACACTGATGATTAGAAGTAAACTGATAACGATGATGGTAGTGATAACAACTATAATGAATTTTTAATTGCGCGATAATCATACCAAGATTATTATCATCATCATAACCACCATCATCATCATCATCACCACCAACCATGTTCACGGAACAGATGTTGATTGGTTGCCTAAAGGAGGATGTGATGGTGTTGATGTATGATTACCATTCCACAACAGTGAAGTCCTTGATGTACCACATGAATGAACTGCTGGTGGGTAGGCGTGCATCTAATCTCAGGTGTGTCTATGTCTGTCTGTCTGTCTGTCTGTGTGTTTGTCTGTCTGTCTGTCTATCTGTGTGTGTGTGTGTGTTTGAAGGAATCAAATTTACACTCCTCAAGTTTGAGCATGCCAGCTCAATTAATGCTATTGGTACTATTATTAATATTTTTATATCATTATCATCACTGTAAATATACACCACTGATATGATGATGATGATGACGACGACGACGATGATGATGATGATAATGATGATGATGATGATGATCAACCTTTAAAACGTGACGTGAACGAAGACACGTAGGCTTCTTCACGCACGACTCACTTCCCTGGGAAGTTCCCCTGTTGAGCAATGTTCGCCTGAACAACGTGAACAAGTGCATGAACGTGACGAACAAACAGAAGAACATTAACAATATAATCGTGGAGACTGAAGATGCAATTGATGAACGGGATGAGGAAGATGGTGACGACGACGACGACGATGACGATGCATTGAAATTATTTCATTTCATTGCCGACCAAGCTGGACAGGATGGAAGGAATGGTTACATCACTTTTTTTGCACCTCTCGCCTCAAATGGTTTTTATTCATTTATTTTTTAACATATTCATTTATCTGTCAATCAATCAATCAATCAATCAATCAATCAATCAATCAATCAATCAATCAATCAATCAATCAATCAATCAATCAATCAATCAATCAATCCAATCAATCAACCCATTTATCCATCCATCCAGCCAGCCATCCATTCATCCAACCAACCAACCAATCAATCAATTGTATATATTTCCCTCCCAATCTATCTAACTGATTTACAAATTTATTGACATCGTCCATAAGATAGTGGAAGAAAGTTGATGCACAAGCTACACATGAAGTGTCGTGCTGACGTCCAAGCCTGCTCCAATGTTGTTCGTCCATATCACATCTGTACGTACGTATGTGTGTGTGTGTGTGTGTTCATATTAGTATGTGTGTATGTATTCTTGACACTCCCCCTAGTTTGCAGAAGGCGGACAGAGCAATATCACAGTTGTCATCTGGAAAATCGCCCGGTTTGGCTGGTTTGACATGTCAACGATTTATATATCTTTTGGAAGGTCAATGTGGATTTAGAGCCGGATGCAGCACACTGCAGGACAACTGCAAGGAAAATGTCGTAAGCAGCAACGGGGACTTTACTTGGTTCTTGTTGACCTGACCATGTGATGGCGGACGACTCGCGTCTTAATTCTGTTGATAGATTTTGTTACCTAGGCTCCAACAGAGCTACTATCGATGACAATGTCACAGCAAAGCTTGCAAAAGCAGGTGCTGCTTTCGGTATGTTGACCGGACATCTTGGAATGGGTAAGAAGTTACCCTGGCCACCAAAATTGCGATATACAAAGCAGTTGTGGTAACTTCACTGCTTTATGACTGTGAAACCAGGACGTTCTACCGTCGCCACATTTGTAGGCTCGACGACCAGTTTCATATGAGGTGCCTGCGTATGATTGTTAGTATCAGGTGGGAAGACAAAGCTCCAAACACAGTGGTTCTGGCAAAGTGCAGTATAATGGGTGTGGAATCGCTTTTGCTTCAAACTCAGTTTTACTGGATAGGGCACGTTATACGTATTCCAGATCTACGAATTTTCAAGTAGGTCTTTTTTGGTCAGCTGGCGTCGGGAAATAGACTGGAACGTGGCCCTGTACGCAGATACAAAGACAGCTTGAAAGAAAATATGAAAAAATGTGGTCTAGACTCCAAGGCTCTTTGTGTTGATGCTCTGCGACGCTCGGAATGGAGAAGGTCTACCCAGTCGGCAGTTTCCGCTTTTGAACTGGCACGTACAGCTGCCTTCGCTGAAAAAATGATTTGACAAAAACGGACGGCCCAAAGCGGCGATAGTACAGGTGCACGGAAATGTTTGTCTTTTTGCTCATTCTAGGACTCACCGCTGACACAATTTGTCGATTCGACGATATACTCTATATGTGTGTGTGTGTGTGTGCATGTATGTATGTGCGTACAGTACATACTTACATACATGCGTACGTACATACGTGTTTATATATATAAACTTGGTATAGTTGTATTTAATTATTTTAGAAACCATTCATTTTGCCAATCCTGCTATGGCATGGTTTATATTTAAAAATTTACGCTATATACATGAATTTGAATGAATGATTGATTAATTGATTGATTAATTAATTGATTGATTGGTAAATAGATGGACGGACGGACGAATGGGTGGATGGAGAGACATACAGACAGATAGATTGAAAGACAGACAGACAGACCAATTGATAGATAGATTGCTTGATTTGTGTTCCTATATGCATATATACGTTTTTATTTGACTATCCAACCAAAACGTTTTTGCAGTTAGTAATATGTGGTACACTGCATCATCTTCATCGTCATCATCTTCGTCATCACCGTCATCACAATTTTTCTACGAAGACAAGTATGAGCGCTGGTTAAAGTTGCATGAATTTGTTGACGAAGTTTGTTGCCATGTTTCTCAACATTTGAAGGAGAACTTCTTCAACAAACATTCTATTGACGTTAAATTTTATGCCAACATTGTTGGTTGGTTAGGTGGTTGATCGAATGAAAGATTGAATGAATTAATAAATGAATGAATGAAAGAAAGAACGAATGAATGAGTGAATGAATGAATGATGATTGATTAATTGGTCGATCGTTAGGTTGATTGATTGGCTGTTTGGCAGGTTCGAAAGCTGTCAAAATTTGTTGTTAATTTGACCTTCAGATAATCAGCTAATTTAAATTTAGTTTCATTCATAATTTTTGCAGCAAAGATCACCAATAAAACGCTGACGACAGACTGCCACATCATCAACAAACTCATCGAGATAATAACGACCAAGTGTCCTTACAACAAACATCACATAATTTCAACCATCAATAGAACGCCAACGAAAGATGGTGATGGTGATGATGGTGACGATAACGTTTTTTATAGTGATGATGATGCTGATGATAATGATGACGGTGCTAATGATGATGATGATGGTGGTGATGATGATAATCTCGAGAATAACTCTAGCGGCATGTATAATAATTATGCCAATAAAAATACTATCAAAGTGAACAACGACAATGATAATAATATTAATGGTGATGATGATGATGACGACAACGACGATGATTTGGAATGTTATATGAGATCTTTGGGTCGCTTCCTCGTCAGCTACAGAGACGTGAGTGGTGGAGTGAGGAAAAGAATAAAGGATGGCGAACGAAGAAATGATGATGATGATGATATTTACGGTGATTATGATGATGATGATGATGGTGGTGGTGGTAAAAGAAAAAATTCAGTTGGCAAGAAAAACAGTACTAAGAAAGTTGAAAAACCTCCAGCTAAATTGTTCCCGCCTACAACACGATCGACAACTTCAACGTTAAAAAAGTCACAGAAGCCACCACACCTACCACTATCACCACCAACAACAACCCCACCGTTGATGTTTCCAACATGGACGTGCTTCAGGACGAGGGACATCTTCCGAGAGTTTCTGAAAACGGAGCAGCACTACAACCGATCTTTGAAATGTGTCGTCAGCAACTTCCGGCAACCTGTCTTGTTGTCGCTGGAGAGCAACAGGGCATTCACCAGTTGGCAGAATGCCAAGTTGTTGTTTGATGACGTCAACAACATCTACCACATCAGTTGGTCTGCACATCTTCCGCACTCAACCACTCATCTCTTTACAATCATTTCTTAATCACATAATCATTACTCTTGTTATTGCTGTTTCTGATTTAATTATTTCCATTCAATAATTTTGTTTGTAATTTATTTTGAAATAAATTGAATTTAAGGTAATTAATTGAATGTTAATTGATAGTTGCTTTCTGAAAGAATTGGAAGCACAAAACAGCCACACGCAATCAACAAATTATTTGTTGGGCGAGTGTTTCACAAGAGTTAGCAACGACATTCAACAAGTTTACTCCAGTTATTTGCTGTCGTATCCGTCCATATTGAATGTTTACGATAAGGTTGTCAGGCAGTCCGTGCTATTCAGGTTGTTTCTCCGCAAAGTTGAGTTCACTGCATCGTCCATGATGAGCAGGTGCTGTTGTTGCTGTTTTATTTATTGTTGTTGATGTTGTAATTGTGATGTTGTTGACGTAGTTGTTGACTTTAATGTTGTTGATGTGATGTTGTTGACGTGATGTTGTTGGTGTGATGTTGTTGGTGTGATGTTGTCGATGTGATGCTGTTGACGTGATGTTGTTGATGTGATGTTGTTGACGTGATGTTGTTGACGTAGTTGTTGACTTGATGTTGTTGACGTAGTTGTTGACGTGATGTTGTTGATGTAGTTGTTGATGTGTGATGTTGTTGATGTAGTTGTTGATATTAATGTTGTGTGTACGTTGTCTAACCTGTCGAACATCTTTCCATGGAGCAGCCTACCAGACCTGTACATGAAACCGTGGAAACGAGTGCACGAGTACATCAATCTATTAACGGCCTACAGGAATTTGTTGTCTGCTGATCACGTGGACGCACGCAATGTTTTGATTGGTTTAAAGTTTATGAAAGCTTTGAAAAAGTCTATAATGGAAGTTAGTTAGTTCCTCGACGAGTTACTAGTGTTACTATGCAAATTTTATGACTCCATTTGATAAATCTAACATTAACGCACGTCACAATAATAAAATGATAGATTCATTCGAACATTTAAATTATTTTCAGACAACATGAATTTATGAGATAACGGTTCTTAAGAATCAATCATTTTGTTTATAATATTGTAACATTCAGTTAATACATTGAAGCGATTACCACCATAAATTTAAACGTTCACCCAACGACATTTACACACGTTTGTGATTGATTACACGTTGAAATGTTCAAATACGGGATGACCTCCGACCGAACAGACCCAGAAGAGATTGGAGAGTGATGGAAAGATGGATGCCCTGCAAGACACCATAGTACAATCACCTGTACGTTTCTTCAACACCATCTACACTCATTTTTTTAATTTTCTTATCTCCTTCTTATCAATTTCTGAAGTATATGAACTATTTCATGTATCTCAATCTATTTTGTGACAAAAATTTTCTAACAGAAACTATAAGAAAATCTAAACAACACAGCCCATGTTTGAAATAATTGATTGCTATCATGTGAATGCACTGACATTTCTGCTTCATATTTTATTATTTCATATTTTCATTTTTTACTTTTTTATATTTGAAATAATATTTTGAACGTTTTGAACGTTTTTTTGACACGAAACAAGTTGTTGAAGGAGCCAGGGAGAAGATACGTGGCCGAACTGCATTGCATTTGCTACTTGGTGGTTGACACAAACTCCTGCGTGCCTGAATTCAAGTAGGTTGCTTGAGAACATTTCAATAGTGATTCAAAACACTAAACAATATTATTCTTTCACAAAAAGACGTTTCATTATTTTATAGCGGTCCAAAGTTAGGTTTGAGAATATGTTATTTGTTCTTGTGGGTAGGATACTTCAAGTTTGTGGAAAATAGATTAAGTTTAAAGTTCATTTTTGAAAAAAATGCCGCAAATGACATTAAAATGATGATGACGTGACTGGCTTTATTCCACCTACGTATTTAGTTTATAGCTGTTATTTGCCAGTTATAATGTATAATATGTTTTGTGATGACGATGGAAATAAATAACACGACGATTGAAGGGTCCCAATGGCGAAGGACGACCTCTCCTTCTTCCTCTTCAACGACTGCATGGTGTGCTGCCAACGTGTGGCGACGCACGTGCCATTCAAGTCGAACATAACCAACAAGTACATCTTCGTGCAAACGTGCTCCCTCCAGTACCTGAGGGTCTCCAATTTAATGGACACCGCGTGTACGGCTCAATATTTTTTATTTTCATTCTCACTCCACATAAATTATCATATATTAGTTTTATTTTACTATACTTCTTACAGTTTCATTTTAAATCATTCATTAAATCCAATTTAACCAATAGTCTAATGGTAATCATTCAAGATTTAAAATTTAATAAAACAACTTCGAAATTCTCGTTGTTACCCACATGAATTAGATATGAGGAATGCTTTTAAGATGTGGACTCCGAAGAACCAGTGGTTGTGTTCGGTGGACGACAACCTGACGAAGCATCAGTGGGTATCAACTCTCGAACGCACTGTCAAAAAGATCTTGAAGAAGCATTGATATATATATTTCATATAATAAACTTCTTCAATGGTTGCTCATCGACGCTCTTACTACAAAGAATTAATTGACAAATAAAAGGCATTGTTCACCGTAACCAGTGGTGGCTCTAGGGGGGGTCCGGGGAAAACCTTGGTTATGAGTAGTGTTTTGTTTTTATTAAGTCAGTGAAACTCTGTTTTTAGACACAGAAAAACACCGTTTTTAAGTATAAAATCGACGAAACAAGTAAAAGGTCTCTAGTAATTTTGTCCACACTAGCGAACACTTGATGTTAATTTTTTGGCCCACGTCAAATTTAAAAATTTCAACATTTTTAAAGTCTTTGTCCCCCGCCAACGATATCTAGATCCGCCACTGCACTGACCGTATTTAACATTTATTTTTTAAAATTTGTAAATGTGTACTTTTCTCAACTGGTCTGCTGTTGATAAATTATTTATGCATTTATGTAATCAATAAATTGTGAAGAGTAAGGAGGTTACAACTGTTGTAAAAATATATTTGATTCACTTCACATTGGTCGGAATTTATATATATATATTTTAGTTGTTTAATACGGGGGATGGAATGATTTGAACGCGTTATTAATTTATTCATTAAAATTTTGCCTCCTTCCTTAAAATCTACCGCCGAGGCACGTTTCCCTGCCACAGTTCAAAGCCTGTGTAAGTACATTCAGTTATTAGAGAAAAAATTGCTGACGAAATAAAAAAGAGATCAAATTTATATTTTCATATTTGAACTATGGCATGTGTTATTAACGCCCACATACTAGAGCCCTGCGCGGTTGGAATTTTTACAAACCGCAACATTTGAAACCGCAACCGCAGCACCGAAAATCGCAACCGCACAAAACCGCACCACAAGATTTGAAAAACAACATTAATGCTTTTATTGACATTATAAATCACAACTGTCTACATCCAAATCACTGTTACTCTTAATAAATAACATTTTGGCTTCACATTTGTTACAACAGATAAATGATGTAGCAACGTTTTTAAAATAAATTCTGCTAAAATTTTTCCAAATTTCACTTTTAGAATTTTCTTGCGCTTTTAAAGAAACGTTTTTGCTTTTTAATCAAAAATTCTTTATCAATTACATCTACCTGTGGATCAACCTCAACATTTTTTACCTCGGACATTTTTTATAAAATAATCGATAATTAACCATGCCGTAAATAAAGTAACTACTTCTTTCAAAGTAAACAGGAAAAAGAAAATGGTTGCTTCAACGGCTTCCAACGATATTAAGATTTTTCAAAGACACTTATATAAAAATTATTACAATGATAATGCAATTTTTAAAATGTTATGAACGAACAAAAATATTTAACAAAATTTTTGCGATCACCGCGGTTTTGATAAAAAAAACCGCGCCGCGGAAAAACCGCACATTTCAAAACCGCAACCGCGTAAAACCGCATGATTTAAGCAACGCAACCGCAAAAAACCGCGGTTGCGGTGCGGTTTTTGCTGTTTAAACCGCGACAACCGCAAACCTCGCAGAGCTCTACCACATACCCCTATGCTGTATATATGTGGAAATTTACCACGGTAACTAATGAGCATATACACGACAATTCATCATAGAGTTAGGTGTCAGGCGTCACAAACGTCGTTGATGTAGCCTAGCAGAAATTCATTTCTTCCTTGACATCTCTTATTTCTTCAATACGAAATTAATCAGACTTCATCAGCTGTTGTTGCGTCAGCAGCCTCTGTGAAGAAGCTTGTAAATATTTATCTAAATTTTATTTTATCTTTGTTTTGTGATCGAGTTCTGTTTTAAAAAAAATTAATATAAACAACTTTATCTGTTGCCAACGTGAAATGATGTAATGAAACAAAATTGTCAAAAAATGTCACAAAAATCGAAAACAAAAATAAAATATTTAATCAACTTTGACCGAATGAGTGGCGTTCTTGTTGTTGCTAAACTAAACAATCCAAAACCTATTTCATTTTTTATAAAAATAATAATAAATTAAAAACCAAATAAATTTTATTTGATTTTTAATTTATCATTATAATTTATATTTTTATAATTGCATAAATAATTTATAATTATAATAGAATAACAATAACAATACTTCAATTCAAATTAAGATTACATTTGAGATTGTTAGCTAGATTAGATTAGAGTAGCATTAGATTAGTAGACAATTATTTCTTGCAAGAAGATAACCTCTGGCCAAATAAAAAAATTGTGGTACGAGATTCAGTAGTAACAACAACAAATAACTGAATAACATTATTTGAAAAACAGAAACACAAATTGTGTAATCCTAATTAATACTAATGTTGTAACATTAAAGATTTAACATTATTAAAGCGGCCATCATGTACGAGTGTGTAGAATGTGGCTACAAAACTGACTGTCTTTTCAGAAAGTTATCCACAGAGGTCATCAAGCTCTCTCATTGTGTATGTATGTTATGCATACACATCCTACAGTGCACAGCGTAGTAGTGTATGCTGTTTAGTACTTTACGTGGAGTTGACATTTATTTCAATATGAATTGTAATTGAATTGATTTTACTGATGCTATGGTATAATAATAATAATATTCTCATTATTATTAGACAATATTATTATTGTTGTTGTGGTGTAATAATAAAGATGATAAAAATAGCATAAATAAATAATAATAATGCAACAAAGAAAAATGAGTGAATTTAATAAAATGAATTTGGTAGGCAATTCTAATAAAAAATGAACTAGTATTCAGTAATTTCTAAAAATTCCTACCACACTTAATAATGAATGAATGAGTGAATGAATGGATGAATGAATGGTTAATCGTTGTTTTGAAATTACGTCAATTTGAATTCGTCCAATGTTTTGAAGGAGAATTGCAAACAGCCGGTAGACAAGTACATTGAGTACGACAACATACTGACAGGCATTGATGCAACACTGCACAAGACACAGGCCTACAGACATCTTATACATAACTCGAACATAAAGGTTCTCTTCTTTTTTTTTTTGTTGAATTTAATGTTTCAAATTTGAAATGAATCTTTTGTGAAGAAAATTCAAAAAATAATTGAAGCAGTTCAATACCATGTTCTCACATCTTGACTGGACAACTGAAATTTTTCAAGCATTTTTTATTGAATTTTTTTATTAGTCAACGATGAAGTTATGGTTAGTGTACCTACTCTGTGACGTGTACGTGGCATGGCAGAGTTTGAAGAAAATGTCTTGTGATGATGCGGATGAACCTTACTCTGAAGGGGTGTTCAGCATGCTCTTTCTCCTTGCTGTAGTTGGTTAGGAGTTTATTGTATATAATCTATAAAAGTCTTGCATTGGAAATCATTTTCATTATTTATTTGACATTGTTCTGGCACTATGGTCATGAAGTTTTGTTCAAAAGTCAGATGACAGTTCTAGCAGGAAATTTAAGAAAGTTTAAAGAAACCAAAATGTACTTGCAATTGTTCAAGAAAATTTGTAACATGATAGATATTCTGGAATGAACATAGTTATGAAATTAATGGAAATAGAAATTTAATGTTTGTTTTTATGGATGTGTTAGATGTTAAGACGGTAGTTTGGTCATTTTAAAAAGTAAGAAAGAGGAGATGTGGTTAAATTTGAGGATAGAAGAACTAGGAGTAGATTTACTCTGATCTGGTTAATGGAGTTGGAAATGATTGGAGCCAGCAGAAGTTTAGACCTTGATTGGCTGGCTGGTTAGTTGGTTGTTTGGCTGGTTGGTTGGATGGAAAGAATTTTAGAAACAAACTGACAGGGAAGAAAAAATAGCAGATCTGTTTCCACGTGGGGATTGTTTGGTTATGACACTTCAAGTGTTTTAGACTGGCTGATAGTTTATCTATGCTTGAGATGATGACGGTCTTTGTGCTGTTTGGTAATACGTTTTTTGTTTGTTTGATTTAAGTGAAGAAATAAGTTTTGTAATTTTTAATTGTTAATTTAGTATTTGTTCCGTTAATAAATTCATTATTATTTATTTTTAAATATTCTGATTGAAATTTTTCCTATAAGATTGGCTCTGGTATGTGGTTGTGTTGTTTCTGCTCATTACTTTGTTCACTGATGTCAGTACAAAAGATCATTATCTGAGGTATGGTTCATCCGTTCCCAGATTACTTATCATATTTTTGGATTAGTAGATTCGACCGAATAAAAAATAAGCAATTACATTTTCATTAATGTTTTTGAAAAGTGGTGTAATTGAGACAGAGCTAATTAATGAAAAATAATTAGCTCTGTAACAATTACACCACTTGTTCAATAGATTGTTGTTCAATTGGCTAATGAACCAACTAACCAATCATCAAACCAAATTATTAGCCAATCAACCAACTAAACAATTAACCGACTAATTAGCCAAACAACCAACCAATTAACTAAACAACCAACTAATTAGTTAACCAACTAACCAACCAACTAACCGGCCAACCAATCAATCAACCATATAAACAATAAACTAATCAGCTATCCAACCAGCCTATTTATTAACCAACTAACCTGTTAACCAATTAAGCAACCAATTAATTAGCCAACCAACTAAGAATATAACCATATATCATATAAGAAAATAAGAATATAACCAAGATATCGAAATTCGTGGTATCCGGATCCGAATCTAAGTGATGGATTTGGATGGATCCGGATCCGAGGTGCATGCGTGGTATTTTGGTTCTCACATTCCTGCAACGATTTATGGTTAGCATTGCAGCTGTAACGACTATTTTTGTATTGTAAATTGGAAAAAAAAAACAAAAAATATGCAAAACTAGAAAGAGACACAATAATTCCTATTACGTAATTTGAGCCTAACAAAAATGTTGAACACAATTGACGAGGTACATCATCATCGCCCATTCCAAACAAACTTTCGAAACATTCAGCTATGGATATCTAGACAATGTATATCAAGATTTCCATAGATTCAACTCACGCCGTTGTATCACAATAAAAAAATAGTGATTTGTGATTCGGCTATAACTGATAAACTAATCAATCAATTAACTAACCAACCGGCCAATTAGCCGACCAACCAATCATCCAACCAATTAACTAACCAATTAGCCAACCAACCAATTAACTAACTAACCGACCAATCAGCTGTAACGACTATTTTTGTATTGTAAATTGGAAAAAACAAAAAAATTTACAAAACTAGAAAGGGACGCGTGGATCATAGATTTCACAATATTTCTTATTACGTAGTTTGAGCCTAACAAAAATGTTGAACACAATTGACGAGGTACATCATCGCCCATTCCAAACAAATTTTCGAAACATTCATCTATGGATATCTAGACAATGTATATCAAGATTTCCATAGGTTCAACTCACGCCGTTGTATCACGTAATAAAGAGATAGTGATGTGTGATTCGGCTATAACTGATAAACTAATCAATCAATTAACTAACCAGCCGGCCAATTAGCCGACCAACCAATCATCCAACCAATTAACTAACCAATTAACCAACCAACTAATTAACTAACTAACTGACCAATCAGCCAACAAATCATACAATCAACCAACCACCAGAGCACTGTCCGTTCAGAGGACCTTAGTTTTGAGCAGTTTCGGCAAGTTGCTCTCGCTACCTGCCCTCATCTGGACGACCATGCACGAGAACATCTACTTCATCCTCATTCAAATCTTCATTTTGACATCAAACATTACTGCTCTGAAAGGTCCTCCGTTTTAGTAATTTCATTTTATTTTATTAAGATTTTAATTGGTTATTTTATAATTGTTCTTTCGTTACCTAATTAGCATTTTACCGAAGTTTGTTTCAACTCTCGCTGTTTTTTTAATTTTTTAAATGAGCTCGGATAAACTTGTGGAACAGATAAGATTAGTAGGCCGTGCAGAGATAATTAATTTTTTTATTTATCTCAATGTTAAATATCTTAATGTTGCTTTCTTACAATTATTTTTAACGTGAACAGCAAAAGGTAAATAGATAAAGATATTTTTTATGTCAAACAATAATTTTTTTTTCATTTTACTCAGGAATAATATTATTTTATTGGAGTTTATTGTTTATTATTTTAAAATTTAATATTATGTTCTGTAAATTATTTCAGCAAGTCACGTGACGGCCAAAGACTCAAATTTTTTAATTCCATTATTTGTTGTCATTGGTACTACCAGTCAATATTATTTAAACGATCGACTGATCCAATACTTCTGCTTATATAATAAATAAAATTCACTTGAAAAACAGAAAATAAATGTTACACAATTTATTGGTCTCTTTATTCCGTTGTTAAATCCTCTGTTATTTATTTGTTAACTAAAAAGTTAAAGGAAATGATTTGAAATGAAAGTAACAAATATCAATTATCAATTTTTACAATGTTGGAAGTAAAATAATAATAATAATGGAAAATTTTTTTTCCACTCGTCAAAATAAGAAATCAAACGATAAAAATCTTTTATCGTTTGATTTCTGATATCGTTTGATGAAATCTTGCTTCATCTAATAAAATGAATTATGATGAAATATATTTAAAATGTACAGTAAATAAATAAATAATAATTATTATTAATATTATAACAATTATTATTATTATATTACCTCTAAATACAAAAACAATAGGCAAAATACGATGACAGGATAGGCCCCCTTCGAACCGAGAGTGGTGTCGTAGCTGATGACCAACAAAAAATGGCAGATATACTTAACTCTTGTATTAGTTTTGTATTTACAAGAGAGATTTTTACATTTTTGCCAAAACCAATTAATAACTATTGGAAATGAAATAATTGTGACAATTACGAAACATCAGATAAACGAACTGCAAAGACCAAAAGAAGATAAGAACCCCGGAAGCGCCGGCCTCAATCCAGTATTTCTGAAAAATATGAGAGAGGGCATTGCGGAAGCACTGTTAACACTTTTCAATTAATCGTTGGCAACGGGTGAAATATTATCAGATTGGGAAGATGCAATCATAGTGCCACTCTTTAAGTGTGGAGATAGTTGCTATTTGTAATATACATTAATGATATTGATCTTGGAATAAAGTCCAAAATTTCAAAATTGGCAGATGACACTAAGTTATGTGCTGTTGTAGACAACGATGAAGATATTGAAATTCTAGCATGGGATATGCAAAAAATATGCAAATGGGCTGAGGATTGGCAGTCATACATGGGAGCGAACAACAAGGAAAATGTATTTAAACATGGAAACACGCCACTAAAAAATTTAGAAGAGGGATAGGATCCACCAGTAATAATTTATCGAAATGGTAAGGTAAAGCGGCAATGCATCGAGACAGTTAAAAGTGCAAACAGAATTCTGGCTATGATGAAAAAATAATAAAAAGCAGAGATAATGATCGTCATATTAAACTTGTATAAAGCATTGGTGCGACCTAAGTTGGAGTACTGTGTTTAGCTTTGGAATCCAGATTTACTAAAGGAGAGTCATATGCTTGAGAATATTCAAAGAAGGGTAACGAGAATAATCATGGTATGCCATATGAAGACTGATTAAAAGTTTGTGGTTTGACAGCATCAGAAAAAAGAAGAACAAGAGATTTGATTCAGGCATACAAAATCATCACTTTGAAAGAGAATTTGGAATCAGTGAAATTTTTTGAGTTTAGGATGATATATATATATATATATATATTTATATATTTATATATTTATTTATATTTAAATATTTTTTTCATGATGTTAATGGTGATGATATTGACGAACTTAATAATTCTATGATGCTGGTATTAATTTTGCTGAAATGAGGCTGGTGATGAAAATATGAATAAAAATGGCGGTTTGAACGATGATGAAGAGAAAAAGAATGGTATTATGAAGATGCTGACCTTGATACCATGATGTTGACGAAGATGAAAAGGAACATTTTGATGGAATGAATGATGGTGTTGATGGTCGTTGGTCTGTTGATTGGAATATGTTTTGATGGTAATGACGATGTGTGCAGAAACACTGATGATGGTAAAACGTATATCACGTGATTATGACTTGACGATAAAATACAAATACAACAGTAATCATCTTATTGATGATGATAACAATGATGATGGTGATGTTGTTGATGATGATAACAGAACTTGTCTCACACGTTCTTTCCAACTGGAACAACAGCAGCTGATAAGGCTCAACAGAGTCTGCTGTTTATTATAAATCTAACTTGCATCCTTCGCATATACATTACAAACACATGGTAAACATATATGGTACTTGTCATGTAAATATATATATATATATATACATTTATCTGTATGCGTCTTTTATGATTCATACAATATACGTATTCAACCACTTGTGCATTTTAAACATTATAATTTAATGAATAAACATTATCTAATAAATATTCATCATGCGTGAATGTTGATGACAAAAATGAAATATTCCAATTCGAAATAAACTATCACACGCAAAGTCATCTCATCCACCCGACGCATACGTTACAAATGTTGTATTCAGTACAGGCATGTATGTGTACAAAAAAATGTGCATACATATTAGATTCTCTACATGTTGATTGTTAAATCGCAACACACGTTAGAGATAGTACATACACATTACTAAAGGGTACTCGCATCCTTATACGTATCATATTATATATTATCATATTCTGTAGAAAGAGCCCGCGTCGATGAACCCAACACATTTTCTTTTCTGTTGTTGCACGTACGCACACACGTCTGCGTTTGTATTTTGGCTTAGTTTTTATACATGTATAGTAAGATGAAGGATATTTGTGGCAACTACATGAAAAGTTAAATGCGAATAACATGTGCGTGTTTTGTGTGTGTGTGTGTGTGTATGTTGCATGTGTTTGATGATGATGATGGTGTAAGTGAATAGGTACATATTATATTTAAAATACTGCTTAGTTAATGACATGGCGGTGATGAAGAAAAGATGACGGGGACAAATATGACGACGATGATGAAAAGATGATAATGAAAGATGAGGAAGAAGAAGATGAAATGATGATAGCAATAGAAAAGACTCGTTTAAACTCGCATCGCATTCCCCGTATTCAAGTACAAAGTTCATCTGCTCCACATTATGATCGTTTCAATTCTTATAATTGTTGGTCTTTGTTTGATGTTGCACATGCATTGTTCTTTGTTGTTGTTGTTGCTGTTCAGCTGTTTGTTGTTCAGCTGTTTGTTTTAGTTTAGTTTTAGTTTAGTTTTTGTTCAAGTGTTGTTTTTGTTCTCTTATTGTTTAACTGTTTTCAGTTGTTTTTTAAGATGATGGAGTTGTTTTTTAATGGATGGCCACATAAAAGTTCTATGATCCGCCAGTCAACAACCTTTGAAGTGGTGCAGTGGGGTCAGCTACCTGCAATCCATTTAAATAGATTTTATTAACTGCGTGCTATTAAATAAGCGCCGCTTGAATGTGTGAATGTCATTCGACATTCGACAACATATATCAAACCAAAAAATAAGAGTACCGATCGCCAACCGCTTCGACGTCTGATATATCGGTTCTTTATTGGCCAGTTTATCGGTTATTTCTGTAAACACACACACACACACACACACAACACACACACAACACACACACACACAAATATAAATATATACATTATATAACATAACAATGTGTTTATGGCATATACGATAAATAAAAATATGTAGCTTCCATTTATACATCCTCGCATATATAATATGTTTGTTTACATATGTGTTTATTTTTAAAACAAATCTATACAAGTGTGGATTTAATTAAATATGGAACTGTACAGAGTAATGATATATAGCTCATCTAAGTTTAATGTTTATGTATTTTTTATTTATATTGATATACATATGTGTATATCCGTTTATATCATATATGTATGCAGTATGCATATATGTAGAAGATTTCATCCATGCATGTATGTGCGTCTGCGTATATATGTGTATGCATGTATGTATGTATGCATGTATGTATATATATTTTTTTTATTCCAAAAACTTTATTGACAGGAGATCTATAAGAAAATAACTTGTGCAGACCACCTTAACTAGAGTGTGATTTAATAACTAATATGCAAATGAAATCAAAATTACAAACAAAAGCTGTAAACAAAAACAAATAAAAAATCATCAAAATCAACCACACCGCAGATGTCCAGAGCAAACATTTTCCCAAATCAACAGAGAAATACAAACAAGTTATAACAAAATATTATATATATAAAAAAAGAAAACATACAAAAAAACACTACTATGAACTTTCAAAAATTGATCTCCTAGCTATCTTTTTAAAAGAGGTGATGGATGAAAACTTTAGATTATGAAATCCAAGTTCATTCCACATTTTAAGACCTTTCATAAACCAGGATTTATTATTTAATCCAGAATTACTTTTATGTATTTTCAACTGTCTTTTCATTAATGTAATTTTATCAAATACGAAAAAAGTTTTATAACTATCTAATCTATATACTGGATCCTATAAATAAAAATTAAAGTTACAAATTTATTGATCTGTTCAATGTTGAAAAAACCATGTTCCCTAAAAATAAAATCGGTATGGTCATAAAACTTAAGTGAGAAACAAATTCTTAGTAAACGTTTCTGTGCAATCTGCAATTTATTATTTAAATATTTACAGGAGCAACCCCAGAACAGATTTCCATAGATGAGGTATGGATAAAAAAATAATAAAGTGTTATCATTGACTTATGTTCAAGTTTGTCCCGAGATCTATGTAACACATTAATCACTCTGTGCAAATTACTAAGCACCATATTAATATGTTCACTCCATTTCAAATCACCTTGAATAATGACACCAAGGAATCTTATCAACGATACTCTGGGAAGTGCAAGTTCATCAAGATATATTTTTAGGTTGTTAAAGATTACATCATTTGTTTTAATCTTGGGCCCAAAAAAAATATAAAAGGACTTTTTAACATTCAGTGTTAATCTATTAGATTTGAACCAATTCAAATTTTTTTGTAGTTCATTGTTCATATTTGAATAAAGTTCAATCGGATTATTTCTAGACAAAAATAAGTTAGTGTCATCTGCATATAATATGGTATGGCAGATATTCGACACCAAAAAACTATCGTTGAAATATATTATAAATAAATGTGGTCCCAGAATGGAGCCTTGAGGAACACCAGTCTGGACAACACCAGGAAGAGAATCAACATTGTCTATAGAAGTAAACTGCATTCTAGCCTCAAGATGGGCAACGAACCAATCAAAAACGGGGCCCCGAATATTATAGGTCTGCAATAGTAATGGATGGTCAATGACATCGAATGCCTTTTTTAGGTCTATAAAAATACTTAAACTGATATTTTTGAGTTCAAAATTGTTGAGAAGCGAAGTATGTATCTATGTATGTATGCATGTATGTATGTATATATGTATGTATGTATGTATGTATGTATGTTTGTATGTATGTTCGTATGTATGTATGCATGTATGTATGTTAAAACCAAATCATTGACGAATGACACCAAAAGCCAAGCGTCTGACTAAATTTGATTTTATTTGCTATAACCTCACTCAACCCCGTCGGCATTCAACTCCACATTTTCCAACACACAGACGCGCAAAAACCGCTGCAGAATGCACGAGATATTATTCATAGCGAAAAAATATTCCTTACTATCGCCTGACCTAATAGTAATATGTTTACAAATCCGATTGAAAAACCCGGAGGTGTTACGGTCCATGGGGCCGAGGACCTCGATACAAATCGGTAAAAACTCCATCGAGGGGAGAGCTCCGTCGTACTTCTTGATCTTCTCGTCAGATGCCCTGGTTGCAGCCAAACCGCTTTCTTTGCTAGTAAGCTGCACGTAGCGCTCAGCAAAGGTGCCCGGAACGGTAACGTCCCACGCCAAGCATTTGCCGGCTCTCCAAGGAATCAAGGTACACCCGTCAGGGCGCTTACCGTCGTGCACCGCAATGCCCGACGGTTCCTTTAAAACCGGAATTGAGGCCTTGGAGAAAAGCCGGCACACAAAATCGTTTATGGCTGAATGTCGCTGCTGGCGACCTCCGCCCAAACGACAAACAAGACCATGATGGCCGAGTTCATCCGCCTCCGCGCCGCACCTGCATGTGTATCGACTCTGAGCGGCCAACCCCAGCCGGAAACCAATGGCCGTCCTGACCGTTTCGTCATCCAATCTGGTACCCACCGACGTATTGGGCAAAGATCTCAGCCATCCACAACCCGCCTTGCTGGATACTGCCAGCAAGCGAGCTGAGGTCGCCGAGTCAGGGCTTGAGGAAAGCAACTCTTTGAATGTGCGTTTATATGCTTCCTTCAAAATGTTGCCCTGGGAAAGGTTTGTTGGTTGGAATGGAATCGGTGGAGTACAATGTAGGCTACTAAATTGCCGAAGAAGGGCAAACTGTAGGTTAAGCGTGGCAGATGCAGAAGATTTATAAACAATTGGTGCAAGCTGAACCACGCTTAGTAATCCCAGTCCCCCAAATCGTACCAGCAGCTGAGCCTGAGACCAACCCTTGTCGGTAATATCGACGTTACAAATGGCTGAGAGGGCCACCCGCAGAGCACCCTCAAATTCGCCCAAAATGGCCGCATTAACAGAGTTGAATGTGCGCAAAAAATACAGCAATTTCGGCAAACTGAGGGCGCCGCGGATGATTGTCAGCGCGTCGTGGACCGAGAGAAGAGAGACACGTTCGAGGGCAAACCTTAGCTCAAAAAGTTTTTTATTAAAAAACCTGTCCTGATGATCGCCGGCCATCATTGGAGTGCCTAAAAAATTTAATGATGAACGGGGCACTGTGGGGACATTAGCCAGCACGTGTGGCATTTGAAACGTGTCATTTACGAGAAGTTCACACTTGTTTGTGTTTAATTCGAGACCAATGATGGAAGTGCCGACCCTCAGCGACAGGAAGTCGTCCGCTAAAATGTTACCCTTTGCGGCCAAGCTGACATCGTCCAGTGGGTGAAGGGTTAGAGCAAAAAGCATCGGTCCCAAAGGGTCGCCTTGCTGTACGCCCTCGCACGATTCAACCACCGCCGAGAGACTGCCCTGTTCAATCCGAGTAGTTACTGCACTAATCCAACTGTTTGGATTGTGCTTACGCGGTTTGGTGTTGTGGACAGTGTTGAAGCTTGCCACAATAATCTCGACCTCGGTCGAACTGAATTCGGCCAACCGTTTAATAACGTAATTGGCTTGAATAGTCCTGCGACCGCCCCTGGTGGGCTTGAACAAAACAAATGCGAAAAAATATTGGAGCCTGCACCAATGGGCCGCGTCGCAGGATCATCGCAAACGGCCGTCAATAAAGCCGACAATGCTTTAGATACCTTGTCTCTGCACGGTTTGGGAAAGTGATCATACAGATGGGCAGTTCTCAAAACGACCGTCAGCCTGTCAAAAACATGAAAAAAATCTACTTGGGAGGGACTCTCCGAGACCGACGCCGAAGAACCGCGTGTAGCAACATGAGGGTTGATGACAGGTGCGGCGGTAAGAGGCGGTCGCGCGGAAGCAGATGAACCAGCCGGAGGCTGGTCGGCTGCCTTGAACGAACCAGGGCATTCCTGGCCCTTTACTTTGCCTCCATGTCGATATAGTTTACCGTCCGGTTTTATTTTATAATGATTTAAACAAACCGTGCATTGATATAGGACCGGTGCCATTACGTCAACGAAATAAAATCAAAAGCGAGTAGATAAAACCGTGTGAACAGTGATAAAATAAATAAAATTGTGTTGAAAATAAAAAAAAGATTAATTTAAATAAATTTAAAAATTAAAAGAAAAACTAGGAATGAAACAGAGAAAACAAAAATAAATATTAATGAGCATTGTACGATGCAGCTGGGTAAAAGCCCACAGCTGTTGTTAAAAGTATGGTAAAGCTAAAATATAAAATTTGAGACCACAAAAGTTAAAAAACCAACCGAACGGCGGGACATTAATCCGAAAAAGGGCAAAAAAAGCGACAACCTATAAAAACCACACCAGAAAAACCGAAATTATTGCAACAAAAACCTTAAAAACCAGAAATATTACTAAAAATTAGCGATGTTTGTATGTATGTGTGTATGTATGTATGTATGTATGTATGTATGTATGTATGTATGTATGTACGTATGTATGTACATGCATGCACGTATGTATGTATGCATATATGTACGTACTGCTTGTATGAAAATCTAGAGGCATCATACGTAGGAGTCCTGAGGAACTAGTGTATGAAATATTATTATTGTTCTATTGAAACGTTATGACTTCAATGTTGTTGATGAAAATGTTCGAGCACCATTTCTAACTTTTTTTTTATTATTTTATCAATAAATAAATTGAACAAAATATCAAATAATACGAATAAATAAATAAATTGAAACTGTCGGTTTGGGCATTTACTAAGAAAATACAAGTCTTTTTAAATAACATTTGTCAACTGTTTTTGAATAACCTTTCAACACTTTCAAAAATGGCATCAACATCATCTTCATCTTCAAACATTTCACTCATCTCATTAATCACCATCTTTACCCTCATCATCATCACCATTGCGTCATCACCATGTGGCGCTTCCAGCTGGTGCTCCAGGATTCCTAAAAATGCCAAACTGCCGCTGAAATCTGGTGACAACGGGTTCCGGGTTTCGTTGGAAAGTTTAACGGACGACCTGTACGATCCTGGACAGGTGTACACAGGTGTGTCCTTCCTCTTCATTTCACCCCTTCAATTACAATACTCCCTTCCTTATTTGGATTTATTATATTTTTAATATTTTATATCCTGTATTATATTTTTTTGTTGGATGCAGTGTAAAACTATTTAGTCAAACAAAGCATTTGCAATAAATGAAAAATTATTTTTTCGGTTTTTAATATTCTACTAGCAGTGGCGGATCTGGGGGTGCATGCCCGTTGTGAGCAATTTTTTACTAGAAGTCTGTAAAACTCATTACTGAAAAATTTTCAAAAATTCACTCCTTCCGTCAACATTTGAAAAATTTTAAAAATTCAGGCCTCCCGCCTACTTGAAATGTATTCCAACCCATCTGACGCAATTTACCTTGCAGTCAATTGTCTGCATCATCAAGGTCTCCTTCCACACCTAGAAATTTATTACAATTTTTTGAGGCATCCAAATTTCTTCTAAACAAAAATGTTTAAATTTTTATATCAGGAGTTGCAACATATCTCGCCAGCATCGTTCGTTTCTTGAACGAATTCTGTCATATTCATTCACTATCGAACAGAAGTTCATTATAACAGTTTTTCATGTTTTAAGAAAAATATATGTTAACGAAGCATATTAATGCAATGCAACGAGCCCAGGACATAACGATGCGAACTTGTTGTGAACTTGTTGGAAGGTTGATTTACTTTGCTAGAAAGGTGAGATGTTCTTTGTGCAACAGCACATCCGCAAACACAAAGGAGGATATCACCACAACGACACAACAGATTACAAGTGCAACACAAAATTTTATATATTTATTTAATTATTAAAAATGAAAAAAAAATCTTAATGATTGTTGAAATAAATACACTGAGCGTGATTTAGGATTGATTATTACAAACACAGTAATGTTCCCCCATCATCATGTATGTATATAACATAAAATAACACAACTGAATGTGTACTAGAACAGAACAGAACATTGAAACGTCTGAACTAGTGAAAATGTGATATTATAAATACTCACCATTGTAACTTTAACAAAACATCTCTCTCTCTCTCTCTCACGCACACACACAGAAAAAGAGAGAGAGAGAGAGAGGAGAGAGAGAGAAACAAACAAACAAATAATAACCCCACGCACCAGATAAATGACCCGACCTTAGAAACGTGAGTACTTCATGCCAGAGGCCACGAAACATCTGCACTGCACGCGTTACATGAACCGACCTATATTTATTGCTTCAACCTTCTTAAAACGCTTGAACTTTCTTCTGTTCGTTTATGATTAATTGCACGAGGCAATTTAGTATTGATTAGTAATAGATAAGAAATATTGAGTTAAGAATATCTTACATACGAATGAACGATATTGCTGCCAGAGAGAGCTGTGGATTATCATCATCATCATCATCATCATAATCATCATCAAATAAATATTTTACTCTTTTGTTAATCTGCTTACTGTTGTTTGTCCTGTTGTATTATGAACATGTGGGTGACATACATCACGTAGGTATTGTCTTAATTTAAACTATACAAACTTCTCATCTATAAACAAATAAAGACACTGTTAGTTAATAACCAGAAGGGCTTATTATAAGAAGATTATGTATAAGTGATTCAAATACGAGTATAAATACACATTTAACCTTGCGCGTAAAGCACAAAACAAACACACACGCACAAATACACACATTCACACACACACACACAAACCACAGACACACACGCATTTACACACACACAGACACAAATATATATTTATATTGGGTTGAGACCATCTGATATGCATTTGTTTAAAAATATTACAGCATTGCATGCGTTGTTCAATTTGCAATTGAAATTTTCAATTTATCGTACGACAAACTTCAGTTCATTATCAACTGATGACTGACGAACGAATTTCTGTTGATAATGAACTAAAATTCGTGTTGGAAAATTTGAAAAACTCAATAGCAAAAGCATGCAATGCTGTGATATTTTTAAACAACTGCACACACACACATATATATATATGTATATATATGTATATATATATATATATTAAAACACTTAAACATTAAACTAATATTGTTTTTCCATAGTTATTTGAGAAAATATTTGAACTCTGCAAGAACCACATCACCTGACAGCTGCTCCATCAACTGCTTGCACATCTCATAATATAAATGATCATTAATTACGGACTTGTAGTTGTAACTTTACAAAATGACACGCAGTTACGATAAGTGGATCGTTTCCGAAGCAGCACTTCCGAACCTTCATGCTCTCGTCCGTCACGAAGGATGCCGTTGACGAATCAAACGCTATCGGAACATTCCAAGTCAGTTTTTTTATTATTTATTACAAACATCGTACGCGCAACATGCAGTGGCAGACGCCTATATGTGTACAATGCACTTGTACAGTTGTACGTATATGGAAGCCAACGCAACACATGCTGGCTGATCAGCACTGAATCCTTCGGTTGTTACAAGTATCGCGAGTTATTTTGTGACAAATTTGTTTGTGATAAGGAGGTTGCTTTGAAAAAGTTACTGCAGTAAATATCTTCATTCGGAACAAATTTTTGTTAAGAAAACAGATCATCTTCAACTAAATTAGAGGATCTGAAAATATTTTGATCATCAAAATGCATGAAAACTTTGAGTCTTACGAGGACTTTCATTTGCTGTTCATTTGTTTTTTTTTAGTCATGAAATTAATAAGGATAAATAATAAGCAATTTTTCTGCTCAGTAAAACTATTATTTTGTGTCAAAATAATTGTTTTTGAACTTCCTTTGTTAGGAATTCACAAATCTCAGAGTCATTATTAGAATTAAATATAAGGTTCCTTAAATTTATCATGGTTCCATAAATTTATCATGAACAGCACACCTTTTCAGTCTCCTAACTAATCTTACTACATGACAATCTGGGACAACAGTCCTTCCTCTCATCTGCAAGTTCTTGAAAAAACACAAAATAATATATCAGAATTCTGCTGGGATTAAAATATTCGATAGTACATTTTTTCATACAAATTTGGCTATAAAAATGACCGTGGAATGCATTGTGACTTTTGGAACCTGCTGCAAACAAAAGATGATATTTTTTTCATACGGTTCCGGATGAAGATGATGATGTTGCGATCGTGAAGATGACGACGTTGTGGCAAAATAGCCCAGACAGTAGAAGCGCCATGACTCATCTTTTTGTAATTGTTCGCTGACCTGGTTCAAACGCGGTCTGTTCGAAACTGAAAGATTATCATTCGTTTTTTGCGCGTGATGCTGCGATCGCGCCTTCATCAGACGAACATCGTTTGGTTCAGACGATGCTGCAGTCCTTGTGGTGCATAAGTTCAATTATTTCTGAGCATGGAACGATTTGTAAGCTTTTATAAAAACTGTTTATTAAAAATAATCAAAAAAATAATAATATAATATAATAATAAAAATCAAATAAAAATTAAAAACTCACCTCACAGAAATACTTTATTATTATCTCTACTGCTATTATTATTATTGTTTTGTCATCATCATTGACATCATCATTATAAGAATCATCATTGACATCATCAGTGACATGTTATCCATCATCATCATTAAAATGATAGTTATTATTCCATTGGTTCCTTCACTTATGGGCTCTACTTAGATCATTGACGTCATCGTGATCAACTTTTTCATTTTTTTATTGCTTAAGAGTATCATTGCACCACAGGCCAAATCACCCCTGCCTGTAACTTTACAACTTCTCGCACCCCATCTATCTGGTAAATTTTTTGACGCTCAACTTTCAACGTTTTTATTGTGCCAATCTTTGCAGCCATCACCATCTTCATCGTAATCATCACCAACACCGTCACCAACACCATCACCAACGTCATCGACGAAATCATCATCATCAGAATCTGGACCCGAGAGCAACCCACACCTCGCCAGCCTGTCCACACATAATGACCAGCCTGAACGACCAGCTAAAGCCGAAAGTTCAACTTCTGTGGACAGCTCCTCCCACCAACACTGGATGTCTCGAATTGAGGTAGGTCGAGGTCAGATGAGTCGGGGTCAGGTAGGTCAAAGTGGTAGAGTAAGTCAAGTGGATCATGGTAAGTTGGGTCGAGGTCAAGCAGATTAAGGTCAGATTGGTGGAGGTCAGGAGTGTCGAGTTCAGTAGAGTTTGTCGAGTGTAGTGAGCGCGTGTTAATGCATGTACAATGTGAAGGTATTTAAAAACATTGTGGGAACAAATGCAAGAAGAAACAATAGCAAACAGCTGAACTCATACACCATAATGTAGCGCGTCGCACATACACCCTCTCACGCACGCACACACACACAGACACCTACAATCACACACACGCACACACGTGCATCAGGGCATCAGTTATGGACAGCACTGGATATGTATACAAAGACAAAGGAGCCCTCAAAAAAGTTCTCTGCGAAAGAAAAGGTGTGTGTATTTTTTAAAATTCTCTCTTTTTCTAAGGCACTCTGTCAAACGCAGCGCCGCACATGTTATTCTAACAATATCTATGTAGATACTCATGCGCAATATATTTTAAACGATTCCTGCTAATTAAAGTTATTCTTGTTGAAATATTTCATGGTTTTATTTGAATCTGGGCGATTCGGAAACAATTTTTAGTTTATTTTGCACATATTCTGAATGAAACATGTTCAAATACAAAAGTCCAAAATAAATAAATCTTTTCGAACAAATAGAAATAACATTACAAACTGATCAAATGAAATAATATCTTGGTAGCATCCAGCCCTCTGAATATGATGATGAACGACGAAGCAGCAACATCTGGGGTCACAGAGCAGCAAGCCACAGCTACTGAATGCTGTGCCTGTGGGTCAGCGAAGTACGAGATGACCTTCGAAGCAGTTTGGTCCAGGAAGACTCACCCGAAAGATTTCCCAATTGGTTTGTGCGGTTCAATTGTTTCAGTTGAGAGTGTTGTTTTCACATTTCAAATTTCTAAATTATTGGACCGATATCTTAACCAATAATGGAGCAATAAATAAAAGTACACCGTCGCCTGTCCAGACAACCGATCAATCGATTTCATGTTCATATTTTATCAATCAATCAATCAATCAATCAATCAATCAATCAATCAATCAATCAATCAATCAATCAATCAATCAACCAATCAATCAATCAACCAATCAATCAACCAACCAATCAATAACTGTAGCTGATGCCTTGACACATTGGTCAAACATCGTCGGAGCATCCCATACCAGAAACTTTTCCATCTGGAGATATGGAGAGGTGGCAAGCATGGGGGTCAAGGAGATTTGTGAAACAGCTAGTCCCAGGACTGTGGAGGAAGAAATTAGAAGGAAGGTCGGTGTGTATATGTTTGCATGTGTGTGTGCGTGTTTATGTGCGCGTGTGCGTGTTTGTGTGTGCGCGTGTTTGATTACCTATATGTGTTTCCGTACTCTTTTTGTTTTATGTGTAAAAAATTTTGTCAAAATAGAATTAAAACAACGAGACACACTTTTGAAAATAAATGCTCATCATAATAACCTATTCATTTTGAAATGTCTTCAATGATAACCATACAGAATAAATATATTATAACAATTAATAAGCAGATCAATGCAAAGCAACATCAAAATTTGTCATATCATCATCTTACTAAAATAGCAATTAGATTGATGCCACATTGGTGGCACCGTTTGTTTCCATCGCTTGTTTCCATCTTTCCCCACCACAGAGCCGCGAAATACGAACGATAATAAAAACGAAGGGCATCTGGTTCACATTGGAGAAGACCATCCTGGCCAACAGATCTGCCAGGTTCACCGTGGACAAGAGGCGCCACCTCGTTTCCATGATCACCATGCTGGGGCCGAGCCCGGACTGGTGCGTCGGTCAGTCAGTTTTTCTTCTAGAGGAAGATTAAAATGGGGAAAAAACTTGAACCTAACTTGTTTGCTTAATTTTACTTCCAGTCGTTTGAAGCAAATAATAAAAATTACCGAATATTAATTACAGGATATTAAATTATGAATATCAATTACAAAATAATAATTAAGGCTTGTCTGCAAACGATCTCTGCCTGGCGAACTGTACGTGGTCAAATGGCTTCACTGTAGACTTGTTTCCATGGGACGCTGGGACTGATGATGGCATTTCTTACATGGTCGGTTAACGTTTCGTTCAGCTAAAAGAGAAACAATGCGAGTGTGCTAACGAGTTTTTTATGCTATAGTTTGTTTTATTATAGGACGTTAGCCAAGATTTATGTATTTTTGAGTAATATACGAGATTATAATTTTTTAAATACACTGTTTGATAGGCAACTGATTTAAATAAAATATCATAAATATTCAAAAGTCTGCCAACAAGGCCTCGAGACCCCAACAGCCAATCAGAAACATCACAAACATGTGGCCCGCTGATGAGCAATCTCCCTTCTACAGCATGCAACCAATGAAGGCGCTTGCCAAGTGACTTCCACATTTCAATTTATCAAATTTAATCCATAAATTTTTAAAATCATGTTCAGATAGAATGATGAAAAATTAATAAATTATCACATCCAACTTTACACTAACTATGTCGAAATATTTATATTGGAAATGATGATGTATGAGACAAATTATAGAGTATTTTTTATTATTGAAATTTTGCTCTAACTTTCTCTTTCTTTCTTTCTCTCAACTTTTTTGCCTCCCTTTTCCATTTTCCACAATCAGCACAGTACACACATTGACGCAGGTTGCACATTAAAAAACTGAGACTGGGGAGTCCACTTCAAGATGAAGACAAAGGTGAAGGTCAGACGTGCGACGAGGTCGAGGACACCAGCGAGGTGGATTTCTTCGGGGAGGGAGAGTCCAACGCCCTGGATGCTGAAAAGAAGATGATGATTGCCTTTGATGGTTCGTGTTATTACCTATTGATTGTGATTCTTGCAAATGTCTGCGTTTTCTTGTGCTCTGCTGGCAGGAAACCCAGAAAATATTTAAGGTGACCAGAAGAGCAGGGTTCAGTTGTAAATGTTAAGCAAGCGTTACAGTTATTTTATTAGTCGCTATAACTATTTTGTTGACTTTGTAACATTCATAATGATTGTTAAAAAGTCAACAAGACAATTCTCTAAATTAAATTGGGGCTGGAAACAAACTTTTACATGCTTCCACAAAGTATTTAAAGTTAAACAAAAAAAATGTAATATGACTAATTAAGCAAATGAATGAAACGAAAGGTAAATGTGAGATGACACCGTGGGACGATTGGTCGGAGTGTTCTGTGACGTGCGGTGTTGGCACTCGAGTGAGGAGGCGATCGTACGTGCATCCAGCCGGGGACCAAGGTTTGTGTGGGCTGGCCACTACGGACAGGGAGAACTGCTTAGGTTTGCAATCTGAATTCTTCCATATGAAAACATCTAAACAATTTTCTTTTAATTCAGTTTTGGTTTACTAAATTTGCTCCCACGGGAAAGAAATAGGTGAAAACAGTTTAAAATAGCTTCTTTTCAACCAATAAGGTGTTGAAAACGAATGCGATCCACCACCTCCTATTGGACCGTGCTCAACAACGGGGTGGTCCCTCTGGTCTCCCTGCAGTGTTTCTTGCGGGCAGGGAACAAGGGAACGCAGACGGTACTATTTGAACGAGGAGGATGTTCATTCTTGTAACCACCTGAACGAGCAGACTGAAGCGTGCAACGGCACTCTCATGGACTGCACAGCTTCGAAGAAGTCACACGGTCAGAAACTTCCTCCCTTCTTTTCTACTTTCACATGACAACCATTAAAAATGTCTTTAAATATTAATCCTTTATCGTCGGTTACGGTTATAAATAATAATACGTTAAATAAAATAAATAATAAATAAATAATATAAACAATAATACGTTTATAGGTTAAAAAATACGTCAGTTATAACAATTATTTACTGCATTTTATCATGCAAGCAACATCAATAACAATAACAACATCAATTTTATATAAATACAAACATGTCAATGTTAACGAATACCATCCTCCAGTCATCTGCTCGCTGCCGAGCAGCACCGGTCCGTGCAGAGGCAGTTTCCAGAGGTGGTACTACGATGCAGTTAGGAGGAAGTGCATGCCGTTCATTTATGGAGGCTGCAGGTGTGTTTCTGAACCTCATTATGGGATGGCTGGTGAATCTCATTGTCGAAATAATTTTTTACATTGTATTAACTAGTTAGCAACCCATATAAAAGTAATCTCCGTAACTGAAAACATTTAGAAGATGTAAAAATATAAGCCTATAAATTATGAATGTTCATCACAAAAATATGTAATGTTTGAATTTAAAATGTTCTGAATATAATTTAAGAAACAAAAAAATATGGTTGAATCTAAAATATCAAAAATATAATAAAAAATATAAGATGAGCAGAGCATTTTGAAGTGTAGGAATGCTTTCAAGTCACATTAAAATTAATTTTCTAACCGTGTGAAAACTTTTTCAAAAACATTCGAGCAGCATAAAATGTTGAATATTTTCTGTTATTAACTGAAAATATTTGATGAAAATGTTGTAGATGATTGTTGAAATGAGTTGCGAAATATTACACTTTGCAAATTAAATTATTTGCGCAGAGGCAACGCAAACAGGTTCGAAACTCTCGACGAATGCCAGATTTCTTGCGCCGATGATGATAGAGACAAATCTGATGATAAAGGTTTGTTGGCTTCCTGTTTACAAATTAATTTCTTATTAATTCCTTAATTTATTTTTACTCAATTTTTTTCGGCGGCATGATGGCTGAATGGTTAAAAGCACCTAGTCCTATTTTACAGTGACCGGGTTCGATTGAACATAAGAAGGTAATCCGCCCCGCCCATCACTTACTTCATGTGTGATGCGTCGTTTAGTCCTATTTTACAGTGACCGGGTTCGATTGAACATAAGAAGGTAATCCGCCCCGCCCATCACTTACTTCATGTGTGATGCGTCGTTTAGCACGTGATCATACATACGCTGTTAGTGTCTTTGATACCTTTAATTTTAAAAAAGCGAAATAAACTTCTAAGCTTTCTTATTACGCTGAAACTTATGGGAAAACAAAATGTAAGCAAGACGACACCCATTTAGCAAAATGTGCGAATGTCCAGATATTAAATGTGTTTTATTTAAAAATGTAAAGTTTATAAAAATGAAATATTAAATCTGATGTAACCAATCGCTTCAGAGTTCTGCTTCCTTCCAAGCGCAAGAGGTGAATGCGGGAAAAACGACGAGAAATGGTATTTTGACACGCAGATGAAAAAATGCCTGCCTTTCCTGTATGGAGGTTGTGGTGGTAACAAAAACAGATTTGAAACGATGGACGACTGCAGCAGAGCTTGCAACATGTTTTCCAGTGGTCATGGCACTGCTGGTGCTGCTAGTGTAACAACGTGTAACTTACCCTCCGAGGTTGGTCCGTGCAGAGACATTCAAGAAAGGTGGTACTTTGATACGCAGATGCAAAAATGTCTGCCTTTTCAATATGGAGGTTGTGAAGGAAACGCAAACAATTTTGCAACCATGGATGAATGTTCTTCAAGTTGCGGTGGAAATCATGGAGGTGTACTTATTTCCGGTTCCACGAAATTGACCTCGACTCAGTGCAACCTCCCTGCTGAGGTTGGACCATGCAGGGGTGTCAACGAAAGATGGTACTTCGATACACAAATGCAAAAATGCCTTCCTTTCCAGTACGGAGGTTGTGAAGGTAATGTCAACAATTTCGCCACAATGGATGAATGTTCGGCCAGTTGTGGTAGTGGACATGGAAATCCAATCGTAGCCAGCGGTTCAGCCAGTGACCCAGTGAGATGTAGCCTTCCCGCCGAAACTGGTCCTTGTAGAAATGTTGAAGAAAAATGGTATTTTGATGTTCAGATGCAGAAGTGTTTGCCTTTTCAGTACGGAGGATGTGATGGAAACGCCAACAACTTTCTCACAATGGACGAATGTTCAGCAGCCTGCGGAGGTGGTCACGGTGGTGTGGGCGGTGTACAACAATCCATCATCACTCCCAATCGCTTCAAGGAGTTCTGTATCATTCCGAGGGACCGTGGACCGTGCAAGGGCTTCATTGAACGATGGTACTTCGACGTGCAGATGCTGAAATGTTTGCCATTCACATACGGTGGATGTGCTGGAAACGCCAACAACTTCGAATCCAATGAAGAATGTATAGAAGTGTGTCATGAAAGTCACGTAGAGCCAAGGTTGAGGGAGCACTTGAATCAGGTCAACCGGGACAGCAATGGCAGCAACAACCAACTCACAAGAAATGATCTTACTACAACGCAAAACATTAGCAGCCCCAGCCAACAATATAATCTGCAACAACGAACACACCAACAACAACAAACACGTCACCAACGAACGCAACAAAACGAAGAACATAGGGATTGTGTAATGAGCAAATGGTCGGGATGGAGTGCTTGTTCGGCCACTTGTGGTACCAGCTACAAGATGCAGGTCAGAGAAATTTCTGTCCATCCATCGGGGAACGGAATAAAATGTTCAAACTTTCTGCAGAAGAAACAGAAATGTAAAATGCCGACCTGCGATAATGGTTAGTTTAAATTTTTATTTTCTAAAAAAGAGTTATTTACATCCCTCAGTATGTTAAAAAACATTTTCAAGTGCACAAAAAGTTCAACTCTTAACCTACTTTACAATTGTTATAAAATAAAATGCAAACAATATACCGTCTTAATTATTGATGAAAATTATACAAACAGAGTGCATCTACGAGGAGTGGTCTGCTTGGAGCAGCTGCATAAAAACTTGTGGCAGTGGCAGCTACCGCCAAAGAATTCAGAAGAGCAAGAATAAAGAAATAAAGTACGCTAACAGTATGAAGAACATGAACGATATGTACGAGAGTAGAAATAACGACATGCACAAGAAGGAAAATAACAACATGTACAACAACATGCACAACAACAACATGCACAACAACAACATGCACAACAAGATGTATCCCATGCAAGACAACTACATCGCAGGCAGACGTCGCAGTGTTCGTCAGGCATCTCGCAACAACTGGAACCCAGACACTAACAAATACGCTGCCTCTGAAAGCAGGAACAGCCAAAACTATCAACACAACGGAAATAATAATAACCAGTATCGGCAGCAATTGCAACAACCACATTACAATCATCAACAGCGACCACAACAGTCACTTCAATATCAACAACGACCACAACAACGTCAGCCACAATATCGTCAACAACCATCTCATAATCACCAACAAAATCCCCAACAAGCAAACAGGCATCATCATCAACAGCGCCAACAACCAAAAGAGTATCATACAAATCATAACTCCATGTACTCCCCTAACAACCACATGAATCACCCCCACAACCACATGAATCACCACAACCATAAATATGATAACAAAGCATCAGTCAAATGTTTTGACCGCGTGCAACGAGCACTATGTAGCATGCCAACATGTAACAGAAGGGTCTAAAATCTCCTCATCATATTGTCATCATCATTATAAGCATTTTAATCATCACGACTATCATCGTCACCATCATTATCTACATCAAAAATAAAACAAATGATGATTGATTTATTTATTATTGCAAAGATACTTGTGTTCTGCTACCCATGTTAAACACTGTACTCTTCGATTTGAAACATTCAAAAGAATCATACTCGTAAGCACACACACACGTAAATACACACACACGTAAACACACACACATACATACACACGCACGTAAACACACACACACACCACACATACTTGCACACATACATACCACAAGCACAAACGGACTAGCCGTACGTTTATATCGATTGAATGGCAAAGTCAGTTTTAAAAATGTTGTTCAGCACAAAAAAACGTTGCCAACGATTGCTGAGGAATCAAAAAATTTCATTAAATACTTTAAAAATACATAGTAATTAAAAATACTTAGAATTAAATGACAACTATGGCCAGGGCAGTTAGATTTTTCATGTTTATTACAAGATGTTTACGTAGTGTATGTTTGTGTGTGCGCGCGTGTACGTGATTGTATGCGCGTGTTTGGTTATACAAATGAATAGGAGCAACTATCGCTTAAAAAAGGAAGAGGTCTTGAGTTTCTTGTTAAGAGTCGAGTTGGGAGGGTATGAAGAGTTTGATGTCCAGTCTGGGAGGGTACGTTTGTTGTTGGGTCGAGATGTAGTCGAACCGTCTGAACGTGCAGCGTCGTTGTTTTGATTGTCTTGCTGCTTGTGAGTAACTGATGCTGTGAATGTTGTCGGGGCTGGTGCTGAAATCGTCGTCGAAGTGTTCTGCGCTGATTGCTCAACTTCATTTTTGACGACAGTTGATGTTGAAAATTTCCTCTGCAACAACGCCAGGACAACTTTAATTTGATCAAACGAATGATCGGGCAGTTGTTCTTTGATGGGTCCCAGTCTTGTTATGTCTGCCCAATTTTAAATCAATTTGGGAAATCAAAAAATTATTCAGACTTGTTAACAAATTATGACAAAAGTTACCAGCCATGAAAATGTAAACATTTTAAGCATTCAGTCTTAACGCGAAGGTATGTGTGTGTGTGTGTCGGAGTTCAATACGATATTTTCCAACTTCGACTCCTTCCCTGAAAATTTGCAGACTCCAATTCCGGGCTAAAACTTCGACTCCCAGAAAAAATTTTCAACATTTGCTTTATTTTACCTAAATACTAAATGAAGGATACTTTAAAAACACTCAAAACTAGTCAATGTAACTGCTTTTCTTGGTAAAATTAATTTATATTTGTTTTAAAACATACCTAAAGATAATTATGCGATTTTATTCCCATTATTAACATCTATTTTCAGTAATAATAGAACAAATTAAAAATAAGTTAAATTATTTTTTTTTTATTGAACTTAGAGTAGTGAAATAATTTTTAAATCTGATCGATCAAAATAACATTTACTCTGTTTAGAATAACGATCTGGAATTAAAAAAAGTGGAATGCGTTCCAAGAGGAGTAACTGTGCAGTTGAACAGTCACACCCACGTTTTAATAATAGTAATAATAACAATAATAAGAATAATAATGATAATAATAATAACAACAATAGCAATAATAATAATAATGTTAAAAATCAACAGTTAGGGAATAAACAGACGCCGGAAATAGTGGAAAGCGAGTAAATAACAAAAAAGACTGCGTATTGCTTCGCTACACACACGTACATCTCTTAAAAGAAACGATTGTAAAAAAAAATTTAGGATACAAGATGAAAAAAATTTCAAATTTTTATTGATTCAAATTATTAAATAGAATGGATGAAAAAATATCCGACTCCAGCCTCTCAAAAAATATCGACTTCTTCTCCGGAAAGAATCTCATTTCCGGTTGTCGCGACAGTCCCCAATGAGCTGGATCTTGTTTTTACCAGGTCAGACAACAAACTTATGACTGCTGCTTGCATAATTCAGCTAACAAAGATCAACTATGCTTCGGTTTATACAGAAGCCATTTATGAAAATAAAATGCGCGCACATCATCACGCAATAAACAACCTGAGTTGATTGGCGGATTCCTGATGACGTCATGAATTAACTCCTCGTCACTGGCACTCACTCCCAATCTCCTTGCGTTGACTGGCAAACCGAAAGTGATGCAAGTGCACAGGTGTGTGACGATGGTTGATGGTTTGAGGTTTCTGATGTTTGATGTTTCCACCTGTTGATGGTAATGATGACGATGTTGCTGTCGTTGCTGATGATGTTGTTGTTACTGTTGAAGCAACATCAACTGATTATGAAGCAAAGTTTATAACGATCCCAAAAACAATCTACAAACAAGAGATTTGTTATCCATTTGGAACATCTTGTACGTTGTTTGGATGGTTTCTGAGAGGTTGACGTATGCCTCCTTTTCCTCTGCTGTCAACTAAATGTGAGTGCGTGCAATCATTTCAATCAAGTAGTCTAACATGCAGTGCCGGATCATTCAAGTTTCATTTAAGTTCCTTAAACATTTAATTGTCTTACGATTTTTAGTGAAGACCAATTATTATGGATGAAAGAGTTGTTTTCGTGAAAGAGAAACTCAACACTTTTGAACAAAAAACTGCTCCATCCATCATTCAAAAATTCAAATGTAAGTTTTACATTTTACAACAAAAAGAATGAAAAAACAATAACAAAAGCAGCAACAACAGCAGAGATCACTGTTCACAATAATGGCTTTGCAAGACAATTAAGGCAACTTGTAAGAACCGCCTCTACTCACTTTGCATGCATCATCAGCTGCATCCTTCTCGCCATCAGCGCAGTAAACAATTCCCGATCTGTTGCTTGAACCTGGCGTGAACAACGAACATGGAGAAGGCAAATAAATTTAATCAAGTTGGTACGATTTAAAACAATAGCAACTGTTAACACTTGCACTCCTACCATTGCTGCTGTCATCATTACTTACTCGTCACACGCAGATCGTCATCCTCGCTGTTGTTTAAATTGGTCGACCAATCATGTTGCAGACAGAAGTCCTTGACACAATTAATAAACAGGTCACCAAATTTGTTGGCCTTCTCTTGAGCCACGTCATCAATTTTGCTCAACGTATCTATGTTGATTGGTCTGTTGGTGGTTGTGGTGGTGTGGAAGTAGTGGTGCTGGTGAGGAAGTTTCATTAACGGTCACGAGGCCTTTAATGTAAACTAAGCCACAAAAATAACTTCTCACAAACAGATAAACAACAACAACGACAACGACAACAACGACGACAACAACATCGACAACGATAACAACAACCTCAAAGACATCAATGTCAACAAAATTTAAAAAGCCAACCTGAATTTAACAATATCTTGAAGTATCTTGTTACTGAAAATGTTGAAACTATAAAGGCCTGTATCGTTGCTGATGTTGTTTCTGATTTTCAGCAGCTGACCGTACAAGTCTAACTGCAATTGAATTATTTTCTAATTCATGTCAATAAAATTATTTTTGAAATGAGTAACAATAATTTGACAAGACAAAATGAGGAAATTATTTCGATCAACTATAAAAAAAAGTAAGAAAAAATAAAATAACCTAATAACCTTCAATTTTTCTTCTCTTGGGTCAACTTTTGAAACGACCTCACCAGAAGTTACCAAGTTATTTTCAACCTGTGACGAACTGGACAACCAACCATCTTTCACTTCTGATGACAAGAGAATGGTTGGTCTGTGGATGTTAGCATTTAATCAATATTTAATCAGTATTACGCTAATTAAGCATTCAATTACAATTAATATATAATTAGTATTATTTAAATAGCATTTAACTAGTTTCATAAAAGTGCTTAATTAATTAGTAATAAAATTATACTGAATAAGTATTTAACATTAAGTAGTGTCCCATTGAAAGGCAGCGAACAAACGACAACTGGCTCGGTTTCCATAATAAAATATGCATCACTTATGATCAAACAGCATAAAAGCAACTGATTTGAATGCTAGTATTTAATTTGGCACCCACTCTATAGACAAAATGAAAAAAACTATTTCAACCGCACGGTTAACTGATAATATTAAATAACTAATAGCATAATGGTTAACAAATAATAAACGAATGAATGATTAAATGAACGAACGAACGAAGGTGGACGACTGGAAGTATAGAATAACACGAAGCAATAAAACACAAATGGATGTAGTTACTTGTTGCTCGAGAAAGCTGTGGCAGATGACGTCTTCGAAGTCTCCACCTTCCTACATAAATATGATTGATTAAAATAGTGTATTAATATAAATCAAATTAATATAAGAAAAAAATATACATATATTTTTTCAAAATTTTATTTTTATAGATTTCGAAGTTAAAAGGTTAAAGTTCAATCTCTCTTGTGCACTTGCTGCAGAGGTTTTAACGGCAAACACAATCAATCAATCAATCAATCAATCAATCAATCAATCAATCAATCAATCAATCAATCAATCAATCAATCAATCAATCATCGTTTAGCGTCCAGAAACCCAGTTTCCCGGGGTAGGACGAGGCAAACACACACAGTGTATATGAATAGGCGTGAAAACCAGGCATCACACATGTTGCATATGATAGGCAGGGATGTCTTTGTATTCGAACCCAGTCATTGCAACAGCAGGACCAGGCGCCTTTAACCATTATGCCATCACGCCGCCCAAGTTAGCATGCATAACCTCACAAACCATCCACATTCCTCTGAATATCCTTTCACAAATTTTTCTAGGAATGGTGTCCCAACAAAAAGGTTTGTATTAATGAATTGTTGTATTTTTAAAGAAACAATTTAAATAAAGTTATCAATGAAAGTTTCATCGATAATGCCAGTAAATTAGATATCAATGACGATTATTCAACAGAGTTGTTAAAAATGATATTGAAACGTTAAAAGTTGAAAAAAACTTGTTCAAGTGATTTGTCTTGGAAAAACAAGCTAATTGAATGTTTAACTATTTAAAAATATTTAAATAATGCGTTTTTGGAGAAGTTTCCTCTGTACGTTTGTTGCTGTTTATCTAAAACGCCAAATGTAGAAAACCAGAGAGACTACGATAGCTTTTGAGTTTCGGACGGACAGACCATCGCGTAATAACAGCGGGAGGCACGGCATTTCTAGCAACTGAGCTAACCCTTCGACCAAAACAGAAGTAATTATAGCTTAATAAAAAGGGTTCGTTAAAAATATCAAAACTGTACAACAAAAAATACATGTTATTATTCAGTGTCTGAATAAATAATGAACGAGTCAGCACAATGAACAGCTCTAGATTGCATGAAAAAAGATGTCACTGAGAAATTAAAATTAAACGGAATACACTTTTTTTATACTTCAACATTTTGAAAAGATAAAAGATGGAAAATTCAATGAAAAAAATGGCCAGACAACCTCCTTTCACATTTGCGTCAAAAAAGCGACCAAAAACAGGTTAGAAATCCAGCACCAGGGTTAGGCTCCATTCCAGCGACTAGCAAAAGTGTACGAAGCAGCAGCAAAGCTGGCATACGAAGCTCCGCAAGCAAAAGACAGTGCGAGCAAAGAGGGTTGTTAAAATCCATTTGCATTGATAACCATGGAAAAAGAATACTATAGAGTAGCAGAGGACGGCAGCGGAGATAGTGAGCGAAGTCATAAATGTAATTTATGTTATAGTTACTTGGAATAGTTTAATGTTTCTTATTACTGTTGGTATTCAAATAAACGTTCAAACAAGTTTGAGGCAGTTGTGTTTATCTATCGGAAATCTTGAACCTACGGAATAACGAACACTTGACAATCGTTGGAAGCTACAACACTGGTGTTGGAAATATGGAGATCTTGGAAGTTATGACATTGATGTTGGTAGTAACGAGCGTTCAAGGGTTACAACAATATTTTGTTTCTGTTTGTGTTATTGGATGCATTGGGTGCATAAGAGATGTAGTGGTGTGACGGGGGCACGGAAAAAGGTGGAAGGCAAGTTCAAATGTAAGAAATGTGTTCATGGTGTGATTAATAGGACGGACGTAAGGACAGGGTTGAGTGGTGGTATTGAAAGAGTGGAAAGCTTTGTTTACTTAGGGGATAGATAAGCTGAATGCGGATGGAGGATGTTTGAGCGCAGTTACGGCTAGAGTTCGTGTGGGATGGATGAAATTTAGGGAACTGGGTGGGGTATTGTGTGGAAAGAAATGGTCAGTGAAGATGAAAGGGAGGGTATATAAAGCATGTGTGAGAGCAGCGATGGTATATGGTGGTGAAACCTGGGTGTTGAGGAGAGAAGAGGAAAGTGTACTGCAGAGGGCTGAAAGAGCTATGGTGAGGATGATGTGTGGTGTGTGGAGTTAAAGTGAAGGATAGGAGGAGTAGATGTCAATGATGGGACTGAATGAGGACATTGTGACATTGATAAGGAGATCGAGATTGCGGTGGTATGGACATGTGTTGAGAAGGGATGAAAGGGTCGGGATTAGGCGAGCGTTGGAGTTCGAGGTTGAAGGAGTGGTAGGAAGGGGTCGTCCGCGATTGGGATGGAGAGAGCAGGTGGAGAAGGACAGAATGAAAGCGGGGTTGCGTGATACTGAGGCGAGTGACAGATGTGGATGGCGTCGAGGGGTATTTCGGTTTCATCATAGGTAGCCAAACGGCAACTCCCGATCTCGGGGAAAATGCCGTCTAAACGTGTGTTGTTGTTGTTATTGGATGCATTGAACATGTATATCGAACATTTTAGTTTGTGCTTTTTTTATTTAAAACATTTTTTTTTCCTACTTTTCTTCAGGAAAGCCTAAAGCCTTTTAAAAAATCATCACCAGCTCTCTCAGTCATCCACGTCGTCAAATATCCTTTCGTATAAATTCTCTCTCAGTCATCTATATTATCAAATGGCACCATCTTGATTACACAGCCATACAATCATCATTAGTTATCCAACCCGAACAACCCACCTTGCATTGTCTTTGGCTTGTTCCATATCTTTGAGTTCTTTATTCATAGAAAGAACAAGCTTGCTATTGGTTGGTTGTCTCTTCCAATCGGCCAACCAGGTTACAGATTTTTGGGTCAGATCAACGGTCGACCCAAACGAACCTTTTATTGGTTGCTCTTTTAAATATCCTTCTGACAGAAGAATGCGAGCTGAGCATTTATGAAGAAGGTAGATTGATTGAATAAAACCAAATAACAATGTTACTATGCCGTTATCAAGGAAAAATTTGTATGAGGTGTAAACAAATAATAAAAACAGCAACATTTGCAAAAATTCTAAAGGAACGCAAAACAAATAAATCATGATGATGCAACAAAAAGACCCCCACCAAACGAAACAATAAGCTACTAAAAAAATTTATTTGTAGGGTGGTCGTACAAGATAAGCAACTAAAATAAAATTGTCCTTCTTTTACACCCTGTCATCGTTTAGAATATAGTTATATCATTACCTCATTAGTTATTGTTATCATCAATCTGGTTAATATTATCATCATCATCATCAACAAAAACTGGTCACAAAATAAAAACGTCCTAACAGAATGCCTTCCACCACTTGAGTGACCTCTCCTTGCCCCGGCCAAACAAGGGGCTCGATTTGAACCTCTCTGGCACCTTTTGATCGTGTGAGCCTCGAAGAAATAAGATAGGTGTCGTCAGGCCGAAACTGCCATTCATCATCTGTTCGTGTCGGTGGCATCCATCTTACAACTGCTGCAATCATCCTCACCATCAACATCACCATCAACACAACCACCACTAATGTCTCAGCAACGAATGTCACCATAACTACAACCATCATCATTATTATCTTTATCATTATTATAATCACTTACTGAACATAAAACATGAACGAATAATGATTGTGAATCATCTGATCATCGTCTGCCAGTCAATTTATAAATGTTCAAGCAACAACAGTTCCCTACTTGTATGCATGATAAGAGGTCTGATGCCTCTGATGAAAATTCTTTGCTGTCATCATCATTGCAACCACCAACACCATTGCTGCTGCTGCTACTGTTAGTTTTGTTATTGCTGTCGCTATAATCTTGATTTTGTTGCTGTTTCATCCTGCACGAAGTTCAAAGTTCAACATGCTCCATTTGATGAAATAAAATTCATCACAATCAACAGAAAAAAAATAAATAGTCGTAAAATGACATAACAGCCCCTATCTAAATTAATTATCAGATGAATTATCGCCCTAAGAACATGCAGCAATCGTCAGAGCAAATAATATCGTACACAGGTATAATTTTGTGACTCAGTGCTCTTGAAGCATAGGAGAATAGGAGAAACATCATCACATCATCTACTGATCGCTTATTATACAAAATTAATAACGCTTCAAAATCGAATGACTATAAATAATTAGACAATTGAATGAAAGAGCAAATGTTGAGATTGATTTATAAAAAGATGAACAGCAGCCACCTAGCAGTGCAGTTGTCACAACAGTTCGGCTTTGGACCAAGATCTGGAAGAGATGTGCTCTCAAAATGACTCAGTATCATTCTGTATATTTATCAGCATACAATTTGCTATATAACTAATCGTATATATAACGTTAAAAAAATCATGATTTTAAACAAAAAATAATTTTAAAGTGATTTTCATTCGAAAACCTTATCATACTTTTAATTCATTAATCCTTTGTTATCATTAATCATGGTAATTATTTCTGCTATCATCAACGCCATCATTAACGCCATCATCACCATTACCATCATCATCACCATCACCATCGTAATAATCATTATCAGCACCTCCTTCTGCACTTGGTCGTTTCCAGATAATCCTGCATCTTCAGCAGCATCTGCATCTTATGCTCCCTGAACTTCTCACTGGCTATGGTGCCCAGGAAGTAGCTGTAACACGTGCGTCAACGTCATCATCATCATCATTCGTTATGACCGTTCTCATCATCCACTCATCGTCCTTTACACACATCCGTGATCATGATAACTATCACCAGTCCCGTCGTTACCTTTTATCTCCTCTCTACAATATCATCATCATCACCACCACCACCACCATCACCACTATCATCATCCTAGTCATCATCATCATCATCATCATCATCATATTTATTATCATCGTTATTAAACCACTTTGCTTTGCAAACATTGTCGCCACACTACCACCATGATCATCAGCAACGTCATCATCAACATCATCGACGTCATCATCTCCACTACACGACCACGTGATCACCGATTAGTATTGAAGTCGGCGTTGGAGTAGTAGACCTGGCACCTGCTCCTCAGACCATCCCTACCTGCCCTCCCTATCTCCTGGTAGTATGACTCGATGTCTTTCGGGGCTGTCGTTGTAGTCATCATTCGTTTGTTTGTTGATTGTTTTGTTGTTTGTGTTTAAAAACAACACAACACACCAAAATGCAACAACACCACAACAGCGATAAAAATTGCATCAATAGCAAAGTTGTAATAACACCACAGCCACCAGTAAAAACAACAACGACAGCAGCAGCAGCAGCAGCAACCACCTCCATAGTGAATAATGTTCCTGACATCCGGTTTGTCGATGCCCATGCCAAATGCCACAGTTGCCACGATCACCTATCCTCCAAATGTGCAACGTAAATCATGAAATGCTTAATGGAAATGGAAATATGGAAATGGACTCTGGAAATAAAACTGACAACAGCAATGGACACTTTTTAAATGTCTACAAATCGCGAGTGGTAGCCAAATTTATAACAGAAACAGCGTTTCAACTTCGCTATCAAGGTTTAAAAGCCTAAACATTAGCCACAAAGACAGCACATAAAACAAAACCTTGATCTGATCAGTGGTGAATAAGTGGTGGTTATGCTTCCTGGTATTTAATGGTAGTCCAGCATGGTACAGTCCACATGGCACGCTGATGCCTTTTGTATTGTGTGGTGCTTGCGTTACATTTACACGAATTTGTAATGTGTATCACATTTACAAAAATTTGTAATTGGTATCATTTAAAATATACTCTCAGTGTGCAATTGACCACATGCATATTCAAACACTAGAAAAGAAGTTAGCTGTTGAGAATATTTGGAAAAGCTTGGAATGACTTTTAGCCCACAGCAGGATGATGACAACCTCAAAACCTTACCTCAACGCCAACTAGGTAATGCCAATGATGATGATTGAGGATAGCATTAAAAAAACTAAATCACGAATGCAATCTAAACTGTATGAATGGCTACAAATAAATGAACATTTTTTTTTATTTTTGAAGGATGACCAAAAAAGATAAACTTGTGAATAGGCCACCCTTAATATAAGCATAATAATAACAAAAACACCTAGATGACCGACATCTTAATAACGATTCCACCTCTTCAGCCATCTTCTTTGTCGGGCAATAAATAATTGTTGACCCCTCGAAATTATTTGACCCCGAGGAAGATGATGATGAGTGTGACGATGATGAAGCTGATGACCTTGACATTTCACTTTGAATGTCTCTGATGATATCCCCACTTTTTTTGCAGACTGATAGGAACAGGTTTGGTCTGTGTGTGTGTGTGTGTGTGTGTGTGTGTGTGTGTGGTGTGTGTGAGTACCAGTTGTGTGTAGGTATATGTGTGTGGAAATTATCTCAAGAAATAAAAAACTTCATAATATAAAGTAGGAAATTAGAAAATAAAATTAAAATATATATATATATAACAAAATTAATCATCAAAAAACTCTGTTCAAACAGAAATAACTGGTTCCAAATGAAAATGCGAAAGATGAAGTCTGACTGACTGACCGATCAAATCCCGAGCAAGTGATGACAGGATTGACGAGCTTCAATGAGACGCATATGTCCTTGCGCACCTCGGGGGTGGCTGTGGCCGTCAGGGCCATCACTGGCACCTGGTGTCCGTTGATTGGTTGGTTAGTTGATCAGTTGGTTATTTGGTCAGCCAATTAACATGACAGTTAATTAATTAGTTGATTAGTTGACCGGATCGCCATTAATTAGCTAGTTAGTTGGATAGCTGATCAGTCAAAAAGTTAATGATGGTGGATGGTAAGATGGACGATCTGATGGATGAAATTGATGGATGGATACGTGAATGGGGTAAATAAAAAATCCAACAAATGGTTTTTCCGCGCCATATCTGTTAACTCAATTGAATAACAGATAGAAAAAGTGCGAAGTGCGAAGAGACGAAACGAACAACAGACCCCGGGCAGAAATGTCCTAACTTTGCCGAGTGCTCTGTAGGCAGGCCTGAAGTCGTTGCCCCACTGGGAAACGCAATGTGCCTCGTCTATTGCCAGTAGATCAATCCCTGTGTTCAGAGTGAGCATTGACGTGTGTGTGTATGTGTGCATATATGTGTGTGCATATATGTGAGAGTGTGTGTGTGCATACAAGTTGTGTAAGTGTGTGTATGTATGTATGTGTGTGTGTGTTTGTGTCAGTTGTGTGTATGTGTGCGCATATCAGTTTTGTGCGTGTGTGTGTGCGCGTATTGTGAGCAAGTTGTTAGAGCAGTTGCTTCAGCAGTGGTGCAATAACTTGATTGGAAAATCAAGCATTAGTTTGTTAAGAAGTCCAGAGATCAGTATATAAAAGATGTTTTAGTGAACCCAAATGTTTTAGAGATCCATTCAAGTAATTTAATAAATAAATAAAATATAACAAAATATGAAATAAATAGATGAGTTAATCAATTAAAAATTTAACCAACAAAGGTAGAAACATCATCAAGTTAATCCCCTGTTCAACCACTCAACCAAAGAACAAACAACAATTTACTTTTTTTATAGATCTCCAAATCATTTACACTTTTTGAGTTTCTTTGGATTGAATAAAATTTATTTGATTTGAAACCTACAGGAAGCACTGTGATGAACCGCAGAGAAACCTCACCGATACTCACCGACACTCCTCATGATGTCCTCCATCAAATCACTTGCTTCAGACGCAAACTCTGGCGTCATGTAGACAACTCTGTAGTGCCCTCTGTAAATAAATCAAATCAGTGTGTAAATTTTGTTGGAAATAATTATCACACTTCCTCCTTTCTCTCCACCATCATCATCACTCACACCATCCTCATCATTATCATCACTAACACCAGCATCCCCACTGTCATCACCTTATCATTTGTAATCAGTGAAGTAAGTATGAGTGGAGTTGTAAACAATGAAGGTGGCAATGAGCAGCAACAAGGAGAATATTTTTCAACTGCTATTCCACATTTCAAAATGAGGAAAGTTATTTTCAGCATGTGACATTTGGTCATTCATTTGTATCTATTTTTAATTTAATACCCCAAAAAACTGGATTGGAAGTTCTAACTAAAAATTATCATCATATCAGCGTTTCTTCCTGGAAGGAACAGAAGTCAGTTGGCAGACAAGGAAAGCTGGTGACCGATCGATCAAACCGGACACGAGAGATCATGCGATTCAACAAACCAATGGAGGGCCACAAACAATCAACCAATTGTAACAGCGATGAAAGTTAAAAAAAATTACATGAAGTGATGTGAACTTACTTCAAGAGGTTCCTCCTAATTTCACTCATGTTCTTCTGAGCTGAGCCCAGCAAGCAGCACTCCACATTAACAGCCCTGCACAATTCAGCAACAAGATTGTTCACACTTTAACATTACAATACTAACTACGGCCGACACATTATAACGTTGCCATCGCAACAATACTTTATTACTACATTGCTATCACATAACACTAATTACATTCGTCAGTTGTATGAACATGATGTCCTGGTTATGACATTAAACTGACCCTCACTGCCTTGTGAGTGATGTTGGATCATCAAAGGCTAGGCCCACCGCTTATAACTGTGGTTGCGTAAGGAAGGGCGTCCTGCGTAAAAACTAGCCAAAAAATAATACTTATGATGACGGAAATAACAATGGCCCTCAGTATCCGGCAGAAGAGGGTGCGAAGAATCTCCGGAGACCCAGTCTATGGGGTTGTGGTGCAAGGCCCTGTGGATGGTCTGGCTACTGGCACCCCACTCTATAGTGTGGCGGTGCAAGGCACTATAGATGGAAGGACTACTTGTACGTCAATGGGTTGGAGGTTTGGTACCTGGAATGTAGGCACGTTGACAGGAAGAAGTTTGGAAGTGGTGGAGGAGCTGCAGAGGAGAATGGTTGACGTGGCTGCATTACAGGAGATCAGATGGAAGAGTGAGGGTACAAGGTTTGTGGGGGCTAAAGGTGGAAGATATAAGTTGTGGTGGAAGGGGGATGATGGTACTGGAGGAGTTGGTGTGATGGTAAGAGAAGAGTTGGTGGAGAAGGTGTTGGAAGTGAGGCGAAGAAGCGATGGTGTAATTGTGGTGGTGATGGTGTTTGGAAAAGTAATAGTGAGGGTGATATCAGGATATGCTCCGCAACAAAGTAGGAAGGAAGAGGAGAAGGATAGGTTTTATGATGATGTTTCTGACGAGATTGGGCAAGCGGGGTTGAATGAGTTTGTGGTGTTGTTGGGTGATTTGAATGGTCATGTGGGGGCGGATGCAGACGGATATGAAGGTGTACATGGGGGATGGGGATATGGTATACGGAATGAGGAAGGGCGTAGAGTGTTGGAGTTGGCGGATGCACATAGCATGGTGATGGGGAATACTTGGTTCACAAGGGAACCAGCGCGATTGATTACTTATAGATCAGGGAAACATAGATCGATGATAGACTATATATTGGTAAGGACCAAACATAGGAAGTATGTGAAGAATGTGAAGGCGATACCTGGTATGTTGCAGCATAGTATGGTTGTGATGGATGTGACATCAAAAGAAATGGGGAGGAGGAAGAAGGATAAGTTTGTGGCAAAGAGAAAGACATGGAAGTTGCAGGATGCAGAGGTGAGGAAGGCATTTGAAGTGAAGGTGGCTAAAAATTGGGAGAGTGGTAAGGATGGAGATGTTTGGGAGAGATACAGGGACTGTGTGTTGGCTATACCTGAGGATTGGCGACACAGTGTGTTGGTGCCGTTGTATAAGGGCAAAGGAGATGTGAGAGATTGTGGGTCATACAGGGGTGTGAAATTACTAGAGCACGGAATGAAGGTAGTGGAGAGGGTGCTTGAGAGGAGGTTGAGAAGTATGGTGACAGTTAATGAAATGCAGTGTGGGTTTATGCCTGGTAGGGGAACGGTGGATGCGTTGTTCATGGTGAAATTGCAGGAGAATTATAGAAAGAAGAAACGAAGATTGTACATGTGTTTTGTGGATCTAGAAAAGGCTTTTGATCGAGTACCGAGGAAGGTCATTGAATGGGCGTTGAGGAAGAAAGGAGTGAATGAGAGACTTGTTAAAGCTGTGATGCAGCTTTATGAAGGGGCAAAGACAAAGGTGAGGGTTGGAAGGGGGATGTCGGACGCTTTTAGTGTTAAGGTAGGAGTGCATCAAGGATCAGTGTTATCACCGTTTCTGTTTGCAATTGTGATGGATGTTGTGTGTGGAAACATAATGGAGGGGTTGTTATTTGAGATTTTGTATGCAGATGATTTAGTCTTGATGGCTGATAGCATGGAAGAATTGCAGTTAAAATTTGACAGATGGAAAAGTGTTATTGAAAACAAAGGGTTAAAAGTTAATATTGGTAAGACGAAGGTAATGGTGAGTGGGGAAGGTGGGGAGCGAGTGATAAGTAAAATAGACCCCTGTGGGGTATATGACAGGAGAGTGAAGGCTAACTCGGTATTGTGTATAAGATGTCAGAAATGGGTGCATAAGAGATGTAGTTGTGTGAGGGGGGCACTGAAAAACGTGGAAAGCACGTTCAAATGTAAGAAATGTGTTCATGGTGTGATTAATAGGACGGACGCAAGGACGGGGTTGAGTGGTGATATTGAAAGAGTGGAAAGCTTTGTTTACTTAGGGGATAGATAAGCTGAATGCGGATGGAGGATGTTTGAGCGCAGTTACGGCTAGAGTTCGTGTGGGATGGATGAAATTTAGGGAACTGGGTGGGGTATTGCGTGGAAAGAAATGGTCAGTGAAGATGAAAGGGAGGGTATATAAAGCATGTGTGAGAGCAGCGATGGTATATGGTGGTGAAGCTTGGGTGTTGAGGAGAGAGGAGGAAAGTGTACTGCAGAGGGCTGAAAGAGCTATGGTGAGGATGATGTGTGGTGTGTTGAGTTAAAGTGAAGGATAGGAGGAGTAGTACAGAGCTGATGTCAATGATGGGACTGAATGAGGACATTGTGACATTGATAAGGAGATCGAGATTGCGGTGGTATGGACATGTGTTGAGAAGGGATGAAAGGGTCGGGATTAGGCGAGCGTTGGAGTTCGAGGTTGAAGGAGTGGTAGGAAGGGGTCGTCCGCGATTGGGATGGAGAGAGCAGGTGGAGAAGGACAGAATGAAAGCGGGGTTGCGTGATACTGAGGCGAGTGACAGATGTGGATGGCGTCGAGGGGTATTTCGGTTTCATCATAGGTAGCCAAACGGCAACCCCCGATCTCGGGGAAAATGCCGTCTAAACGTGTTCTTCTTCAGTTGTATGAACATGAAAATATATTATAGTATTATAGAGGTGAATATTTTAATGTTAACAATTTTAATAGCAATAAATTTCCATGAAAGGTGACTTTGCATCATTCCACTTCTGCACTTAACATCAAATCAGTTGATGATCAACAAACCAATCATCAACTGAACAACAAACCAGTAAATAGATAGATGAATTAATGAATGAATTAATGAATCAATCAAACAATCAATCAATCAACTAAATGACCAATTGTTTTATCAATCAATCAAGTAACCAACAAATCAATCGAACAGGTGAGCAATCAACACAATTCAAAATAGAAGCAGCAAACAACCACAACCCTTCTACCACCCACTCACTTGAGACCCATGACTTGGTCCTCCATGAGGGATATGAGGGGGGAGACGACGATGGTGGTCCTCCCCGAATACACAGATGGGTACTGGTAGCACAAACTCTTGCCGTAACCTGTTGGTGATGATGTGGAGTGGTAATGTGATGCTGATTTGTGGTTGATGCTGATGATGTAGTAATGAAATATTCGGGTATTGTTAATTCATTTGAAGGGAATGTTATTAAACCGATGGTTGAAATTCAGGCAGCCACCATCACCAAGGTCACACCCATTGCATTGAACCAGGTACCAACACTCATCAACATTGTTGTCTTGTTGTCCTCATCATCATCATCATCACTATCTTGACCACATGGTGGTGATCACCATTATCATACCACCATGATCACAATCACCACCGCCATGATCATAATCATCATCATCATCTTGATTACAATCATCACCAGCACTACCTGTACTCATAATGACACAATTATCCTTCCTGTCATTTAATATGGAATTTATTATTCTCCACTGGAGTCTGAATAATGGTGAGAATTTGTTGTTTGCAGGTTGCATTAGACAATTAGTTGATCGCATGTTTCATTCTCCCATACAGAAATGTTTCAATTTTCATTTTTTTAACAAAAAGTAATTTGTCAATAAAACTGTCTAGATAATATTTAACATAGTGATCCATAAGAAACTGAATATTTGATAAGAAAAAGTGTTATAAAGATTCTTACTGCCTGAATTTAGAATACCCAAAATACTTTTTGAGGACATCAAGGTATTTGCTGTCGGCTGGCTGGTAACTTGTGTCTGGGAGACAGAAATTGATTTTTTATAATTTCAAATGTTTTCAAATGTTCTTTTTCAAAAGTTTTATTAATTCAATTTTATAATACAAATAAAAATCTACACATCATGCTTACTTCATTTACAAGATGAATACATACAACGTTGATCAAACTTAACATTAACAACCATCCCAAATGAAAATATAGAGACAAAAACTTCTTGAAGTACTTTACAGGTTTTGAATAAAAAATAAATTAATCAATTACCTACAAATAAATAAAAAAATAAATAATAAAATGTAGAATTATTTTATTCAGCAAAGTCTGGGAGACAATGAAGTTTTGAAGAATTTGTAAAACAAGACAATGACGGCAGCACAACAGACCATCAGCCTGATCATATTCAACATCTGTATCTTCCAAATCTTCTGTTTCAGCTTCTTCACTTTTCTGATGGCTCAAAATGCTTTTCTCGACTTCTAATAATTCCTTAATCATTGTTGAAATAATGTAAAATTAACTAAAATATCAGTAAAAACAATAGTGATTTAGCTTTTTTGAATAGATAATGATTTTTAAGCTTAGCTGTGTTTTTGATTCAACTACTAGCAAATAAATAAAATAGATAAACTAGATAGAAGTATGGAAGATCCACTAACATCTAGCTCATTATCATTAAAATCATCTTCAAAATCAACTTCCGACTGATCATTCATCTGATTGTTATAGACAGCCACAGCAGATGATGATGAAGTGAGTTTGCATGAACGTGCAGTGCTGATGATGGTGAGTGATCTGCTGGCTTCTTCGTCAGCTTCTTCTTCTGTCGTTTCAATATCACTAACGTTGGCAATAGCTTCTTCTTCTGTCGTTTCACTATCACTAACCCGCATGTTGGCAAAACTATTTTTGGAAGAAAGCCAACTGCTATTTTCGTCAGATAAAGAGTCCTTATTTGAATTTTTCAGGATTTCAACAATCGCATCAACATCAGTTTCGTAATTTTCAACTAATTGTTGCAATTTTGCTTCCAGCACTGAAGAACTACCGTCACTGTCACAATTACCTTTTCTCTTCCAACAATCATCATATTTCAAGTTGACAAGCGCATCGCTCAAACGGTTGTTCAGACATTTCATTTTTTCAATTAAATGCAACATCACAAAACCTGCTAAATTTAATCTAATTATGGATTCAAAATCGTAAAAATGACAATAACATATTAAACCAAAATTTCGTGTTTCATTGGCAGCGCGTAAACGGGTCCAGCTTAAAAGAGGACTTGCATGGAAAAATAATGGAAAGGGTTTTTACCATATACTTTCAATTTTTAACTCATATTCTTAAAATTTTCAACAGGAGCTGGAGAAACTTCGAAGATGTTTGCAGATGCAATCATATACTTTTTAGAAGATATATGCGACAATTTGTTACTGCCACAGTTTTAATTTTGTTGATAATCTGATTTTATCGTTGGTGAGCATGTTTTTCATTTTAGAATATGCATCTTTCGCCATGGCTATCCTTCGTTTGATATCAATATCACATTTACAACAGCATTTTTGGCCGTCCTTTGACCATTCCAGAATAGTTTATATTTTTCTTTGTCTGAGTTGACATGACAGACACCATTCGATTTCCATCGGATTTCCTGAAGGCAGCAGATGTCAATTCTTTTACGCTCGAGCATTTCTGCGATTTCCATGCTGCGGCCAGTCAGTTATCCAACATTGAGCGACTTCCGACTTCCGAAATAAGTTGTTGACTTGTTTCACCTGTTTACCATTAATGATTATCGAGCAGATCGGAGCGGTTTTGCTTTTACTGATAACCATGCACTTCGTTTTGTTGAAGTTAATTTGCAAACCTTTTCTTTCACTTAAAAGAACCAGTTTGGAAATAATTGTTTGCAGTTTTTCCATTGATTCCGTTATTTCTCTTTTGCCTCTAAGCACATTTTTTGATTGTTCTGTCCAACTTTGTTTATCAATAAGGATTGCGGCCTTTCACTTTCCTTCGTTCATTCATCAGAGATACTATGTCATCTGTTATCTATTTCTGGCCTCTTCTTTGCTCCTTCATAGATATAACTTCCTTGGCTGATTCTGTGAGGGCATCTCTAAATATTTCATATTTAGATTTATTTATGTCTTCCATCAATAACTGAAAAAGATTCCGTACTTCAACGTTATAGGAATTGACCTTGATCTCATTATTTTATGTGACAGACTGACAAAATTCAAACGTTTTGAGGCCACTTCGCTTTTAGTTTTTTTTAACACGGTGTTATTTACTGCTTTGCATGTTGTTACAGTTTCTGCGTCTGTCAGATCCTGATTTTAAAGAATAATTAATATACAGTTATTAAGAAATATCAACGCATTTTCCGCATTGTTGAGTTTGTAACTAATATTATTCTATATGTATGGCTTATATATAATAAACTAGCAAAACATTATTTGTTTTTAACAAATTCAAATATATAAGCTCATAGCCTACATCTATTTATCTCTTCCCAAAACGTAATTTCTTTTTAAATTGTCGATAGGGCGAATTTTCATGAATATTTTGTTATCTGAGTCCACTTTTAATGAGTTGCTTATTACCGAGATTCCCGCGAGATTCCTTTTTTGGCCGGCAATTTTGATCTTTATTTTTGATCGTATAAGACGCATAAGTTTTTCCTGGAAAGCCGACAAAATTTTCAAACATGTCTTGCGAGTTTGCCGAACCAAATCAAAACAAAATCTTAAAACTTGAGCAAGAGCAGCCCGTCTTGAGATTTGCGAAGTTGTCCGACAATGCTCACACCCCAACAAAAGGTTCCAAGCTGGCTGCTGGGTACGATTTGAAGAGGTTTGTAAACCGAACAGCGAACTGTTTATTTGTCCCATAATGATTTATGATTAATAATGTAGTTAAGTAATGCAATGCAATAAACAACTGATATGAGACGATCAGATGTTCAGATCATTGATTGAATCAATCAATTCACATTCAATCATTTTATTGATTAATTATGTGATTATTAATGACAATGGGTCAATTTACAATTAAGACTGGTTTGGTTAGAGACTGGTTTTCCATTTCAATCAATTCATTGATTCAATGTTGTTGAATGTCTGATCATTTTCCAGCACCATCAGTCCATATTCAGTAAACAAAACAAAAACTCAATAGTAATTTTTTGGTTAACTGCAAAATTTAGGGTTTTTTAAATTGCATATACCGTATATTTTATAAATAAAGAAGTAATTTATAATTATACTCCAGCTCCTGATCCACTTGATGGTGCTACATTTTATTTAGGTTTAATAAGTCTATAGTCGTAGTGTAATTTGTATGGAGGCAGTGAATAATAATATATATATTGTATTATATTATATATATATATATATATATATATATATATATATATATTGAATTTTAATGTTTTAAAATAGTTTTCTAATTGACAATTTTAGAGTTTGTAAAAAGAATTTATAAATATTTCGTTATAAAACTGAACAACTACTCAAAAACTGACAGAATTAGGTTTGGGTTAAAATAAAAGCAAACAGAAGGGTCCAGGTTTTAAAACATTTTTAAATTAAATTTTCTTTTTTCTATATATATCAGTGCCTAATAATTGAACTCTATTAATATAATTTTCCCAATTAAAATTTTAATTAAAATTTTGTTTTTTATTTCTTCACGTATTTTCAAAAATATGTATGTTTTTACTTCATTCATTACACAAAGTCACATGATTCAGGAGTTATACCTTATTATATTTATATAGCTACACAAATAATACAGCTAAAACAAACACATTGATAAATATGAATTACCTTTTTGTTATTAAAACTGAATGAAAAATTTGTATCACTGTTTTAAAGTAGAGAGCATTTATATAAAATTACTATATAATTATATAAAATCAATTGTTATATAGTTTAATGGAACCTTAAAATTGATACAGTGCTTATGATTATATTGTTGAGCCACATGGTAAAACCTTAGTTCTCACTGACCTGCAAATTGCTTTGCCATCCGGTTGTTATGGGAGAATAGGTAATAATTATAATTAAACAATGGTAACACAATGCATTTCATTTATATGTCATGTCTGTTATTAATTTTTATTTTTTTGTAAATATTTGACATCAAAAATTAATCTGTTTTAATTCATCAATTTTTATTGATTATTAATTAACGATTAATTTTTTTGTATAGCTTTTTAAATGTTCTTATTTTTCATTATGCAACAGCTCCAAGATCTGGCCTGGCAGCTAAAAACTTCATTGATGTGGGAGGTTATTATAAATATTGTGATCTCATGTTATATATATGCTTGCATGTAATTTCTGTGAGATGATGTATAATTAAAAATTTTATGAACAATTACGAAGCTGGTGTGATTGATGAAGACTACAGAGGCAATGTTGGAGTTCTGCTCTTCAATTTTGGGAAGGATGAATTTAAAGGTCTTCATTTAAATTTTTTATTCAATTTAATTTTTTTTATTGGTTTACTTAAACGATCTTGAGTAGATTGGTTGTTTATATTGTGATAGTTGAACGTTGTTTCAGTTAGCAAGGGAGATCGCATAGCTCAGTTAATACTTGAAAGAATTTTTCTTCCAGATCTAGTTGAATGCAAAGTAAGTTGACCAGAATTATTTTAAGTTTTCATTGTCAATATGTATCACCTTGAAACGGTATTCAAAAAATTATTCATGTAATTTGTTCATAGTCTCTTGATGAAACAGACAGGGGAAGCAATGGCTTTGGGTCGTCTGGATCTCAATAAATATCTTTATTTCCTAAAATTTATATTTTCATTAAAACACTAGTGCATTTGACTGTTTGTTTTGTGTTATATTGTCATCTTTGTCATTTAGTTGCCATTTTGGATTTGGTTTATTAAAGTTTTAATTGGTTAATAAATATGAAAAGTATTTAAAAAATGTTCACTACAATCAACATAACATTTATATTCAGGAAACATTTTTTTACAAAAGTGATTATCCAATATAATTCGACTAAAAATTACCAAAAACATCCATCCTATGTTCTTTCATAATCGCACAGCATTGAGACAATTTGCAACAAGCAAATGTGGGCTTCACTAAGATATCCCTCACTCCAAGATCCAGGTTTCTCAGATTGCACTCTTTCATCTGAAATTAGCCAAAGTTAACTTCGTTTATAATGTTCGTCGTACATAAAAATCGGCCGTGTCACAGGGGTCACATTGTAAAAATAAAAAGTCAACGTGTCCTAATTTTTATAAAAAAAATCTCTTGTATACTTATTAACGGTCACACGTCACTGAGGCGATACTATTTTGATTGTATAAACGTATTAACATTTAGATTGGATTGGCGGTTTTTAAGGTCTAACATTTCGCGACTTTGCCAAAAACGGTTATTCCAATGAATTACACAACTAAGCAAACCATCATATGTAACGACGTCAATGTGTGACGTCATTTCTGCTCTTCCGGTAAAGTGTGTGTGTGATACCATTGATGTTTTCTATTGAAAGCACTCTTCGATTGATAAAAGAGGTATTCGTAAGGCAACTATTAATTACTTTTTAAATGTTGGATGCGTCGGTTCAAACGTTCGAAAATTAGGTTGATTGCTTCGTGAGGTCATAGAAGTGACAAACTTACGGGTGCGATCGTGGGGTGAATGTTTTCAGAGGTTCGTTTAATGTTATCAAAAAATAAAGTGTACACTAGCAACACCTACACGCATATATATATGTCTGTTCAGTATGCCTATGTATACACGTTTTAATTTAATTTTAAACGTGCCTCTATTCGTTCCAGAATTTGTGACTTCTTTTGCCGGAAGCATTTTTCGTCATCATGAAGTTGTAGTACTTGAAATTTGATTTGTTGGTAGGCATCTCTGCAGCACTTCATATCACATTTCAGCTCCATTATCGATTGCAACGTCATTTGGTTCGGAATTGCCCCCTTCATTCGTCATTGATCGAGTCGTCGTTGCATGAATATGAATTGTAATGTTTATCGTTGCATTGATCATGCGCGATCGTCTCTGGCAAACACGCAGTTTGCTAGAGACGAACAAGTAAAAAGTGGAGGACAGTCAACAACCATTTTGTTGTATTTTTTAATATTTAGTCAACATTTAGTTACTTTTTGTACATAAAAACAGTTTTCTGCTTGAAAGCACCATTTTAAATAATAAATTGGACATAAATTGTGCTATATAAAAGAAAAAATTTGCCAAGTATTTCCAGTTTTTGGCCCCTCGTCAAATTTTGGTCTCCCGTCAAATTTTCTAGATCTGCCCTTACATAAAAATAAATAAATATACATCTGTATGATTTCCTTTCTTATAATTTGGAGAAATAAAAGCTTCATGTTGAATACTTGAGGTTTTTGAAGAAGTTACTAATCACATTTTTGGCAAACAGAAAAAAAAAAGATGTTTACAATATGAAAAAAGCTGAATCGCAAAATAGCATGCTCCCCCTATTGACGCCTTTGTACAAATATTTGAAATGGGAATTTGAAGACTTTTTTAATGCAAATTTTTATGATTGCTGCTTTTTACGATATCTCGTGTATGTCTGCGGTTTTATGAATAAATAGGTTCAGCACACGAAACTATGATTACGCATTGTCTACGTACAACATTGATATTAACAACAACAACAAAAATAATAAGTTGTTAAATTGTTATTTATTTTTAAAGCTGGTTATCTTAATGTTACAAAAATAAAAAAAAATGTTATTAAAAACCCGTTGCATGGTGTCAAATGTGTGGATGAGTTTGTTGGTGCAAACGTCAACGGCTTTGGCATCGGCTTCCATTTTGTTCAAGTTGTACATGGGTTTCATCTGGTCAGGATCGTACTGTATTTATGGGATCAAGTCACACAAACCACTTAAATAGGTTGTCCAAATGATAGAATCAAATAAGTTAATCGAATGATTCAACTGGGTCATTCAGTTAATGCTTACAGTCTGCTGAACTCGATGCGTAGTTAAACATTGATGAATGCGTTTACGAGTCACAGCTGATTGATTGCCTTAAAAAGTTTTTCAATAAACAATAAATCTTCTTCCCGTGTTTAAATCTTTCTTGTTCTATTTTGAAATTTGTTTGTGAGAATGTAATGGAATATTTTTACAACACTGATTACGTATATGCCATATGCTATATGGGAGTAAGTTACTATTGAGAAAAACTAAACTAACTGAAAATATTAAATTCTCAAACGAGCGATTATTTTAGCAATGTAACACAAACAATGGAACAATGATTTATATTCACTGTAAGAGGGTGGCTCAGTTGAAGGTGGCTTTTAAGTTTTAAAGTGTGGATAATTAATTCATTTTGCTCAGCTGAAGTTTCGTTGAATAAAAATATTTGAAAGATCTACTTTGGGGCTGTCCATAGGGGATGTCACGCTTTAAGAGTAGGTGGGTTTCCAAAAACATATGTGAGCTTAAAGGGTATTCCGTTTTGCTCTTTCTCACTATTTCATCTTGAAATAAAAACATTTTGTTCAATATGTTGAGTATACAATGCTGTGGTAGGAGGGGGGATTGAAAAAGACGCAACGAAAGCAAGTCATCCTTTATGGACTTCTTTTGGTCTTCTGTTTGAAGGCCAAAACCAGTAAACAATAATTATAATTCAGTTTTGGAGAAGACAAGATGTTAAGTAGAAAATAATTGTAGTTAATTTTAATAAAATGAAAATACTTTAATCTTGAGAACGTGTATCTGGCTGCAGTTCCTCACTCCGAGCAATGAAAGAGTGCAGTTGAGGTCTTTCAATTCGCGGCCTGTTCAAATCACAACGCAATCCACGCGCTACTATTAATAAAACATTGTCAAGTTCATTAGTTTTAGCTTTTTGAAATGTTATCACAAATTTGAAAGAAATTGACTTCAATAAAAATAATGGAATCTACAGAAAAAACCGGCCCACCTTTAAAAGCAATTCTTTGGTTATTAATTTCAATAGAAGTTAACTTTTCAATTTCCTCTGCCAGATGACGAACTGTCAACGTTCCGCCGGTTTCTTTTCCCGGTAAGCAGAGATGTAGTCCGTGTTTTTTGGGGCCTCAAAAAATAAAAAATTAAACATGTAAAAAACTTTATATAGTTGACATGTGGTTCTAATGATACATTACTGTAAAAATATATATTATATATATATATAGTATTACTATAATATATATATATATATATATATATATATATATATATATATATATATATTGTTGGAAGGAGACCATATTTTATACAGTATTGTATTGTTATAACTGCCGGAATGATCAAATTGCGCTATATTATTATTTGGATTATTTATCCTTGCTATAGTTTCAATCATGGGATTGTGAAAATATCTGGTATATTAGCGAGTGAATAGTCAGGTTTCTGGTGAGGTTTCCAGCAGAGAAAGCGAAGTCGTAAATGTGATTTATGTAGATACCTGGATTAATTTATTGTTTCTAGTACTGTTGTTATTCAAATAAACGTTCAACAAAGTTTGAAGCAGTTGTGTTAATCTATCGAAAATCTTGAACCTTCGGAATGAGCACTTGACGATCGTTGGAAGCTTCAACACTGGTTTTGGAAACAGAGAGGTCTTTGAAGTTATAACATCGGTATTAGTAGTTACGAGCGTCAAGGGTTACTACACTATTTTGTTTTGCCTCTAACTACAGAGTTGGTTATACGACAACCAAGCTATCGAAATAACTCACAATTCACGTACAAACTGGCGTTATAAAGAATCACATGAAAGAGAAACACAAAATAAAAATTACTAGATAAATCTTAGACAACAATGTTGAAATCTTACATCACAATAACAGCAATTATAATTTACGATTACGATTAACCGAGTCAATGCTCATAGAAACCAGACATCCGATAATATATAAATATAAATAAATAAATAAATAAATATATATATATATATATATATATATAATATTTCATAAAAACCACATGTCAACTGCTTTCAAACGAGATGAAAAAATCGTGAAAAAAATCAGAAAAAAAAATACGTCCAAGCAACCAACGAAAACGATAGTATTAGACTACGAATATACTACTCCAACCAAAGAACGTCATCTCGTCGTGATGAAAAACAACTGCACTAGTAAGCCCGAATCGATAATGGATCATAGCCATCTAATATATTCATTCAAATGTAATATTGGTGAGTGTGGACACCATAATTCCGGATATATTGGTATGACGACGAAAAAGCTATTGAGAAGACTCACGACTCACAAACTGGTGCTGTAAAGAATCAACTGAAAGAGAAACACAAAATTAAAATTACTAGATAAAACTTGGACCACAATGTTGAAATCTTACATCACAATAACAACCATTATAATTTACGACTAGTCGAATCAATGCTCATAGAACAATGACATCCGATAATAAATATTCAACAACGGGCAATTGGAATTTTTCCTACCAATAAATTTAGAAACAGAGGAATCATCGATAATGAAAACACATAAAAGTGTTATAGTTAACGAAATTGAAGATTGTAAAACTAATTAAACGCTAGAAAAATCGAAAAGTTAAATTGGAAGTTAACTAACGCCGAACATGCTGGGATTTTATCAATATTCTTCAAATTGAAGAACATTGATAAAATAATTGAAGAATATTGATAAAATCATTGTTCGAAAAATTGAAAAACTTAGTTACAAACTCAACAATGCTGAAATTGCAATAATATTTCTTAATTTATATATCATATATCTGTGTTTATCTGTTTAAGTTTAGTGCGTGTGTGTGTGTGTGCACGTATTACCGGAGGTAAATGAACAAAAAAGTTGCAACCTATAATTAGAACAGTAAAAAAATTGGATCAAGGAGTGAACGGAGCACTCCTTCGCAAGTGAGTCAAAGACTGGCAAGCAATTACCTGACCAATTTCTTGTAGGTGGCATGCAACTCACTAACAAGCAATCATTATCGTCGTTATCATTCTTTACTCGCTCCCTCACCTCCATAAACATGCTTCAACTAAATAGGCCCAAAATGGCTATAACTGGACCGAAGACAACAAAACCAACATCAGAACAACAACAATAAAACAACAAAACAACATCAGGACAACCACAACAACAACAAAACAACAGCAACATCAAGACAGCAACATCAAAACAACAACAACAACACCAAAACAAAAACAGTAAAACAACAACAACAAAAATAATCACATCAAAACAACAACAAAAACATTAAAACAACAACAGCAACAAGTAGCAACAACAATTAGTAATGCAAGAAAACAAGTTGATTGACTGGTACATACATATATTATCGTAAAGTCCTAATGAAACATTTTTACGAGACTCAACCACCATAACCCTATTCACCACAACCACCATTTTATCATCCTCATCACTGACACCACCACAACCATAATGTTTTCAACAGCACCATCATCACCTCATCACATCATTACACGCTTTCTCAATGCTAACTACGTTACAACACCATCTCTTCATCCTCCTCCTCTTCTTTTTCATCATCCCATTCCTCTTTCTCACTATCATTTTCTTTCTTCTCAGCCTCATCATCTTTTTTATCTGCTTGTTCGTCATCGTTTCCGTCCCCACTATTATCATCATCAAGGTCATCATCATTATATTATCATAGGATATTATCATCATTATCATCGTCATCATCATCATCATCGTCA